AGGGATATAGTGTCAGAGGAGTGGAGCGGAGTTGGGCAGATGTACAGGGCTAGTTCTGCTGAGGTGCACTTTGTGCATTGTCGGAGTAGGAGGGATGGAGTGGACAGGGAAACAGGGGGTCGGACCAGCAGTAGGGATGTTCACGGGTGTTATTGGAGGTGCTCGGATCCAGTGTTACAGTAACATGAGCGTTACACGTCATTTCATTCTTTGGACTCGTCTAGACCTGGACCATGGTTACGATTATTCTATTTTCATCTCTTCTTTTTTATCCTGTTGTTCTGAAACGCGAAGCTCTCGCTTCTTCCCCTAGATCACAGAAGCCACGGCTTCTACTGAACCCTATGCCCTTCCCTTTGTTTCAGTTCTCTCATTGATGGGGATTCCCCATGCCCTTCGCCCTTACCGCTCAACCGGTATCTCACCCTTACATATATATCACTTGTACAGTAGATAGATTCTCTAACTTGAATCTACTCAGTTCTCATCTGATCTTGTCACTGGGACTGAACTTCTCTTGCCTAGAGAATCCCCTCTACAAAGACATCTACTCTTGAGACGATACTCTTGAGTTGACTTCCATCTCTTGGATCGTATCCTCGAGAAACTCCAATCGACTCTACACAAGTAAGGGCCTCAACCCTTACTCAGACTTAGCGCAGGCAAGCTCCTTGCTGGGCTAGCGCTGAAAGCCACGCTTCGAACACCCCTTGTGGGTTTAGCGCCGCCAGATCTCATCCGAGAGGTTACGCGTAACAAAAGATTCAAGTTCTCTTTTGAAACTCTACCACCTGTAGAGCCTAACCCCGACTAACAACCGGAAGACTAACAAGATAGTTAGGACAGCAGACAGCTGGGATAATTCATTATGAATCCATCCACCCAACTCAGATCCGACTAGCAAGCAACGCCAAATGGTGCCATATCCCCAAAACTCCCGAAACAAACTCATCGCTAATAAACCAGCACTAACTGAGACCCCGTGCTCATAGCATAAGGAAAGGACTATGCTTCGCTTGCGGACAGAAAGGCCATAGAGCCCATGATCAAAAGTACCACCCCAAGACACATACTTCAGTCATTTCCTTACGTAGAACCCCTGCCCCGATGTGCCAAAGGTCGTAGAATCATGGCTAGCCAGTCCCCGGCCGGTGCATGTAGGATAAGTGCTGGCCGGTGTACTATCTTATTATCACTTCAGTATCATTATTTCATGTAGGATAGGTACTGGCCGGTGTACAGTGTATCATTATTCATGTAGGATTGGTGCTGGCCGAGGTATTATAGGCCAATCTCTTGTATGTAGTATCAGTGCTGGCCAGTCTATATACTATAACCATCTCTTTGTCTTGTATGTAGAATGAGTGCCGGCCGATATATCATATGACATATACTAGCCATAAGATCAAGCTGGCTGGTATATGCAGAATATATCTACTGCAGTCTGATTTCATTAGTAGACTGGCCAGCTTGTATCTACGTGGGTAGGAGCATGGCTGGCCAGTGCATAGTCCTTAAGTTAATATACTGGCCATTGAGTGTACTAACCATGGGATCAGGCTGGCTAGTATATGTAGTCATTGGTGAACCTGCCAGCCTGTATCTACATATGTAAGAACATGGCTGGCCGGTTTGCTTATGTTTCACTAGCAGACCGGCCAGCATGGTCCTACATGTGTAAGAACATGGCTGGCCAATTTGCCAATATTTCACTAGCATGGCTGGCAAGTTTGCTTATAATTCACTAGCAAACCTGCCAATTTGCTTATATTTGCACTAGCAAACTGGCCAGCTTGGTTTTAACATGTGTAAAAGCATGGCTGGCCAGTTTGCTTATATTTCAATAGCAAACCGGCCAGCATGGTTCTACATATGTAAGAACATGGCTGGCCAGTTTGCTAATATGTCACTAGCATGGCTAGCCAATTTGCTTATATTTCACTAGCAAACTGGCCAGCTTGGTCCTACATGTGTAAGAGCATGGCTGGCTAGTTTGCTAATATGTCACTAGCATGGCCTGCCAATTTGCTTATATTTCACTAGCAAACTGGCCAGCTTGGTCCTACATGTGTAAGAGCATGGCTGGCCAGTTTGCTAATAGTTCAATAGCAAACCGGCCGGCCTGGTGCTACATATGTAAGAGCATGGCTGGCCAGTTTGCTTATATTTGACTAGCAAACCGGCCAGCCTGGTTCTACGTGTATAAGAGCATGGCTGGCCAGTTTGTAATATTTCACTAAGAAACTGGCCAGCCTGGGTCTACATATTTAAGAGGATGGCTGGCCTGTTCGCAGTCCTTAAGTTAATACTGCCCAGTAGGTAGACTTAGGGCATCTCATTCAATGTGCAATTTGCAGGAGTGTGGGTATAATATATCAAGGTACAAATCCACACCCATTGAAAGCCTTCTCAGCATCCTGAGCAAACCTTCCCCACATCAAGACCTGTTGATAAGCATAGGCTTGATGACCAGGTCTAGTCGCTTGCTGCCACCTTCTGTTCCATTCTTTCTGGTGATACTTGAACCAGTTTATGGTCCAACCCATTTCATGTCTTACCAGACTCAACTCCTCCTGCCATCTACTCCATCTAGCCTTTGCCTTCAACCAGTTGACCCTATAGACTAAATCAGAGTGAGTTGAAGTGACTTGCACTTGAGATGAAATTTTGTTCTTACATTCATCCATCCAAGCATCTTCTTGACCTTCGCTGGCATTATTCACCCTCCAAAACCAAGCCAGTCTGTCTGACCCTTGACCAAATCTATTTTCTTCTGTCACCTCTTTGTCTATACTCAGTTCGGTGGGCAATATTTCTCGATAAATACTGCCCAAGGTAGCTTCGTCCATGCCTAGATGTTGCATTGCTGACCTTGCCCTCTGATAGCTTCTTACATATTTGTCAATTTTGAGCTGACATCGACGAGCTTCTTGCTTCGACCTGGTGCCAGCCCACGTAGAATCGGCACTTCGAAAATACTGACGATAAATAAGGGCCTTGTGACCGAGAGCCATACGAAGGTTTTCTAGGCAGTCGTTGGCTTGGCCTTTTTGAAGTTCCAACTCTTCAGCTTGAAGGGGGCCCAGCCCAAGAGTCAATCTGTTGTGTCGAGAAGTCGAAGATGGCATCCAGATACCCATCTCTTCTGTGAGGATTTCTTCATCTATATCCTCTGAGATCTCTTCATCTGAAACCTCCACCCACTCATTACCATCGTTATCTGTACGACAGAATCTAGGATCGTCAGAATGCACTGTTCCAATATCAAGATCCATGCCAGCAGTCATAGCATCGGCAGTTTCATGAAATTTGGCAATCCTAGCTGCCAATCTCTGTCTCTTTTCTTCTATAGAAGCTTTCTGAGCAGAGGTTGCATCATTAGGAAGTTGTCGTATATTCGCTCTCAATGCATCCCTAAAATAGCTCTTTGTCAAGCGATTCTGTTGTTCCAATCAAATTGATTACGTACTGTAAATCCTCCAGATTGATACCAGTGATGAGCCAAGATACTGTTCCTGGAAGTCTGTCGTCAACGTTCTCAAACTCGGTTAATTTGAGCCGAATCTCTGCCATAGTTGGGGCTGAACTCAGTTCCAGATTAGATGTCTTATAAGCCTCAGACAGAGCTCACTTACCTTTGTTGATCTGCAACTGGTAGATGTCAAGATACTCCCCACATTCTTCCACAGCCTTTTTCTCATCAATTTCCCACATCAAAATCTTCCCAGGATTCAGAGACTGGGCCAGTTCATCAAAAGGAGATTTTGTCTCATCAACGCCTTTGAGAGCACGTTTATACTTGGTCAAGAGAGTCTTCGCTAGAATTTTAAGTGTCAAGCACAGTTTTAGATATACATGATTGAAGTGCTTACTTATTCCAACTATTTTTTTCCAGTTTGAGTCTCTCATATGATCATCAAGAACTTCTTGGCGATGAGCATGACTCATTGACCGAGCAGTTGGGGAAATCTTATTGAATGGTGCCCATAAGGTCTCCAAAATCTCCCCATCAACATGTCCAGCGCCTTGAACAAAGTTGAGGCTGTACCTTGCAAAGCAAGCCAATTTGTGAGCGCTGAGATGGAATTTTCCAACCGCAGGGATGATCTGCATATTTTCTGGTACGGATAAGCCTTGGCTCTCAGCAACTCTCTGTAAAAAATTAATACTCCACTGACACCCCACATCATAAATAATGAGAGAGGAGTCTATACCAGCCGAATGATAATTCAAAGCATTGCATATTGAATAGTCAATGTTCATGTGTCTAAACATCTCATGAGCTCACTTAACATGCTGTTTAGGAGGATGTACAGACCTTTTCGCCCTTCTGAAAATCAACTATGCTGTGTGGAACAAAGCATCCATGTCAGGCACAGGCAGTTGCTCCTACCCCTGTTGCTCGAAGATTACTCCTGCTGATATTTGCAGTGTTGATTGCTCGGTGATTGCTACAAGAAGAGCGCTATACAGGCTGTCAAGCAAAGTCAAATACCCTTGCTAAAAGTCAACTCACCTCCTTACTTTCGACAGCCAATGAGAGATGAGTCTGATATTCTCTCTCTTTCACCATATAACCAAGACCATCTGAAAGACTAATGTCTAACTGTGGCTTTTTCATAGTCATATGTTGAGCAGTAAAGTTTCCATCCACAACGAATCTTTGCGAAATGAGCCAACTGTGTAAAGAATAAGTATAAGTTCAATGAATGAGGTCAAATAAATAGAAGGTACAGCTAGCCAAGGCTTGCATACTTGTGTCTGTACAGTGTTGACTGACAATGTATTATCTGAGGTTAGCCGGCCGGAATGGTTCTACGTCCTGTCTATACAGTCCTGGCCAGCCAAATACAATATCAGAGTTTGGCCTGGCCGGCCCAGGTCTACAGCCTGTCTATACAGTACTGGCCAGCTTTGTTGGAAACTAAGCCAGCAAGGCCAGAGTTTTTGTACAACATGAAGCACACAGCTGGCCGGTCAGTATAATGTTCTTGAATGTTGTATAGAAGAGAAAGCCAGCCTCCTTATAATCCGAACCAACAATAGATGACTTGCCTTTCGTACTTGTCTTGCCAGTTATCAGGTATGTTGATGCCAGGCTGAGGACACGAAGGGCAAAACCAAGCCAGATCACCCTTGCCAGGTTTCTCCCTAGTGTCATGGCCAAATCCGAAGCATTTTCGGCTCATCAAGTCTCTCCATAGACGAGACACCCTCATGAGTTCTCGATATCGATTCTAGCCAGCAAAGACATTTGATATGGTCAGTCCAACTGTTGAAAAGAATAACTATATGCTCTCACAGGAACAGTACCAGGGAATGAGTGATTGGTCATTCGTCGAATTTTCTCAAAGAAGCTTGATGCTGAAGTCTTGCACTCCAGTGCATCAATTAGAAAATGATCTAAGACTTCAAAAGTGAAGGCAGTTCGGGGTCGAGTGACGCTTGCAGGAAATAACCTGGCCTTCAGCAACTGCAGATGCTGCTGATGCTTAGACCCAGGACAACCACACCAAACAACATTGTGCAAAAACACTCCAGTTGAATGTATGATGGTCAGGGTGGATGTCGTAGTTGAACTGGAAAAGGTCTCCATTGGCACAGACCCAGCCTCTGCATCCAATGGCATATCCTCCCATGCCTGTGGGTCTTCAGAAAATGGACATGGTTGCCCCCCATGGCCCATATACCAGACAATACCCAATTCTTCGAGCGACTTGTCTTCAAAGCATTTTCCAGTCCACTGTTGAACCTTGTGAAAGGGCAAATGTTGGTGGGTTTTGACAATGCAAGGATGACAAAATGTCTGATCCCCACTGCATGTCAAACAATGGAATTTCCCTTCACCAATCTGACAAGACTGGCACTCCAAGACATCAGAGGGCTTCTCCAAGTCAAGGAGGATATCGAGATATGAGTCTCGGAAAGGCAGATATTCTTGGATAAAGTCGTTCTGAGTCTAGTTCATTTGATCTCGATTGAGTATAGAATTAAATTGCTATGCATCAATCTGGTCACCTTTGTTTTTCTTGATTGGTTCTCTGTATATGAATTAAAGTCACCGAGGACTTCTCCATCAAATTCCTCCTGAATGCTTGGCAACCCTTGAGTTTCCTCTCTGACCCGTTTACTGAGGGCTAGAGGAAGGAGATGATGTTGGGGCAGTGTCATAGAAGGCATCGGCACATGATTCCACCCAGGTCATCTTCCTTTTCTTTCCAAGGACTTGTTTGTGAGACACGTAATCGACATCTAGGTCCTTGCCTTTGGATAATCGACCTCTTCCTTTGAAGGAAAATGTAGCTGCCTTGAGTCGAGTTTTTTTTTGAGGAGACATACTGTTACTAAGGCAAAAGAGGATGTCCTTAATATTTTGGTTGTAGTTGACAAAATCATTGATAGAAATGGCTAAACTACTACCTCATTTAGATCTAGTATGTATGCTCAAACACCTGACTTATCCCTTCACCCCCCCACCCCCCTCTGACATTTCGTACTTCACTCTCTTTTGGTTTGCCTTCCCACCATCTGCAAAAAAAAGTCCTGTGTTGGAAATGCTGGTCTTGGCACCCCCACTCTAGAATGAACTTTATCTTTCATGAAATGGGCAATGACAATCCTTTCTCCTTTAATCCATGGACCGATAGAATGCTCCAGAACCTTGCCTGAAATGAAGACCATGGTCCCAGGGTGATAATCCAGCTCCGCTCTGATATCTCGTAATGTCAACTTGGCCTCATGACCACTACCCAAACTCACTAAAAGATCAAAGAGTGAAGGTGCCCCACCAGGGTCTCTATGAGAAAATGTGACACGGTTGGCAATTACTTCCAATCCAGAAAAGATTGAGGGCCATTGAGACACAGGCACTGCATCTGGTTTACTCGCCCTCCTGACTTGCTGTACAACTTCCGAAATAGCAGTGGAACCTGCTTCAAACAGACCAGGAGCCAAGGCAGCGGTAATTGCGTTCCAAAAATATTCAGTAGTCGATAAGGCGGTGAGCCACTCTTGGACTTCTGCAGATGAGTATGAAGCAGATGTGACCAGTGGGTCTTGAATTCTCTGCAAAAATGAGCAAGAACTGGCTAGATGTTGTTGATTAGACAAATACCTCATGTCTTTGCATAAAATATGCCGGAGATACTGTAACTCTTCCAGCTCCGAAAATTCCCCCTCCCTCAGGCACAACAAAGCCTTGAGATCGCCAAGATTGTTTTGAGGCCGATGAAGTTGGAACAGTTCTAAGAAGCATATTTCGCAAACCCTTAGTGGCTGTGTTCACATAGTCCTACAAAATGAAATAATGTTACGAGAGGGAATCCCCATCAAATAACAAACTTACAACTCAAGATCTTGACAAGATACCAGGCAAGTACACCATCATTATTTTACCATGTTTGTCCACAATGGTTGCTGGTGCAGACATTTTGCCTATTGCTGCTGGGGGGAAGTATTTCTGTAATCGTTCTATTTCTGGGGAGGGTGAACCATCTGCCTTGGGTGGAGAGCACTTTGCCATTTCGGCATATCTCTCAACATCCCAGTCTACATGATCTGCCACTCAGATCAAAACCCTGGTAATACAGTTATTACATAAGTAACTCACAAGGGTTTACCATTGCATAAGCAATTGTGAGCGCTGCTCGAGTTATTTCATATTCGGATATTGAGGAAGACACTTTGATGGGGCATCAGCTGTTGCCAAGCAACTGTTTAGTTGCACTCCAATTCTCAACCTGAACAGGTTAGCAAGTCAAAACATAATGTTAAATGATGAACTGTCATACCTTGCCTTGTGTAGAAGGTGAGATTGTACTTTCCCCTCCTTGAAAACACTTGTGTTTGCAGAATCCCTCATAATTTGAGTGATCTGACCAGTCAGTGCAGCCCTTAGCTTTGTTGTTTCACTTCTTGAGTTGTCCATGTGAGGGAGGGAGAAAATATGAACCGACTGAAACAAAGCAAAAATAGCCGTCTGAATTCCCACACTGTCAATTTGTCCCAATTTAGGTACATTGTAGATGATTATGAAATGATGGAAGCAACTGATAGAAAACAGTAGTGGCTAATTTGACTAAAATGGTATACATATATGAAATCAACAGTTCCACGAATTCGGAACTCTAATAGATTACATCACACATAAGGCCGGTCAGCTCGGTTCCAAGTGACAAGTGCCTTGTTACCCTTGAATTTTGAATAAGGAACGCGCTCTAAGTATTCTATGATTTTCGAAGTTGAACATGTGGAATGATGAGCGGCTAATAAGAACTCACTAATGGTGTGGGATGATACTTCGTGCGGTGGAGGGCATATGCGATGAAATGTGGGAGCTTCACTTGAGAGTTAGAAGACAATGGGGGGGAGGTAATTTGGGACAAGCAAACAGATGGGTTATGAACCTTGTGCACAACCACGAAGGCTGCTCATGACCATGAAATGGGTCAGAGTGTCTTGTGGAAGGTTGAGTTGGTTGGGGTTTGGGTGGCGCTTATGCGAAGTTGAACGTGTGGAATGATGAGCGGCTAATAAGAACTTTCTGAAAGGGGGGTAGGTACAAGTGGACCATGCACAGCAGCCATGATGGGGTGATGAGTTGACTCACCAACAGTGTAGGATGATAACAATACGTGAATGAGGAATGCTCTGGGCATTCTGAAAGGGGGATGGGGGGTAGGTACAAGTGGACCATGCACAGCAGCAGTGATAGGGTGATGAGTGGGCTCACCAACTGTGCAGGATCATAACCCATACGTGAATGAGGAATGCTCTGAGCATTCTGAAAGGGGGATAGGTGGGTGGGTACAAGTGGACCATACACAGCAGCTGTGATAGGGTGATGAGTGGACCCACCAACAGTGTAGGATGATAACAATACACGAATGAGGAATGCTCCGGGCATTCTGAAAGGGGGGTGGGTGGGTAGGTGCAAGTGGACCATGCACAGCAGCCATGATGGGGTGATGAGTGGAACGGGCAGTTTGGTGTTGTGAAGGGAAAAGTGATCTGAAAAGTCAAAGTCAAAGTCAACATTGGGGGTTTAGTTAGAACGGGACTGGAAGTAACATCGAGTCTCAAATTTTACTGATCGGCACTTTCAGCACACCAAATGGCGCACTTGACAAGGCAGAGAGTTGTCAAAGCTTACCTTCTTGGAGTAGTAGTAAGTAATAGTGAAGGCGGCAGGTACTGCTAGTGAAATTATGCGTTGCATGCAAAACAAAGTGTTTCGATGGTGTTTCACATTGGTTACTTTTATTTTGTGTGCTTCAAGTTGAATCAACCAAGCTTCGATTTCATAAAGCATCTTTGTGTTAGATTCTTTGCGTTAGATTTTTCAGTCGCTTTGTCCATTTGATATGATTCTAAAGCTATTTACATGATCTCTGTAGATTTTACACTTGCAGTTCTCACTGAGAACATTGGTGTTGAGTTCATTTTCCACCGGCACAGCTGGTGTATCAAGAAAATGCACACGGTCACGTGATTTTTTCCACTAGCAAGAATTCGCGTCATTTTGGCATACTATTCAAAGAAATAGTGCGAAGTACACAAGCTAATATTTTACTACAAGTTTAATGCAAACATTGAAAGTGGAAGTCAAAGGCAAGCAGTGAGACTTTGATGAGGGAGCCCTCCTCACCAAAGCCTCACGCTCAAAGAGAATACTAAGTAGTAAAATGTGTAATATACATCCTACAACTGTGTTAGACAGATGTTGATTAGAAAAACGATGCTTACCACAAAGAAGCAGGGGGCGCAGTACCATATACATCCTACAACTGTGTTAGACAGACGTTGATTAGACAAATGACACTTACCACAAAGAAGCAGGGGGCGCAGTACAACACAACTGCCAACAAACCAAGAACAATCGCTGAAAAAAAGAAGTCAGTGACAAACACCCACCCCAAGACACAAGAGAAGCAAGAGGCGCACCACACACAAACCAAGCCAAGACCAGTGCTGAAAAAAGACGGAGTCAGTGATACAAGAGAAGCAAGAGGCGCACCAAGCCAAGCCAAGACCAGTGCTGAAAAAAGACGGAGTCAGTGATAAACCCCCAGACCCAAGATAAGCAGGGGGCGCGGTGCCACACAACCGCCAACAAATTAACCCCCAGACCCAACAGACATTGAAGCAGAAGCAGGGGGCGCGGTGCCACACAACCGCCACTAAAGTAACCCCCAGACCCAACAGACATTGAAGCAGAAGCAGGGGGCGCAGAGCCACACAACCGCCACTAAAGTAGCCCCCAGACCCAACAGACATTGAAGCAGAAGCAGGGGGCGCGGAGCCACACAATCGCCACAAAAGTAACCCCCAAGACCCAAAGGACATGCACTGAAAAGGAAAGAAAGTCAGTAAGAAGCAGGGGGCGTGGAGCCACACAACCGCCATAAAAGTAACCCCCAAGACCCAAAGAACATGCGCTGAAAAGGAGATAAGTTAGTAAGAAGCAGGGGGCGCAGAGCCACACAACCGCCACAAAAGTAGCCCCCAAGACCCAAAGGACATGTGCTGAAAGGAGAGAAATTAGTAAGAAGCAGGGGGCACGGAGCCACACAACCGCCATAAAAGTAGCCCCCAAGACCCAAAGGACATGCGCTGAAAAGGAAAGAAAGTCAGTAAGAAGCAGGGGGTGCGGAGCCACACAACCGCCATAAAAGTAGCCCCCAAGACCCAAAGGACATGCGCTGAAAAGGAGAGAAGTTAGTAAGAAGCAGGGGGCGCGGAGCCACACAACCGCCATAAAAGTATATGGTGCTAGTACTTACCATAGGCGCCGCCAAAACACCTTGATGAAAATAAACATAGAAAGAAAGTTAGTAAATGAGAGAATAGAAAATGAGCACTCACCATTACTGTAAGGCGACTCCAGTGCATTGCCTTTAGATCCTTGCAGCTGCAGTCTGCAAGGACCTAAAGGGTACACCAGAAGGCGCCCTTTAGAATGATATGGGAGTGGAAGTGAAGGAAGTAATGGGGGAAAAGAAAGAAATGATGATGAAGGTAATGAGCGAAGAAAATGAACCGTGGGAATTGAAGTTGTTGTTGATATGACGCATGTGCGTTTGTCCTTGTTTGGTTGTTTGGCACTTGGCGTTAATTCAACCGTGTCTTTATTTGGCTTACCAACCAGTTTGTGTCTATTTGTACTACATGCGGAAAATGTGTGTAAGTCTTTTCTCTGTCTTTGCTTCCGAGGCTCATCTAGCTTATTCAATAGTAAGTCTTTCTCTGTTCCCGCTTGTGACGCTCATCCTCTTTCCTCAGCTTACCAATCCAATGACGCGCACCAAGCAAACCTGCAAGAAGTCGACTGGAGGCACCGCCAAGCGTATAACTGTCGACTACGCGCCCTTGCTCGACTTCTCTTCGATCGGCGTCGATCTCGGCTTCGATTCTTCGATCGGCGCGGATCTCAACTCCGATCTGGCGATGGAGGAGACGGTTGAGGATGAGGAGACTGGAGGAGAAGAGGTGGACAAGGCGGATGGGATGGATGATGGGATGGGAGCTGGTGAGGCGCAGTCAAGCCATAATGAGGTGAGTACTTGCCCCATACCTTGTCAATAACTAATCCGCGTGTTTTACAGTGGTGCATCATCTGCCGGGACGGTTCAAGCGGCCACGAGTTTCTGTACTTGTGTGACCTTTGTCCCCACACAATGTGCTCTCGCTGCGTCGACATTCCCGTCACTCATGCCGACGCTGTCAACTGTGACGACGTCATGTTCACGTGCATATATTGCCACTTGGCAGCACAAGACTCTCGCGCAGAAGAAACACGCGCTGCCTACTTTGTAAGTCCTTTCTTCTTCTGTAGTTGTGTCTTAACGCGCTATGTAGGGATTTTACAGGAACAATTTACCGGTTTTGCCCACCTTCCTCCCAATCCGCGGTGCGTTGGAAGTATCTCTGCAATCGCAGATTTCTTCCACGCCTGTGGTATTGATCCACCTCACGCTTGTCGACTTCGAAACTTCCGGCGGACCTTTCGACCTCATGTACCGCTTCCTCTCCCCCTACTTTCCACGCGGAGGTATCGCTTTCCACGAGCTCGTATTCGACGTCGGCTCCAAGGTAAAGAGCGACGTGTACCAAGTCAAGGTGGGCGAATTGGTCCGTAGCCTAATGGCTCAACATAACTGGCCCCGCATCGTGTTCGCCATCTCCAACCATACTGACGACGATCTCGGAGATCCATTCCTGGGCTATGAGAGGAAGAAAAAATTGTATGTGTCTGGCCGAGTCGACAGTGTGAGTAGTGTCTTTTATGACATGCTGTTTGCTCACCGTTCTACCTACAGTTTTTGGACATCATCCTCATGCCATGGCAGCCGCTCATCAGAGCTGCCAAAGACTCTTACCTATGGTTTTTGTCTTGTGGCGCTCTGGTTAACAACAAGGAGTCCTTTTCGTCCTTGCAAAAGGCCGTCCTTCAGTAAGTACCATAGTCTATCATCCTGCACTTCTGCAAAGCCTGACACATACTGCCAGTCATCATATTACAGCTACCATCTGCTTCAACGCCATCCGTTTCCAGCCAAACTTTGCGGCTCCCCTTCTTCTATCATTTGCAGAACTCGTCCTGACTGAGTGTCTGCCTATTCGTGAAGTTTTTCCGGACATGCTCATGCAGTCCTACAAACTTGGCAGACACACTGATGTGTTCTTATTGATGACTAATGCTTGTCATGCCTTGGACATCACTAGATTCGCATGGACGCATTGCAAGGAACGCCCTTGGGGCCACCATCTTCCACTCCAATGCCCTCAGTGTGGATGGGCTAACTCTTGGCGTTCAGCCAACCACAAGAAGACCTACTCCTTTGAATGCATGAACTCAAAGTGCAGGAAAGGGTATCTCTTCAGCCCCCCAGAGAACTCAGTCACCCTATCTCATGCCAGAAAGAGTGGTTCCTGCTGGATTGCAGTTTGTGTGAAGGCCAATTGAATTTCATCTCTTTTTTTTACTACTACTTTTACCCTTGTTAGATTTGCTTTTTTACATGTTTTGGATTACAAATAGTTGCTTGTTCTCATGCCCTTGAATATCAGTTGTTTGCCTTAGCCTTTGAAGACTTCAAAATTTAAGTGGTTCAAACACAATCACATGATTAAATCAACTCGTTGAATACGATCATGTGAACTGATTGTTGATTGTTGAAAATCATCTTGATATGGTCATATGATTAAGTGGCCAGCCATGTTCCTACACATGTAGAACCAGGCTGGCCGGTTTGCTTGTGAAATATAAGCAAACTGGCCAGCCATGGTCTTACACACATGGAACCATGCTGGCTGGTTTGCTAGTCAAATATAAGCAAACTGGCCAGCCTGGTTCTACATATGTATGACCATGGCGGCCGGTTTGCTTATATTTCACTAGCATAGCTAGCCAGTTTCACTAGCATGGCTAGCAACACACGGTCACATGATTAAATCAACGTGTTGAATATGATCATGTGAACTGATTGTTGATTGTTGAATATAATCTTAATATGGTCATATTAATGTTACACTACCTAAATATGGGATTCAAATCAGTTTGTCGGCCAGCCGCCCTCCTACCGCAAGTACTTGTCAGCTCTATCAAAATTTTCAGCCTTTTTTTTTGACTGAACTACAATGCCTTCTGACTGGACAACTCACTTTAAATATATTCTTGATCATTATCATCAAGGTATTGTGACTGCAGATTCACCACAGGCTCTCAAACGCATGGTGAAGAAAATTCGTAAGGCTATACTTGCAGCCCAAAAGGAACTTGAAGACGATGAAGAGGAAGATGTGCCCCAATTGCCTACTTCTTTGAAAAAGGTAACAAAATTTTATTTGTGTATGTAGATACATTTGATTGATGTGTGAATGCTACATTATAGGAAATCAAACAATACTGTTCCCAAATCATCGCCTACAAGGAAGAGGCCAAGGAACGAGAGGCCGCAAGTCGTCCAAGAGAAGCGTCCTTCTACAAGAAATCACTTACCAAATGGGATGTTGCACAGAGGTTGTTCAAGGAAGAAATAGATAAGTCTGACAAGGATGAGCAGAGAAGGAAAGGTGTCCAACGTTCAATCAAGTATCGGACTGGCCATGCCAGGGAATGGTTTGACAATATGTCTCCTTCACAACAGGAGGAGGTCAAGTTCGCCATGACCAAATGGAATAGGGAGGGGGCACCAGAAGAAAGTCAAGTAGTGTAAGTTTGACTCAAGATTTACCATTGATCTCGTCTAAGATCTTCCTTAAGGTATAGGAAGAACAACCTCAAGAAAACACTTAAAGACTTTTCAGAGCAAATCCGACGTACTATGGGTTGTCGAGTGGTGATGTTTGTTAGCCACAAGAAAAAAGCTAGTCAGACATTGTCTGTCAGTCTGTAAGTGATTGAACTTTCATAATTCTCAAGGCTAACTAGACTAACTAATCACTATGTCTCAGACATGAAACTGACCCTCAAAATGTCAAGAAGAGGTTTTCTGTCAGCTCCAATGGGATCAAGGAGTGGACTGCAACTGGATTTGAATCCTTTGCAGAATGGTCAAAGACCGAGTTTTGTATGTGGCTAATGGGAATTTGAATCTTGCGCGTACTAACACTAATTATTCACTCAAACTAATAGATCCTTCAGATGATCAGGACCTGGAGGGTTCAGACAATGAGGATGCTGGCAATGAAGCTGCTATACCCGAAATTATCCTAGATGATGATGGATATGCCAAACTTCCTAGTCGTGATGGTATTGGCCTTAGGGGCCAACATGAATTGATTAGGGGTATATTTCATGCTTCGTATAGTAAGTTCTTATGTCTTCATATTTGTTAGCATTTGATTGATGCTTTGGTTTGTAGAAGTCTGCACTGGGGGCTCTAGACCTGTGCCTTGGGGTATGATAACTGCTGCCTTGTCCAATTATTTGGAACATGGTTCTGTTCCCACTGCATTTGTGGTCAAAGACCCTTCTCATATGAAGACTGAGGAGGTAAATCATCTATGGAACCATTGGGAACAAAATTCGGCTGCAAACAAGAAGCTAGTCGTTTTTGTCAAAGCCAAGGATGGTGATGTGCGGGCAAATGTAAGGAATGAAGAAAGAAAGAAGAAGTCTAAGGAGAAAAGAGTAAGCTTACTTGACTCAGACGAAGAAGACAGCGACCGGCTTCCTTCCTTGAACAGCTCTGATTTCACAGAACGTAGAACCCAGCCGGCTGACACAACCCCAGATGATGTTTCAATCGATGATCGATATGCATTCCTTGAATCTCTAAGCAAGAATGAGGACTACCTAGAGCTTATAGATGCCATTAGGGATCTGGCAAAGTTTGCCAAGCAGAAGGTCAGTATAACTTTGAGTGTATCTTAATCTCATAGCTCATAGTTCGTCCAATAGCCAACTTCAGAGGAGAATCCAGATTTGCCTATCTGGGCTAACTGGTCTTGGGGAGAATCTTATCTTCCTGAGGACATGCATGTGTCTTATGACACTTTGAAGGCTAGCTTGGAAAAGCTATGAACATCTCCAATCTCAGGGGCAGCATCTGCCATGCCAGTGATTCTAGGAATTGGGCTCCTCTATAGGGAGTCTAAACGCGTCATAGAGTATGAGGAAGATGAGGCTGACCCCAATACACCTTTCTACCTACCTGGTTCTGCTTTTGATCTAGAAGTCTTGGTTTCTCTTGATCAAGTTGTTCGGCAGGTCTTGGCCACAGTTGTTGAGCACATAGAGAAGCTGGCAAAAGGGGGACTTGGTGAGGTGCCAGGGGAGGAGGTTGTTTTGACAAAGGGGAAGGAGAAGGAGAAGGCAAAGGAGACACAGGAGGAGCAGCAGCAGCAGCAGGAGCATGAGGAGCAGGAGGAGCAGGAGCAGCAGGAGCAGCAGGAGGAGGAGCAGCAGCAGCAGCAGAAAGGGAGGAAGAGAAGAATGCCCCAAGCTTCGACCAGTGAGTCTAAGAAGCCTAGGATTGAGCCTGAAGTCCGCAGATCAGGCAGGACAAGGCAACCTTCTAAGAGAGCCCAGAACTGATCTTATATACTCCTTTGTCTTCATTGCTGATCAATTTTGTACAACAAATATATCTACTTGTCAAGACTTGGATGAGAATTGAACCATTAGCTCCTACATACATAGACGAAAAAAGGCCAGTATACTAATGAAAAGTGATAATTTAAAAGCTCTACACTGGTCAGCCATGTTCCTACGCATGTAGAACCAGGCTGGCCAGTTTGCTAGTGACATATAAGCAAACTGGCCAGCCATGGTCTTACACATGTGGAACCATGCTGGCCGGTTTGCTAGTCAAATATTAGCAAACCGGCCAGCCATGTTCCTACATATGTATATACAGACTGGCAGGTTCACCAATGACTACATATACTAGCCAGCCTGATCCTATGGTTAGTACACTCAATGGCCAGTATATTAACTTAAGGACTATGAACTGGCCAGCCATGCTCCTACCCACGTAGATACAAGCTGGCCAGTCTACTAATGAAATCAGACTGCAGTAGATATATTCTACATATACCAGCCAGCTTGATCTTATGGCTAGTATATGTCATATGATATATCGGCCGGCACTCATTCTACATACAAGACAAAAGAGATGGTTATAGTATTATAGACTGGCCGGCACTGATACTACATACAAGAGATTGGCCTATAATACCTCGGCCAGCACCAATCCTACATGAAATAATGATACTGAAGTGATAATAAGATAGTACACCGGCCAGCACTTATCCTACATGCACCGGCCGGGGACTGGCTAGCCATGATTCTACGACCTTTTGGCACATCCGGGGCAGGGGTTCTACATGAAAAATGACTGAAGGGTCTGATACAATGGTATTGGTAGGAGTCTTAAGATACACTGAATCTGTTATCTCCTTAGCACTACATTTCCAGGGAGTATCTTAGTTATTACGCTCTTCGATATGCAAGCACTAGCAGATCAAACATATATCGAGAACAAGATCATGATGTACATGTTTCTTATCTGTAAACTTAGATAATTGTGATTCGTAACTCGGTCCACTACAATTTCATCATTGATTTCTCCTTTTGATCACGATTCAGCAAAAGACATGAACAAGGATCTGTTGTGACTCCTGCGAGCCCTGATCAGCACGTACCATACGTGATAGTGTGCATGAAGAAACATATAATTGGAAGGAACTTTCAACCACGCTTGTAGTACTCGCCAGCAGCATGTAACGGCAAGAAGAACTCGGGCACCATCATTTTCTGGGTCTTTGTCATGCAAATCTACGCAGGCTGAACGTGGCTGTGCCAAAGAATCCGTTGAGATTGATGTTATGATTTAAGGTTTGCAACGTATTGACGTCTGCAGCGCGCAAGCAAGATAGGGTATCCGAACTCGAACTACAGCTGTGAATTGATTAGCTCGGGAACGGCCAAATGTTATGAAAGGACTCACTTCATCCCGTTCACGACCATATTATACAGCATCTAGTAGTGGTATTCAGTACGCAACGAACGTCGACGTCATGAACGAAAATCACCTCCAGAATTCGATCGTTGTAGTTGTATTGTGAAGGCAAGTACGTGGAACTTGTCATAGCAGCTTTGAAGAGAGGAGGCTGCGTGTTTCCTCCATGAGCGAAAATGTGCTGTAGCACGGAACCAGCGCCTGAAACGACGAGAGCAATAAGCAAGGCCAATGATGACGAAGAGTGCCTAATGCAGCTCACCAGCAGATTGACCCCAAATCATGACTCTCGTTGGGTCTCCACCGAAGCTACTTATCTATCTAAGTGAGCTTCTATCAGCTGAGGTACAACACACAAGTGGATATTTCCGCTCACGTAGGCCTGGACCCACTGTAAAGCGTAATTTTGGTCAACTTAGAATGTGAAGTTCAGCCGAGTCTGAAGCACTGTCAGGATTTGATAAACACAAATGTAGTCCTGCATTAGGTACACCCCCGTCTTTGACCACTTCTCCAGCCAGAAAACCTAGTTGGAAAGATATAAATTTGACAACCAGAAGGAGCACGAAGATGTACCGAATAAACCGAGGCGGTACTGGAGCACAACAGTGATAACTCCGTGTTTCAATTTCATGATTAGCTCTGCGCCATTGTATAAATTCGCAGCTCCCGAAATATACCTGTAACAAAATCAACTTTATCAAGAGAGGATGATTTCGCAGGCTACTCACCCTCCTCCGTGAATCCATACGACTACTAGGAGCCCACCTGAGGGAGTGACCACTACTTCACTTCCAGGAGTGTATACACTACGTGCAACTGGTGCCCAATCATACGTATTAATATCAACATCGTGTTCCATGGCAGGGCTTACTTCAGAAATAAGCAATCTTCTGACGACTGCTGACTGACAACCGTCTTGCTCAAAGAGGTGTTTTCGAAAAGATTCGTCGGGGCACTTCCCAGGGGTGCTTGGTGGCATTCATTTGGTTACGTGGTAGCTTGTTGAACTTCAGAGAAAGTTGGTGGAGGCTGCGGAGCAGCCCATCTCAAGTCGCCTGTGCCATGCTTAGTGCGTGGGCTGATATTGTATACAACACAAAACTGGACGCACCAAGTGGAGGAGCTGCATACCGTACTCCAAGGAAACTGGTGCATCAGAGAATTGATGAGTCCTTGATATCGTAGCCGTGGGAAGTATAGAACGATGTAATTCTGCTTTTTATGGAAAGTCAGACAACCGTGCTCACATTTGTAAGCATTTTTCGTCACGTGCATCAAAAAGACTCTGAACACCTTGGTGGGGCATAATTAAAGTTTATGACAGCGGAGCGCACAAAGAATCTCGAAATTCACAAACTAAGTATGAGACAAGAAACCAGATACATCTATAGTGCCAAGATAGTAGATACACAACAAACTAATGCCAGGAAAAATATAACACAGAGCAAGGGTCACCATTCATCTGCAGCTTCGATGCTTTCATTGTCTGAGAAATCCCAGATTACCAACCCTGTATGATCGAAGTCTGGTTGTTCGATGGGATGTGAGACGTCGGGTTCATCTGCATCAGCTAGAGCGTCCAGCTCGCTGTGATGGGCAGTATCTTCACGGACATCAGTGGGTAGCCAAATTGAACAGAATTATACCCCATACCTAAGCCTAACCCACCACCCACTCCGCCCATATCGTAAGGGCCATTTGGCTCCTCACAGAATGGTAAATCGGAGCAGCCCTCGAGTAAAGGCAATACACTATCTTCCTCAGCCTCGTTTGGTAATAAAGTGGGTGGTACGTTATCCGCAAGTTGCAGGATGGAGAGTAAGTTCCTATAAACTATCCAAACATTCATGCGTGTGACTTCAGGGCAACCCATTTCATCATAACAGTGCTGAATAAAGTCCCCGAGTGTGGGTGGCACGATGTCGAACACGGGATGAGCAGAATTGATGTAAAGTTCACGGACACGATCCACGCCGTCACGGTCTATGGTAACCTAGAGCACATGTCATCCAATCATCCACGTCCAACATGACTCATGAGACTTACCTTGAAATCTAAAGCATTGAAGTCTTCGGGGGAGTCGTAAATGAGGCTTGGGACACCGTGCGGGAGTATCTGATAGAAGGTCAGATGATGCCACTGATGTTGAATGTACCTGCCTTATTTCGATCACGTCTCTTGGCTGTATTATTGATGCGGTCCCGATACGCATCTAATTCTCGCTGAAGCCAAGGGATAAATACCCAGCAAAATACCATACTAAGATGCATGAAATTATATTTATCACATAGTGAGACTAAGATGAAAGATACGAACTTTTGAAGAGTGTTTCCGACGTCATACCAACCCTCGTTGACACCGTGATCAAGAAGTGTCTCAAAGCCCGGCGTGAAACGTCGTCGTAACTGGGACCAGGTAATTTCGGGCATGACATTTTTTTTGGAACGCATCCAGCGGTGCTGCAGCGTTCCTCGAAGGTCGGGATCATAGCACTGACAAAGGAGAGTTTGAGCATTGGCAATCCTGAAGTTTTCGGTGCCTAGATCACTCTGTGTGATCAACGGCATATCTACAGTGGTATAACATTAGTATTACAGCAAATTTGCATGAGATAAAGAACGAGAGAACGAACGACCAAGTTCCTCAATTGTATTGAGGTAGTAGGATAAAATGAGCTGCGGATTTCGGTTAGAATGCCATACGCGAATCCACATAATTCGCCCAGAAAATGGTTCAATCCCAGTATGGAGACCAAGACCGAACCTCAACCATTTGTCATGTTGGTCTACCGTGAATAGATCATTCACGCCTGCTGCCCAGAAGCGCCTCCTCTTGAGGCACCTGGATTTACGTTCACGTACGAGTTCAGGCTCGTAGACAGTGAAATACAAGGATACTACACTCCTTCAACTATCAGTCAGTTTTTAAACAAATGTGGAAGGAGTAGACTGGTACACGACCTTGCAACACTCATATCCCTTTCATGGAACAGGAGACTTATCACCTTGCGGATTCCAGCTTTCGGATACATCTGACGGAGATCGATCATAGCATCACGGATAGACTCTATGGTATGACCTTGCTGGCGTGTCCGTCGGAGGCCCATGCCCTCCCGAATTTCTCTCAACTTGGTGAGCCTTAAGAGATGAGTTAGACGGTAATGATATTCTAACACGAGTGTACACACCCAATACCATAATGTTCTGTGTCGATATGCTTTTGCCGCAGAATGCGGACCATGTTCCTGTCGGTCTGACGTGTCTTCCACAGCCGGAGAATGTGAGGCACAATCTCATCTAGCGGCGCTAGAAAAACTGTCATCAGACTTGGACGCATGTTGAATGTAGACATACGGGTGGGTTTATACTGATTAGGCATATCGAATGGGCTGCAGAGGTTGAGCGTCGTTAAATACTGTTCCAGCGTACTTACGAATGATCCGCATGAGGACTGCCACAGTCGCAATGCCACGGAAGTGTGTATGAAGCCCTAGGAGTCCAAGGATTTCTGCAGAATCAAGAAGGCCGCAGGTGAGTCACTACATTACTGATTCTCCACAAGCATGGCACTGGATTGCCAGAAATACAGACCACTCACCAATACCACAGGCCGAAACGGAACCTCGATCACCATCGGAAGTCTCTCCTGTTCCTGCTGCGGTCATCCCTGCAGATGAGGATCGACTCAGATTTGGGTGCGTCGTTGAAATGTGTCTCCCGATTAGCGCAACACGAAGAGAAGGCAAGTGTTCTGGATCCGAGATAGGGATGCATTGCGGTCTAGATCCGAAATAGGGATGCAATGCATTGCTTATTACAAACATCAGATACAGTAACGGGAATGAGCCGGCCTTACATTAAGTCACGACTCACCACTTTCAATAGCGAAAAGAGTGTAAAGTCGAGAGTCGAGTCCCTTAGGCTTGGAGGTGGAACTACGGTGGTGCGTACGGTGTCATGTTCAGAACACAAAATACATATTAACGTGTCTATTAACGTGTCAGGTATCGCCTATCCCTATCGCCTCTTGGATCCAGTGAGTTACAATCGACACTAAATGAGTATCGCCCATCTCTAACATAAGGTATCGTGGTGTCCGGTCTTGCAGCATCAGTCTGATTTGACATGGGACTCACCGGTCTTATGGTGTCCGGACTCACACCGTGATCAGTAGAACCATCAGTAGATGCAGTATAGCGAGTATTGGTCGCCTCTTGGATCCAGTGAGTTACAATCAACACCAAATGAGTATCGCCCATCTCTAACATAAGGTATCGCGGTGTCCGGTCTTGCAGCATCAGTCTGATTTGACATGGGACTCACCGGTCTTATGATGTCCGGACTCACACCGTGATCAATAGAACCATCAGTAGATGCAGTATAGCGAGTATTTAAGCTGTCTGGTATCTGTTAAATCTCAGTATCTTCTCCCCATTCTCCATGGCGTCTCTCGAGGTATTTATGCAATTCACTGAAGACGCTATTGCGCAAGAAGACTGTGTATGCCAACGCCCCTCATGTGCCGCCAAAATCCGTAAGGGAGAACCTTGCCACTATATTGCCACAGTAGTCCATGGGCAACCTGGACGGTTTGTTTGTGGGGCATGTTACCAACACTACCAGCGCAAGGCTGCCACCGGAGTACGACCCAGTGGAGTAAGACTCACAGACAGACATTCTCCTGACCTGCAGGATATTCGGCAGTCCGTAAATGCTGCACAATGATCTTGTCAGTAGTTTCTCCCCCTTTCCCTCTTCGTCATTACCAGCTGAGCAATTTAAATGTCTCAGCGTCCATACAACTGCCTCCTGTGGTTGCAACGTCCTATGGACGCAATCCACTTGCAGGGCCCAAGGTAGTTATCCCATCCAGCTGGCGTCAGAATTCCTGTCCTCAGCAATCTCACTCTGCTGTCTATGCTGCTCCGGTTCCTCAGCAATCTCACTCTGCCGTCTACACTGCTCCGGGTCCTCGGCAATCTCACTCTGCCATCTACGCTGCTCCGGTTCCTGGCTACTCTGTGAATCATGCACAGTATGATGCGCAATGAGATCACTGGGCCAAGAAAGCGTACTCTACGCCTCCCGCAGAAACCATCAGCTTAGAGCTTTTGGCAGTTCGAGAGGGTGGCAACAAGAGGAAGGGTGGTCGTGGAATTGGGTTTGGGGTACGTCATATTTAACTAGGACTAGCAGATCTTTGACTTATATCCTTTCAGAACATCTGTGAGGGCAAGAAGGATGTTGATGCCCGAATCGACGCACCTGGCCTTGTTGCACTTGCGCTTGATACTATCGGACCGAAGATCAAGGCTTTTGCACCAGGATTTCTGTGGCGCCAAGACAAATTCATAGTTCGTGATGGAGGCTGGGTTGATTTGGCGACACACCCTGAAAATGTGCCATACTTTTACTCACAATGCTTGCATCCTTCTCGCAAAGGTTCACGTGCTATGGTATTCAAAACAAGACATTTTACAGTATCCGTTGTCGTGCCCATGGCTCAGTGGAACGACTATGAATCATGGCTCGATAAGATCGAAGAGGTTCGTGCTTTGCCGTCTAATACAATATATTATGTTTACATATAACTCTCATATTTAGGAAGATATCAATCGCCACCGCCGTCCTGCTTCGCCAGTCGTTATCAATCGCCGCCGCCGTCCTGCTTCACCAGTCATTACCTCACTATTTCACAGCACAGTCGCTCCATCATCTGAAGTGTCTTCAAAGAGGCCATCTCGATCTGAGACTCAGAGTAGCAGTAGCAGTCTCTCTCCCTCACCTCCTCACAAGAAACCTGCGCCAAACTTTTGCTCTCCTGATCGCGATCGTTTGAGGGATGTTTTACAGTCGGGGGGTACCGCAGACTTAGACGTCCGCCAAGGTAGGAGAAACCATTGTCTATCATATGTAATCTAATGTGTGTGCTAGTTCTTAATTTACAGAACGAAAACATACATTTCTTTCCTATCCCGAAGCGCCCCTTGTCTGAGATTTTGGATAAGCCGCAGTACCACGCATTTTGCTTGGATCCTGAGGCGTGCTATAACAGCCAACTTACCATCGACATCTCCTCAGACAACATGCTGGGTGCTGGTGGATTCAAGACGGCACATCCAGGTTGGCTAACGCTCTTTGCAGCTCCAGAGTCTGGACTTGGTTCATGCCCCCGTCAGAAAGTGGCAGTCAAGCGGCCTTTTCACAAGATTTACCCTCCAGGAAGCAGCAAGGCCCCTGGAAGATATGTTATCGGGCGGTATGCAGTAGCCGATGAAATTCCGAAACTCTTTCGAGAAGCAAACGTGCTATACTGGGCAGGCCCACTTCTAGAGTTCGCCTATAACTACATCGATCACTGCATTGCCCGCTCAACCGACCCTCCACCCTTTACAATCCCTCGGTTGCGTTTCGTTGAAGCAGGCCTCGCACTGTCATACAGTCAGGCACCGCGGTCTGATCTTAACCAGAAGTCAAAAGGATGTTCCCCTCGGGCCGGGTTTCTGCTTGAGGAACTGATCGGTGATGATGACAGTAGGAACTTCATCAAGTATATCCACAATATGGATTGTAATCCATTGCTTGATGCGGATGAGTTCGGCTATGACATAGCCGCTTTTTTGGCTTGTACCCAGCACATCCAGTACGCCAAGACTGGCGGTTTGGCTTTTATATCAGACTATCAGGGTGCGTACTTTTTGATATTGTACGTTGATTTTAGCATTAAAATTTTATATTCAAGGTGATGCTGAGATTCTTACAGACCCTCAAGTCCTGACGCACCCGTACGTGATCTCCATTTCAGACGAGCACACACTATGATACTGAAGAACTTCAGTTTGGTCAGCCAAGGCAAGGACATATTTGGCGACGGCAACTTAGAGATCGAAGTCAGTATGTTCGAGAAAAAACATTTTTGTAACGACTATTGTACATGGAGTGGCTTTGGACTCGAACGGTTACCATCAGTGTCGGCGGAGGAGCTAGTATCAGTTACCATCAGTGTCGGCGGAGGAGCTAGTATCAGCAGTGTCAGCGGGGGAGCTAGCACCAGTAGTGTCGGCGGGGGAGCTAGAGGCTAGCTAGTGAATGACTATGTAGACGCGTTTGATTGGGAAATGTTGTGCACGATATATAGATGTGGTTTCTTGCCTTGTACTTAGTTTGTGAATTTCGAGATTCTTTGTGCGCTCCGCAGCGCTGTCATAAACTTTAATTATGTCTCACTAAGGTGTTCGGAGTCTTTGTGATGCACGTGACAAAAAATGCTTACAAATGTGAGCACGGTTGTCTGACTTTCCATAGCTTTTGCTAAATATTAGCATTTATACTGTGAGCAAATTGAGTTGTACATACATACCCATCGATGCCCACAAATTGAGTTTAACATGGACGGTCTATAACAATGCTATGGCATTCCTCCTTCGTAGCCGGTGAGGGGTGGTACCATACCTGTGTCAATTGTTTTGAGCTTTATCATTTTGTGTTATTTTATTTTTGAATCACAATGTTTGTTTTTCAAGACCTTCTCGAGACTGTCTCGTGAATACCAATGTCCCTATATTAGACTCTCTGGCATGTCTCGCGACAGCTGCGTGGATCTGAGACGGGTGATCCATGTTTCAAGGGTGTAGGTGGGGTGCTGCGAGGTGAGCTTGGAGACAGTCAGTGATTCGACTGTCATCCTTCTGTTTGGGAGAGGCGCGATATGACCTAGCCGACGCAGGAGGTGAGACTCCTTCGGCTGCGTATGGTACGCATCCAGACCTTGGACGACAGCATAAATGATGTAAGCTAAATGCAGGGTTGTACGATTAGCTGAAGTACCACAAGAACAGGACGCAATTCATCCAGGCGAAGTTATCGCTGCACTGGTGCACCTGGAAAGTGGCAGCTGCGCAATTTGACCCATGTTTAGAGCCCCGGCAAGTTATTCCATCAATAAAAACCTTGTGTTAGCCTTTGCAACAAATGGATGAACAGGCTCGTGGTGCAACTTACACGAAGTCATTCACAATTCTGTACAACAAGTCCACCTCGACCGGGCTCGAATTTGTCAACCTCCACAAGCATAGCGGATGCAGGTCAGCCGATCATTCCATTCACCAAACTCATTTGAAGATCAGTGAAGGACTCGTACATGCATATTCATCGCCCTGTTCTTATGACAAACTATTTAAATGAGCACCGTACGATCACGAGCTCTCTAACACTAGTGCCAACAACACCTCATACTCTCCTCCACATTTAATGCTGATCGAAGGACATCATACTAGTAATACTCCACGAGGTTGGTCTCAAGCTCTCTGCGGTTCTCTAGTGCAAAAGGTTAGTACCCAGGCCCTCCATAAGCAACGAGGTCGGTTTCTAGCTCTTCGCGCTTGTACCCCGCGTAACCAACGAGGTTGGTTTCTAGCTCTTCGCGCTTGTACCCCGCGTAACCAACGAGGTTGGTTTCTAGCTCTTCGCGCTTGTACCCCGCGTAACCGACGAGGTTGGTTTCCAGCTCTTCGCGCTTGTATCCCGCGTAACCAACGAGATTGGTTTCCAGCTCCTCGCGCTTCTTGCCCTCGTCTGAGTCAGAAGCTCTCCGCACTTCTCTAGTGCAAAAGGTTAGATCCATAGATGAATAATGGCAGATGTATAACCCACCTTTTACCAGTGTACCCAGGCCCCCCATAAGCAACGAGGTTGGTTTCAAGCTCTTCGCGCTTGTACCCCGCGTAACCAACGAGGTTGGTTTCCAGCTCTTCGCGCTTGTACCCCGCGTAACCAACGAGGTTTGTTTCCAGCTCCTCGCGCTTCTTGCCCTCTTCCGAGTCAAACTCGTCACGTTGAAAGAGACTCGTGCCAAGATCCTCTCGTTCAGCTGAGTGATTAATTAGCATCTCGCTGCGACAAGTAACTATGATGCTGCTGATGGTCATGAATACTCACAGAGACCTTTCACGGTGCCTCCTGGCATTGGGGACGCTGCAGCAAGACTGACGATAGATGTGAGCGCGCTGAAGAGAAGTAAAAACTGCATGTTTATGGATAAGAGGAGTGACTACTTCGTTAATGCACTACATTGAAATTTCTAGGATGCTTTTATACAAACGAGACAATTACATACCAATTCAGATCGGGGCAGCAGGTCCTCGGCTTTACTTATTACTGTGACCGGTTTCCCAAGCCATCGGCCCTGCTGCAGAGGTTTTACTTCGTCCAGCGAAACGAGTCGGCGGTGACCGTGCGCAAGGAGCCGCCTCGTCAGCGATGAGATGAATTGATTGTCCAACGGATTTCACTTGCCAAGTGCACACACCTGGCGAAGGGATTACCTTGCTTGCAAGTGGCTTACAAGGTTTCTTGCTCCCCGGTAATGAAGGCGCATCATGTGATCGCGTGGACAGGCGGCAGACACAACAAGTGCCTGCCATTCGACTCCTCGCTTGCCTTGGGATGTGAAGTCGACGTCGGTGCCGACAAGTCGGCGCTTCAGGCAATAACATGACGACATTTAAAATTCGAACTGTGGATTATCAGGCTGCCGCCGAGAATTCCATTGCAGTAGGAAGAAAATTGTTTCTGGTGCGGTCATCGTCTTCGCACACTCTTGATGGAATGCCACCTTTGGCAGTCAAAGATGGCATGCGATTCAAATTCCTAGGCATCCATCCAGGGAGCCCTCGGAAAATACTTTGTGGCGAGAGCCGTGTTCAGCAATCGAGAAGAAGCTGGATTGGCAAGAAGTTTAGAGTTCTGACTCCACTTCTGAAGCTGAAGTTCTCATGGACTATCTCCGCTTCCCGCAAGCTCTCGCGGTATCCAGCTCGAGTAGTTTTGACGACTTCTTTTGGCGCCACAGACAGTCACTGGAATACCATGCTTGGATTTGTGAAATACAGCGAATGGAAAGGTTGTAGCAGATAAACAAATAGTAAAAGTAAACAGTATCATCCAGGCTTAATGTATGTTAGCGCGTCTCAAGGTGGTAAATAAAAAAACAATGCTATTATTCTAGCACATCCGACATGATTCCTTTCCGCCACTTCTGTTATCACATTTAGAAGCATTCTGTAGCAGGGTGAATGAGAACGGGTAACAGAAAAATAGCGAGAGACACGCACTGCGATGAACGATGCCCGGACCGGACTCGTCGTACTCCTGCTTTGAACACCACATGTTCTGGAAAGTGGACAGCGAAGCCAAGATGGAACCACCAATCCAGACGGAGTATTTGCGCTCAGGGGGAGCGACGATCTTGACCTAAAAGTAATGACGGATAAACATTATAGATGTGAACCAAAGTCTGGCACCAACCTTCATGCTTGAGGGCGAGAGCGATATCAACTCCTTCTGCATACGATCGGCGATACCAGGGAACATTGTAGTACCACCCGACAATACAACATTACCATACAAGTCGCGACGAACATCAAGATCGCACTTGGTGATTGAGTTATACCTAGAAGGGGTAAATCGGACTACACTCCTGGTAAATGATTTGTTTGCTTACGTCGTCTCGTGGATACCGGCGGATTCGAGGCCAAGCAAAGCAGGTTGGAAGAGCGCTTCGGGTGAACGGAACCTTTCGTGATTATATGAGGTGTGATGACTCAATGATCGAAGGGAACAGTCTTACCGTTCGTTACCGATGGTGATGACCTGGCCGTCAGGTAGCTCGTAGCTCTTCTCCAGGGCTGATGACTGAGCGGCAGTCTGCATCTCTTGATCAAAGTCGAGGGCGACGTAGCACAACTTCTCCTTTATGTCCCGAACGATTTCACGTTCGGCGGTCGTCGTGAAAGAGTGACCACGATCGATCAGGTTCTTGATGAGATAGTCGGTAAGATCACGACCAGCAAGGTCGAGACGGAGGATAGCGTGAGGAAGAGAGAAACCTTCGTAGATAGGTACGGTGTGCGTGACACCGTCACCAGAGTCCATCACAATACCCGTCGTGCGACCGGAAGCGTATAATGACAGGACTGCCTGAATGGATACATAGAATGCGGGTGCATTGAACGTCTCGAACATGATTTGTGTCATCTTTTCACGGTTAGCTTTAGGGTTTAGGGGAGCCTCTGTGAGCAGGACGGGGTGCTCCTCTGGGGCTACACGAAGCTCGTTGTAGAAAGTGTGATGCCAGATCTTCTCCATGTCATCCCAGTTTGTGACAATACCGTGCTCGATAGGGTACTTGAGCGTCAATATACCACGTTTGGACTGAGCCTCATCACTGGGTACTAGGGGTAAGGTGACGATGACGACGATGACGGGCGAAGCATACCCGACGTAAGAGTCCTTCTGATCCATACCAACCATGACACCCATGTGTCGGGGACGACCAACTATAGAGCTGTACGATGCTTGTTGAGCGTCTCGTGAATAGTGATGATACAGAATGCGAAACGTACGGGAAGACGGCACGGGGAGCATCATCACCTAACAAAACGCAGTCAGTCGGGTATGTTTACAACACCACGAATCGTGTTGATTACCAGCAACTGCGAGGAGGCTTATCAGACAGTGTAACAGATCAAATCAAGCATAACTTACAGCCAGCCTTGCACATGCCGGAACCATTGTCAATAACCTGGCAAGGGTGAGCTCTTTAGACAGGGTGAAGCACGGCGATGGAAATTAACATACGAGGGCAGCTACTTCTTCTTCCATGGTAAATTAATTATCGTTAAAGGGTAAAAATGATGGTCAAGCTTCAAGGTTACGCATGTTATTTGAATAGTTCTTTCTAGACAAGCGCAGTCCGCGGCGCAGCCGCAGCCTTCGCAAGCTAAACAAGGACTGGGTACAAAATACCATCGTTCCTATAAATCAGTACCGCAGTCGCAGGTATCTATAAATATTCGTGCTGCATGGGTGGGGCCTGAAACGGTACCATGTGACTTGACGCAGCGTGTGCAATGGGGCTCGACATGATACTAAGGGAGGGTGCATGTAGCTTGACAAGGTGTGGGGATGTCGATGAGGGTTGGCAGGCTGGCACAACCCGAATGACACTTCAAATCTAAAAGCTAACATTAGACCACAGAGACAGCACAGGTGACAGGAGGCGAATTATAGCAACTCGCGAATTGCAATTGAATTTTGATGCTTCCGCATGCTGTATGAACACGGAGTTTGGGCATATACAAGCACTGTAAATAAGGTGAGATGTGCATTTCAGCACCCTAGGTCTGTACGCAGATGGATATTGATCGAGAACGAAAACTGAAATCACGGTGGCGGTTCAAAGGTAGTCACGTGCCACATCACATACTCCCTGTGGGGGCCTACTGCACGTCATTTTCACTTGGCATCGTTGTTATAAGTAAACCCATACCGTACGTAGCCGCAGTCACGGGCATCCATGAATGTTCATGTTGCGTGTATACGGACGTATGTGACTGCGAAACGAATCTGCGTGCTGTGGATTCACATATGGATCGGACTTCAAAACTTCACGCTATTGATCCGGTGAACGCCGCTAATAGCTATGTCCACCCGTGTATGATTATCAGCCTCGAGTCCTATCAGGATTCAGGACCAAGCTGAGCTGAGTCTTGCCCAACTCCTGACAGATTCAGCATCGTTTGTCACCACCAATTGATCATGGCACTCTCTAATAGTACCAATACAGCTACCTTCCCTGTTACTGAATCCACGTCTAGCTCTTCCCACCCGGCCCATGTCAACCAAGGCTCACTTCCTGTTGCGAGCATCATCATCCTCGCGATCTCCTATCATTGGAAGACAAGTCGAGCCCTTTCAACAAACCCAACGCAGATGAGTCCTCTCCGGCTCATTGCTACTAATGATCACTTGCATCTTTCCCGGCGCACGAATCAATCAATAGCAACTCCTAACCGCGAAACGACTGTGTCAAATGTACTCGGATGTTGAATAGCACCTGAATATTCTCGACACAATCGTTTCTCACCTTTCCTGAGTCCCACTGGTCTCTGGCACTGGCATGTGAAAGGCCTAAATATCTCAACGTGCAGCTCATACCATACCTACCTACTTACTTACTGACTGACTTACTGCTGTCTTGATAACACGATCAGAATGCAGTGATGTCTCTAGTTAGCTTCTGAAATGTCAACCACTACGCCATAGGTACCGTACAACAGTGCATAAGTGATCGATGCTGGCAATTCAAACAAGAAAACCTAGGCCTAGTTGTACGGTATTTGCTTCGGATCCCTCATTGCATTGTTTGATAATTTTCGCTTTTCAGTGCATCTCCATGATCCGTGAGGATCCTTTGCAAGAATGTCAAAATCTTCCAACAGCCATAGAGTAGTACTCACATCCACAGCATTGAAAAAATAACCCAGTCATGCCAAAACCAGGAATGCGCTAGTAGACGAAACAAAGTAATCTGATAGCAGATTCAGTTGCTGCATCTTGATGCCATAGTCAACGCCGAGAATAAGTCATAATGTACGCCGCGTTTGATATTGCCTGGGCTCATGTCTCACGAAGGATGCCCTGCTCCACGAGCGCTTGGCGTCCTGGATTTGGGGCCATAATCAGTGCACCAAGTGAATGATGCAGAACCTTTTGAGTGCAGCGAGCGAACCCAACATTCCGATGGTGGGTACTATTGCAGCACTCAAAAGGTTACAAAGGATTGGATCATCGCGCACGGCTGTATGCTCGTCAAGAATGGATGAATCTCGCGCGCTCAGGTGGCTGTTGAGGAATAGAACGTAAGTGTGGCTTGTGAGATAAACATCGAGCGGCTCACTTCCCATAATCGTCCAGCTACAGGACTCGGAGAACGTGCACACAGAGTGACCAATGACCAACGTATTCGAGTAACCTCGCAGGGCGATCTCCTACTGCAAATCCATATATAAATGATGGAAAAGGATCGCTCAGGGAAGTCATCAACAAGGAGAGACGAGGTTCCTGTGGAACGTTCTCAGACAGTTAATGACGAGAATATAAGCGATGAGATTGCGGATACGTACAAAGCTTATTTCAGTCAGTGATCATGGTAGCGCATGCGGCGGATCCGCGAAGCTGGAACGACGATCTTATGTAGAAGCAAGACTGAGGCACGAAGGGGACCTGGGAGATAGGGGGCTGATAGTGGTCACCTAGCCGACACGTCAGACACCCAACCCACCAAGAGCTATACTTGGTCACGATAATCGAGTGGCGCTTATAAGCACAGTTGCCAGCTAAAGACCACACACCTGCCATCTCATCGTCTGCTATTCTCTCTTGGGCCTCCGTTGCATCCAACGCAGAACACTTGGTGGTGGGTCAAACAACTCGTTCGCAGTTTGATATCACACCGACTCATACTTCATCATTGTATGTAGAGGTCCAAGAAGAAGAGAATATCATGAATAGACGATGACGTGGCAGGTGTGGAACTGCCATTGATTGCATTGTCGTTAGCGTTAAGACGGTAAAGTGGAGTAAGCTAAGATCTGATAAAAGACTAACTTTGTGGAAACCGTCCCTGAAGGAAAGAGGACAGAACACCAACGAAGGGAACGTGGATGAGCGGCAAGGAAATGGTAAAAGACTAGGAATAAAGGTAAGTACGACGGCTCCGCGACTATATATAGTGAACGACGTTAAAGGAACAAACAACGTCACAACAGAGCGGCATGTTATCACTTGAATAAATTATATCAATTTTTTATTCTCCTTGAGTATACCATTTTCATATAGGCTTTGGCGATCGGTATTCGATGTAATCGAATAGTTATATGGATCGCCTGAGTTGATTATGACGTTCCCTGTGGAACCAGTGTGAAAGCTTCCGCGGGTGGCTTTTGGCACATGAGGAGATGGTTGGTGGAGAAGAGGCTTGGGCCAGAAGGGTTTTATGTCAGTCAATGGTATACCGTAGACCCCATACTACAGGACTCAACGTCACATGGCCAACCTTGCGAGGCCAGTGTTGTAGTCTGCTGCTCTGAGAAGATGTCCTAAGCACTAATGGAAAGCGATGGTTCTGCGAGTGATGAACAGGTGGATGGTAGGGAAGAGCTGCGATGCAGGAACGGAAGGATCGAGGGCGTGCTTGAAACCTGGCTGCAGGCGTGAGTACTGGGCGATAGTTATGGAGCAGGTCGCTTGAGATAATATTACAGCATCTGAGATCCTGGAAATAGCTAAGCAGCGCCAGTCGTGACGAAGTCGCTCACAAACTCAAGAGTTTTGAGGCCCAGGCGTTTTTTGGCGCGCTTGGAAGGAGGATCTGGACGCATGCAGGGTGGCGCAAATTTTCGGCTGTGGAAGGTTGCTGTACTGAAATGTTGCGTGGCAGATCGATATCGGACATGTATATAACAAATGTGTCCTTTTTTAACGTGGTCCTAGCTAGGCCTGGTAAGACCAGCTGCATTTCAAACGAATATTTGCTGGCAGAACTTCTCGACAAAATTTTGGGAAACCGAAGACCGGCGGTGGTCTACGTTCTCTAGGTTGTGTTCTTGAAAAAGAAGGGTCGACTGGCCATTATCTTAAGGTAAGGCGTGCTTACTAATTGGTCGATCCATTAAACTTGAATCCGTCCTAAGCAATCCCCGACTCGAGCACAAGCCCAAGGTCTACAAGACCCTCGTCGGTGGTGTCGTTGAAGCCTAATCACTTGCGTTTGTACCTGTTACCCCTCACATCACCCGTTCGCGGTGTTTCTTTTATCAACTTGTGAAGTTCGAATCACTGTGTGGTAGTGCACAATATTCCATCATGACAGAGTTTTGTATGGCAGATAAATCTGCCACGACTGAGCAATGCCACATAACTCATCCCGGCTGGGCCACGTCTTGAACATTAGTGATCACTATAGTAAGTTGCTAAGTGTTGACGCTCTCAATAACTTGCAGTTCATTACATCCCGAAGGAAATGAGTTGATGGCGTTTGAGCGCAGGGCCTGCGTGATCCGATAGTAGGGTACTGACCTTCCTCTCTGGTCCCTGTGTGCCAACTCAAGCCTTATGATAGTAGTGCCTTATCGGATTTCGCGAACGCTGTCGCCGCTTCTGGTACAGATAAAGGTAAGTAACATTTGCGAATGTTCGGACGTCCTGGCTTTCTGGTTCACATTCAACCCACCAACTACAGATCCAGTTTTTCTTTCGCGAGTTATGCGCAAGGAATATTATTCTCCCGTCGACGGTGACGATGTAAACCTTCTTGATAGTGGTACAGAAACCAGACCTCCTCCAAAATCCCGCTTCTTTCACTGGTCGCCATTGCTGAGCCATGGCGTACTGATGTCCATAACGATGCTGTTCTTCACGCTATGGGCACGGGCGCCTTCGATAGATGACGTGGTTGTGTATTGTGGGTGGACAGATAGCGTCAACATACAGGAGTTAACTTACTCTTCGCAGCTCCAGCCAACGAGGCAATTGAATCTATCGGTATTGTAAGACTCAACGGAACCCTGAACGCTCCTTCCATATATCGTGGTCCATCCCCAGAAGTCGACGCCGCTTGGGATAGGGTATCTCTCAATGGTTGCTCCATGTGCTTTGCTATAGGCGATTACTGACGGGAAGCATTTTCAGCACGCCCAATTCGTATGACGCTTGAGCAATTGCTCAGAACAGGTGAGAGACCTTCTCCCGCCATGGCTCAGTATCCGGACGAATATGGCGGAGGTTACATGGCAACAGTAGAAGTCATTCACCATCTCCATTGCGTAGTCAGTTGTAATGCAGGGAGACTGGTCGATCTTTGCTCACTTCCCTGCAGGACATGCTTCGCAGAGTCACCTGGAACAAACCTCAATCCTATGATCATGACGACGAATCCCACGAATCCCACAAAGACTTCCGCATTCATCTCGGTACGTATGCTGTTTCCTGCTCAGCCCATGTCCTGCTTATGTTGTAGTACATCAGACCATTGCATCGAAATGCTCAGGCAGATCATTATGTGTCGTGGTGATGTGACAATGATCACTTACGACTGGCTGGAGGGGCACGATGATCCTTTTCCTAACTTCAACATTCGTCACCAATGCAGAAACTTTGAGAAGGTCTTGGATTGGGTCGATGAGCGCCGTGTTATTGTCCCTAGACCCAAGATGGTCCGCTTGGAGGATAACGTCGACTTGCCTTCCCCTCCTTGATTGCAGTCTTAATACATTCTCCTCAGTTGACGGATCTCGCGTAGATCATGATATGATGGATGTAGCAAACTGCCACGAATTTGAGCACCTTGCAAAGTCCAATGGAAATCTTACGTATGCTGAATACAACATTAACATGGTCTACAAAAGTTCAGATGTAAATGTCAGGTAAATCATTCCCCAACTACTACAGTATATGCGCATACCTTTTTCAGCATGTCAATCATGTTCAACCTGAATTGGCTACTGTAACTTCAAAACTCCATGTACAAATGTTGACTGGCTGGCCTGTCGCTGCGCTTTGGCTCGTGCGGAGGCTTTGTTGGGGCGTGGCATAACTGTCTGTCAAGCACGGAACGAAAAAAAATTAAATCGGTTCACATTTTGAAACACGGGCGCTTAATTCAAAAAAGCGTTAAACTACGTGTCTTTTTAAGCTAGTAAGCCTTTGGGTTCTGAAGTCCAAAATAATGTGGTGCGAAGGAGTCGAAAAAGTGTTGCGTGTACTGTATAGGGTACGGTTGAAAAATCGTCACGACTTTTCAACAGCTGTTTATAAACAGACCGCCTCGGACCATTTATCAACAGGTGTTTAAAACACTTTTCAACTTTCAGTTATTAACTAGTTGAAAATGATTTATCAACAGTGTGAATAAAGTTTTCGCAGTGAAAAATTGTGAAAAATTAGAAATTCCAGTTGGCCGCCCTCTTGTTCGACACCGGCACCCTGTCCTGAGCCACCCGAACATTCTGCGAGCCAACGACAGGTACCGTAGAGATCAAATCACGCAGTAAAGGAGAGCCGAGGTGAATATCTTCATCCACCTGCAGAAAATCATCCTCTGGTACCTCGTCATCTCTGCGAGTGCCTACAAGGCCATCCTCGACATCATCCAGCAGGTCTTCTGAGTCGTCGCTGTCATGTCCAGTGTCCACAGCAGGTGGTGTCATGTCGTTAGTTGCTGGCTTGACTCCTGTGGTAACAGCACGAAGGAGGTCTTTGTCGATGTCGCGGAACTTGACTGTTGGCCGGTAGGGTTCCTTTCGTGGTCTCGATTTTTCAGCCTATAGCACAGTCATGTATTAATTACCCATCATGATGCTGTGCATGCTAATTATTATGCACCTTGTTACCATACCACTGTCCGATCTGAATCATGTCAACGAGAGTTTGAGCATTCTGGTTAGCACGTATTGCCGAGTTGAGCCATGTCAACTTCGAGCCTGTCCGTTCATCCGGCATGGAGTTAATAAGTACTGAAAAAAATTTGACTGCGAGAGCCTATCAAACAACGAGCAAGTTAGCCCAACAGCACAACTTCGGAAGTAAACAAACTCGGACTTACAGCAAGGACACGAGCATGGGGATGAGGTAGAAGTGTATTCCACCATGCGAGAGTGTTTCCGTCTTGAAGGGGGGCATTGAATGGCCACTCGTTGTGAAAATAAGCTTGAAGTTGACATCTGAACTCGTCAACAACACCAGCTGCTCCAATCTCCTGCACAAGCAGCGAGATTGGGTCGTTGAGTTTGTTGGATATGCTCAACACAGAGTCTAACAATGTCTGCTTTTGTTGCTTTGTAGCCGTGCTCTGTGGTGGGAGCTGTGAAAATGTCAGGTGACGGCATTCATTTCGTTCAATTACCACCGCAACTGTACCTCGATGTTGTGTTGACTGTAGACTTCTTGTACTCCAATACCAATGTCAACTGCCCACTTCTTAATAACATTATCTGTAGGGTATCTGACATGAAAGTCTTCAAGCACATCAACCACTGCACAAATAGGTTCTCCTCGCTCCTCGATTGCCACAATTCCAGATCCCGTTGTTCGTGTTTGCCATCCGAAAATCTGTTTGAATTGTTCATTTAAGGCCCCTATTTCGCTTCCGGTACGATCTAGCAGCTCAGCGTCAATCGTGAATGACAGGAATGCGAGGTATTTTGATGTGAAAGCAGAACCAACGGGAAAGGCAGTTGGCAGATTTTGTAGCAATATCCGCAAGTATTCAAGTATACCCTGAAACTCGGCAGGGGTGAGAGATTCGGGTGCAGGGAATGACATAGCTAGGGCGTCAAAAATAAGGTTGGCGGTGAGAGGGTGGTCCGGTTGAACTTTTTCGAGCCTCAGAAGTTCATTCAAAATGTTCCCACATGCCCTGGACTTATTCACAATTTTCAACAGGCCTCCGGACACGATGACTTTTCAACAGCGTTATTAACAGTTATTAACAGGTATTTTCAACAGCTGTTGAAAAAAAGTGACTTTTCAACCGTACCCTAGTACTGTAGTGGGATTATACGTCCGCTCCAAAGAAAACATCACTGATGTCTTTACCAAAGCTCTCCCTAAGAAGGACTTCGAGTGTCTCCGTGCCTATCTCGGCCTCCGGTGATTCAGTCGAGGAGAAGAGTGTTATTACTGCACGCGAAGGGCACGTGACGAGTACAACTCGAGTATGTTTTCCCTCTTTCCTCAGTCCGTTCCACGAGAGTCGAGACTGAGGGTATGTTAATTACGCTTCCACGCTCTACACTAGCTAGACACTGACATATTTATAGTTGAATCGATGGGGCGTATTATGGTAATTGAATATTGAATGGTGGTCATCAAGCCCCAGCGCAACGACTCGGAATCTCAACTTTGCCAGCATATCATCAGTGAACCGGTGAACAAATTACAATTTCATATTTAAGTAGATCTGGCGAAGGAAACATAAGAACGCTCAACAAACGGACACACTTGATGCTACCAGCCCTTACAGGCAGCGATGGTGCAATGTTACAACGTTGTCACACTGGCAAACTCGCGTGCTAATCTAGATTTAATGATCAATGCAAACACCGCTTTCTACGAGAAAGTTTTGAATAGCTATGTAATTCACAACATAAGTATTGGAGAATGAGAATGCTCAACAAGCTTGGGGGATACAATTACACTACTTACCATCTCTTGCTGGCCATCATGTTACAATGTCACGACCTTGTCACAAACTCCTCATGGTAATCTAGATTTGCAGACATCAATCAATAACTCAAATTTATCTCAGCATGCATAGTCATATTTAGCAGAAGCAGAATTACATCCTTCTATATAGTTTCCACGGCTACAATATCAAGGACTCGTGAATTCACTGATAATTGTCGGACAGATCAGAAGACGGCCTTCGAATTCGAGGCTCGGAGACATCACAGGACCCATCCTCAATGGACTCACGTATTGGCACTCTGTCTCGTGAATACCAATGTCCCTATATCAGACTCTCTGGCATGACAGCTGCGTGGGTCTGAGACGGGTGATACATGTTTCAAGGGTGTAGATGGGGTGCTGCGAGGTGAGCTTGGAGACAGTCAGTGGTTCGACTGTCATCCTTCTGTTTGGGAGAGGCGCGATATGACCTAGCTGACGAGACTCCTTCGGCTGCGTATGGTACGCATCCAGACCTTGAACGACAGCATGAACGATGTAAGCTAAATCCAGGGTTGTACGATTAGCTGAAGTAGCACAAGAGCAGGACGCAATTCATCCAGGCGAAGTTATCGCTGCACTGGTGCACCTGGAAAGTGGCAGCTGCGCAATTTGACCCATGTTTAGAGCCCCGGCAAGTTATTCCATCAATAAAAACCTTGTATTAGCCTTTACAACAAGTGGATGAACAGGCTCGCGGTGCAACTTAGACGAAGTCATTCACAATTCTGTACAACAAGTCCACCTCGACCGGGCTCGAATTTGTCAACCTCCACAGGCATAGTGGATGCAGGTCAGCCGATCATTCCATCCACCAAACTCATTTGAAGATCAGTGAAGGACTCGTACATGCATATTCATCGCCCTGTTCTCATGACAAACAATTTAAATGAGCACCGTACGATCACGAGCTCTCTAACACTAGCGCCAACAACACCTCATACTCTTCCTCACATTTAATGCTGATCGAAGGACATCATACTAGTAATACTCCACAAGGTTGGTCTCAAGCTCTCTGCGGTTCTCTAGTGCAAAAGGTTAGATCCATAGATGAATAATGGCAGATGTATAACCCACCATTTACTAGTTCCACTACCGCCATCGCCGTACCCAGGCCCTCCATAAGCAACGAGGTTGGTTTCTAGCTCTTCGCGCTTGTACCCGATATAACCAACGAGATTGGTTTCCAGCTCCTCGCGCTTCTTGCCCCCGTCTGAGTCAGAAGCGCTCTGCGCTTCTCTAGTGCAAAAGGTTAGATCCATAGATGAATAATGGCAGATGTATAACCCACCTTTTACCAGTTCCGCTACCCCCATCGCCGTACCCAGGCCCTCCATAAGCAACGAGGTTGGTTTCCAGCTCCTCGCGCTTCTCGCCCTCGTCTCTAGTGCAGAAAGTTAGATCCATAGATGAATAATGGCAGATGTATAACCCACCTTTTACCAGTTCCACTACCACCATCGCCGTACCCAGGCCCTCCATAAGCAACGAGGTTGGTTTCTAGCTCTTCGCGCTTGTACCCGATATAACCAACGAGATTGGTTTCCAGCTCCTCACGTTTAGCTGAGTGATACCTTAGCATCCCGCTGTGACAAGTAACTATGCTGCTGCTGATGGTCATGAATACTCACAGGAACGTTCCACGATGGCTCCTGGCGTTGGGGACGCTGAAGCAAGACTGACGATAGATGTGAGCGCGCTGAAGAGAAGCAAAAGCTGCATGTTTGTGGATAAGAGAAATGACTACTTTGTCATTGCACTACACTGAAGATTCCAGAGTGCTTTTATACATTCTCGCAGGTCCACTCGACGTGGCATTTCTCACAAACGACACGATTACATACCGGGGGACAGCGGGCCCTTAGCTTGGAGCCAACGAGAGCAGGGACAATACCTACTGTGATCTTCGAGAGGTGGCACAGCCCCGATGGAGTCGCGTGGCAGTTTCTCAAGCGAGCGACTTGTAACAGATCAGTCCACCATGAGTTACATGGCAGCAAGCCAGCAACTCTGCTGCAGAGGTTTTACTTCGTTCAGTGTTCGGCAGCAGTGTTGTCACTAACCGGTTAAGAGGTTCGTTCAATGGATCTGCGACTTTGGGAGGGTTAATAGGGTCAATGTACCAGGAGTTAATTGTGTTAAATGGGGGGTTGGCAAACTTTTGATTATTATCGTCGATCTCTCAGATTCTCTCTCTGCCATTCTCCCGGGACTGTGTTGCCTTCAAAAGCTTCTCCGATGGCTGGGGAGAAGTCCTGGATATGAGAACATTTCCATCAGGGGCTTACGAAGGTTGATGAAGTGCGTCGAGCGGATCAGAACTTCAGACGCAAGAACGGTTCGGACGGGTTCGGACGGATTTGCAATTTTCAGGCCGCCGATCAGCCAAACGCCGAACCTAATACATAATGGGTTTGGTCCTTACAGTACTATCGGTTACGGTCTATTCGTGACGAGCCTCCATTTCGTGAGTCACACTTTTGGGCATGGAAACGTGATGGCTTGTCACATGGTGTAACGGTATGTCACGAAATTCACCGCGAAAAAGCGTGACTCACGAAATGACGGTCCATCACGAATAGATCGTAAGGGATAGTATGCCGAACCAGGGACCGAACCTACGGTCTGGTTTGGAAGGGTTCAGGTCCGAACCGAAGTTCTGAACCGGACTCCGGCAGCACTACGAGTGAGGCATTATTCCACGAGCTAATGTCACGCCTGCCCGAGGATGAAGAGTCGCACACTGGCGGGAATGCACCGGGGGAGTCATTTGGCAAGGGAAGCGGACCATCGAGCTCGAATATTCCAATTGTTATCGGGTAGCAATTAACTATTGTTTAACCCCATTATTTCGCAGTCAATTCAAGGCAGGACGCACCAGTTATAACCTATTCAGTTATACTGACTGGCGTTGCTACCGTCTTCGCGCACTCCTGCTGGCCAACGGTTGTATCCCTGGTATGCGATTCAAAATCCCAGACTCACATGGTGCCATGGCATCTGTGGAGTCCTCAGCTCGCGTGGGAGTGGATATCGGGATACTTCAGATGCTGCCGGACGATGCTTTGAAATTGTGGCGAGAGCTAGGTTCAGCGACTGAGAAGAAGGTGGATCGGTAACAAGTTAAAAATTATCACTCCAGCTCTGAAGCTGTAGTTCTTGTGGATCATCCCCGCGGTATCCAGCTTGAGTACATTGTTTTGATGACTTCTTTTGCACCAGACAGTCGCTGGAATGTCGTACTTTGGATTTGTGAAACGTAGCGAGTGGAAAGGTTGTAGCAGATAAACAAAGAGTAAAAGTAAACAGTATCATCCAGGCTTAATGTATGTGAGTGCGTCTCAAGGTCGTAAATCAAAAACAATGCTATTCTAGCACATCAGACATGATGCATTTTCGCTACTTCTTTATCACGTTTAGAAGCATTCTGTGGCAGGGTGAATAGGACATTGAGAACGAGCAATAGAAAAATAACGAGACACGCACTGCGATGAACGATGCCGGGACCGGACTCGTCGTACTCCTGCTTTGAACACCATAGATTCTGGAAAGTGGACAGCGAAGCCAAGATGGAACCACCAATCCAGACGGAGTATTTCCGCTCAGGGGGAGCGACAATCCGGACCTGAAAGCGATGATGGGTGAGTATTATGCATGTGAATCGAAGTCTGGCACCAACCTTTATACTTGAAGGTGAGAGCGATATCAACTCCTTTTGCATACGGTCGGAGATACCAGGGAACATTGTAGTACCACCCGACAATACGATGTTGCCATACAAATCGCGACGAATATCAAGATCGCACTTAAAGATCGAGTTGTACCTAGAAGGGGTAAATCGGACTAAATTCCTGGCAAATGATTTGTTTTCTTACGTTGTCTCGTGGATACCGGCGGATTCGAGACCAAGCAAAGCAGGCTGGAAAAGCGCTTCAGGTGAACGGAATCTTTTGCGATTATATGAGGTGTGATGACTCAATGATCGACAAGGAATCATCTTACCGCTCGTTACCGATGGTGATGACCTGACCGTCAGGTAGCTCGTAGCTCTTCTCTAGGGCCGATGACTGAGCGGCAGTCTGCATCTCCTGCTCAAAGTCGAGGGCGACGTAGCACAACTTCTCCTTTATGTCCCGGACGATTTCACGTTCGGCGGTCGTCGTGAAAGAGTAACCACGCTCGGTCAGGTTCTTGATGAGATAGTCGGTAAGATCACGACCAGCGAGGTCGAGACGGAGGATAGCGTGAGGAAGAGAGAAACCTTCGTAGATAGGTACAGTGTGCGTGACACCGTCACCAGAGTCCATCACAATACCCGTCGTGCGACCGGAAGCGTATAATGACAGGACTGCCTGAATGGCTACATAGAATGCGGGTGCATTGAAAGTCTCGAACATGATTTGTGTCATCTTTTCACGGTTAGCTTTAGGGTTTAGGGGAGCCTCTGTGAGCAGGACGGGGTGCTCCTCTGGGGCTACACGAAGCTCGTTGCAGAAAGTGTGATGCCAGATCTTCTCCATGTCATCCCAGTTTGTGACAATACCGTGCTCGATAGGGTACTTGAGCGTCAATATACCACGTTTGGACTGAGCCTCATCACTGGGTACTAGGGGTAAGGTGACGATGACGACGATGACGGGCAAAGCATACCCGACGTAAGAGTCTTTCTGTCCCATACCAACCATGACACCCGTGTGTCGGGGACGACCAACGATGGAGCTGTGCGATGCCTGTTGAGCGTTTCATGATCAGTGACGATACATAATGGGAAACGTACGGGAAGACGGCACGGGGAGCATCATCACCTAACAAAACGCAGTCAGTCGGGTATGCTTACAACACCACAAATGGTGTTAAATTACCAGCAACTGCGAGGAGGCTTATCAGACAGTGTAGCAAATCAGATCAAGCATAACTTACAGCCAGCCTTGCACATGCCGGAACCATTGTCAATAACCTGGCAAGGTGGAGCTCTTCAGAAGGGACGAGCATGATGATGGAAATTAACATACGATGGCAGCTACTTCTTCTTCCATGGTGAATTAATTGTCGTTAAAGGGTAGAAATGATGGTCAAGCTTCAAGGTTACGCATGTTATTTGAACTATAAGTTCTTTTCAGACAAGCGCAGTCCGCGGCGCAGCCGCAGACCTTCGCAGGGCTATGCAAGGGCTGGGTTCATGTGTCCAGGCCTATGTCACTGTGAAACGACTCTGTGCACCAAGTCACCCCAGGCTGGATGTATTGATTCGTTTGAACCGTGTACTGTTGTCAGCCTCTCGGACTAAGCCTTACTAGTCTTGACCGACAAACTTAGCATCGTTCATCACCACCTATCGATCATGGTACCCTCCATTACAGCTAGCTTCCCTGTTGCATCCACGTCTAGCTCTTCCCGCCCAGCCCACGTCAATCAAGGCTCATTTCCTGTCGCAAGCATCATCATCCTCGCGATCACCATCATTGGCATGGGTGCCCTCGTGGTCTGCGTCTTTCTCCGGAATCGCTCATCAGCCAGGATCAAGCGAGGTTCATTGACGGTCGACAAGGACAAGCCGAGCCCTGTGAACAAACCCTGGTCGCGTGTACTCTCTTGGTTCTCCAAGTCGCGTCGTTGGTGGTCAGAAACCAAGTCAAACACCAAGCACAAGCGGGGCGACATGACTACTATTAGCGCGTTGCATGCGACCTGTACCTTCGTTGCTGCTGCACCATCAAAGTTTTTTGCCCCTCCTGTCGTGATGCAATTCAGAGTGCCGGACACAGAGAAGTTTGTTATGCTATGTTCGGTCTGTTGCCCCTTGTCGGCGCATCATACCTGTCATGATCCAAATCCGCGGGTGAGTGGAAGCCACTCCCACAACCCAACCACAACTTACACGACCAAGGTGCAAAGTACTTTTGTCGACATTCCACATCTAGCCCAACAATCAGAGCAACTTCCCGTGAGTCAACAACCGTCAAATATCCCCGAGCGTGCGCCGTATAGCGTCAACATCTCGTCTTCCGGTCAAGATCGCTCGTGTACCATCGAGCCACACCAAGATCAGCCACAGTCGTCATCTGCTTCACCAAAATGGCCAAAGAGGACGCTTGCCCGAGAAGATCTCCCGGTTTTCTTTGTAAAGACTTCACTGAGATGACGTGTCAGTTGTGTAATGAGTACCTTGTGATATATTCGTTTTATTCCTCTGCCTGAAAACAGATGTGATTTAAACCTATTATCGATTGTCACCTAGGACAAACAGTCGCTGGCAGTACAACCACACTGCCAAGTTAATAGACACCAGAGGAGACTTTACTCCCGCTCGCACACGCCTTCACAAAAGACTATAATTCTAGTGTATATGATTACATCCAACGCATTACTATAGATCAGAATCCAACTCATGAGCTCTCGATCCATACCTTGTGCCGTTTAAGCAGTTCTTCAATAATGTCTTCCTCTATTTCCTTGGGATGGGTGGACGGTTGATGAGAATCAATTTCTATCCAAAATTCCGAATATTTAGGTTGAGATGTGAGGACTCCGTCCAATTTCTTCGTGGCGTCTTCCTGCGCCACGGGAGATATCAACACAACGCGGTACTTGCGGTGGTGGAGATCGTTTCCGATCACAACCTGGTGTCCGTAACGCTCGAGCGCTTGTTGGGCTTTCGGTATCAGAATTGTCTCGTCAGTTTCGAGCTGAGAAATATATCAGTCGCATTGACGGTAGGAAAGTGATACGGACGCACCTTGAAAGAGACGATGAACCCTTCTGGGTTCCATTCTGACACAAGGGGCTTTAAGATCTTCGGTACTTGATCCATTTCTATGGACAGATTGCCTTTTCCAGATTGTATCTTATGTTCCGACTGAACATCCATACATTAATATTGTTTACCAAGGCAAGGTTCGGTGACGTACCAGTCTCTGCTGCGGCAAGAAGAAATCACTGACAGCAGCAGCAAGGTAATACATCGCCTTTCTTCCCAAGACGCTCATCTCACTACTGACCGCGCGCAGCAGCCAAAGATATTCGTTCACAGTAACGAACGAGAGCATATGCAGAGTTCCTTGCGCATGCACCGCCTTGTATGCACGCAGCACTGAGAGAAGGTTCGTGCGCTCAGTAGTAGTAACAGTGATCTGCGGTACCGGTGTCGTGGGTGCAGGATCGTTTGAGTAAGGGAACGCCGAGTCTATAGTGGAGGATGACGGCAACGAAGCATCGATCTCGAGAAAATTGAGGAATGGATTCGTTGAGTGGGAATAATGCCTGCTGAAGGGTTGCAGGCTGAATTGGCGATGCATGAATATGACGGCGTAACCAGCTTTGAGGAAATATTCGGCGGACGTTGCACCTCGGGTGCCTGCGTGAGTGATAGATGGTTGGCGTAATATAACGAAAAGAAAAAAGTAGAGCGTACCGGCGCTGAAGTTATCGAGGAAGCGGACGCTGCGCATTTATTGGATGAGGTCAGTGACCCTGTACGGCTGGGGTGGTTTAGCTCGTTCTTACACATTGAGCTCCAGTGGTACGGTGGTCCCTCCACTCTGGTTTGATTTCAGGGTGCATGACGCGAGCACTTCTGAGAATAACTCTCACCGTTACGAGCACAACGGGTCGGTTAGCCTGTCGTTGCCGTTGGATAAACTCGTGAACACCCTCTATGTCGGCGACGAGTGAAGGAGGTTCCGGTTGCGTTTCAAAGTATGATTCAGCAGAGAATGTCTGCGATTCATATGTATTATCGGACATTCTGCGTGGATCAAGGAACCCTGCTCGTCTTCACCGCGAGTAATTAAGGCGTGGTGCAATTCACATGGACCAATCACGGTTCTAACCTTAACCCTAGCCTATCCAGCTCTAATCGGAGGATGGATTAATATTGCGGGGTCTTACACACCTGACCGTCACCGCTTATGGGAGGTTCAACCGACCCCGCTGAAAGCGGGGTTTCAAACCAACCAACCACACAATAACTATATTCTATGTTAGCCTCGTGCCTCGGCTAACTTAGACTCGCAGTTGCAACTGGTCACAACCGGTCCGGTTGCCTCCAAATAAGGCAAAAGTCCGGACTGGACCGGACTTTTAAAACACTAATTTCACGTTCGGGTCTGGAAGGACAAATCGATTGACGTTGATGTTGATGACAATGAAGTGGCATGTGGTGTAAGTATTTGCAAGTACTCGTTAGGGTCGTCTCACCGATGCTGTCGACGCCATGATCGAGAGAAGCCTATGGATGATGAGAGACTGTCTTGTAACTTTATGACAGGAAGCAGTTAATTACTGCCCTTCGAGATTCCAGCATTATTTTCCCCTTTGGGATCTTCTCTGGGACCGACTGATATTGGCGGCCCAGCATACCTCGCATTTTTGGTACCTATGATGGTATAAGTCGTCCCTGAGAGGCACCTCTACCTTCGACCACGTTGAGCAAAGTCGCAACGACGCTATAACTCGATATCAATCATTGTCGAACATTCGTTCCCAGATGCGCTTCCATGCCCAGTGTGGAGGCAGGCATTCACATCGTGGTGCCTCGCGTGCCAATCGTGAGTGACCGACCGATCGAGACGCTGTGACACCAATACTTCGTAGACATATCCGTAGGCTTGTCGATTCTGCATAGAGGCAACCATCACGCACGGCGGGTGTCAATGCCACGCAGGTAGAATAATGAAAATTTGCTGAGAATGCCGCACTATGCAGATGGAAGAGCATGGCCCCTCAGTCGCTCATACTTCGCAAAGGAAGTTGTATCTTTCGTGGATTTCCTTTCTTTGAACATCTGCAATGAGACTTCATCACGTCTCCCAAGTTTGTGCAGTCTCGAAGCAGACCTTCAATTTTGTGTGGATCCCATGACCAACTGCTAGACATAAATGGCCTTGAAAGAAAAGTTAAACTGGCGGATCATGATGGACCTTGAGTGCATGTCAGCCTCCAGTTCAAGGCCATATCAGTCCTCGTCACCCACCCACCACCCACCCTCTTCTCCTTACACGCCATCATCAGTATTCAAGCGGGGCATCTTTGACCTCCAACGTCCCAATCCGATCTCCCACACCCGACGCACTACCATGGCCCCTTCGAGTAGCACCACTTTCCCTAGCGCGACCGCCACGTCCTCCGTGAACGAGCCACACAAGCACGCTTTCCCATTCGCAGCGCTCATTCTTCTCGCTTTATGCATCGCTTACATCGCCAGTTACCTCATATACCGCCGGATCGTGAATTCTTGGAGCGCTACGCAAGCCACAGAGGAGAAAGTGCAGAACTTCCCAGACGAGTTTTTCGAGAAGAAGCCGAGAGGTGTGTCTAAGTCTGTCAGCCGCTTTGCATCGGACTCATAAGGTGGTGAGAATCGCCTCGGTTCGCATGGACCCAGAGCATACGGGAGAGCAAGACTATGAGGGATGATGTGGAGTCAGAACCTTATGTGCGTAGCAGGGCGATTGTCCCTGCATGCACTTAACAATTCTTTTCCAGCGTTCCTTTTCGAGCTCTCCTGAGGGTAAACCCCTCATTTCACCACCACCTGTAGCCGTGATCAAAGACAACGCATTCGGTAGTCCAACAGTCACCCAATCGCACAGGGACGTCGATGAGGGATTTCCCAAGCGCATTGCAAGAGCTGCGAGGGAGAAAGGGTCGCAGGTGCTCTCGCGTGGTCGTGTGACGGAGATTGAAGCTGATCCAAAGCTCGCACCTGTACAAGGGCCACTCAGACCCCTTTCGATTTTACTGTCGAGGAAGAAGGAGAGAGAACGGGTTTCATTGAATTTGGTGTAGTACGGCACCGGTGAAGTGGTTTGATTTTGTTCGTTCATTTATTGTGTTTTGTTTGTTCTGGTTCTCTACCTTCACAGAATCGATCGATAGGTATCATAATAATCAATTAATCAAGGTGGGCATAGTATAAGCAACTTCGAATTTCAACTTCGCTAGCATACTTAGTCGAAGTCGGGTCCCATGATGGTCTCTAGAATGGGTCCCAAGCCATACCACACTGGTGGGACTACTTGCTATTTACCGACTTACCCGCACAGGCCTGCGCAACATTGAAGCCGATAGCTTCGTCAGTCCGAGATAAATCACCAGGTGCCTTAGGTTTGTGCCTTCATCTATGTCAACGCCCGGGATAATATGTAGTTGAAGCGCGTAGATGACGGGACATCGCAGCGGTTTTATCCTTCAAAGTCATGGAGAGATTCCCGAATTACACATTTCTCAATGCTTGTACTAGATCGGAAGACGGCAGGCTTTGGGAGACATCTAGACATTATTTCCAAGTGCCTCACGGGACTCATCCTCAATCGCCTCCACGTCCCATCATCCAAAGTCGTAATTATTTGCACCTCTGCAATGGACACATTCTGTCTCGCAAATACCAATGTCTCTATATCAGGGTCTCTGGCATGTCTAGCAACGGTTGCATTCGCAGTGCTTGTGCTGGACTGGACGTTTTAGTGGTTGGCACATACCCAGACCCGTGGATCCGAGGCGGGTGATGCATGTTTCAAGGGTGGAGATGGGGTGCTGCGAGGTGAGCTTGGGAGACAGGCTCGGTGATGCGACGGAACAACTGTCTTCCTCCTAGCCCACACAGGAAGCAAGACACCACACCCATTTGAAGATCTGAAGGACTCGTACATGCATACTCATCGCCCCCTTCTCTCTTTGTATTCTATTCTCTGCCGTAGGCATGATACGGTCAACTCAGCGTATTCCTACAGCAAACTATTTAAGGGAGCACCGTACAATCCCGAGCTCTCTAACACTAGCGCCAACGACACCTCATACTCTCCTCCACATTTAATGCTGATCGAAAGGCATCGTACTAGAACTACTCCACGAGGTTGGTCTCAAGCTCTTCGCGTTTCTCTAGTGCAAAAGCTTTAATACATAGATGAATAAATGGCAGATGCTATAACCTACCTTCACGACGATCACCACCCCCGGGCCCGTCGTACCACGCATAAATAATGGTGTTGGAATCCAGCTCCTCGCGCTTCTTGTCCTCTTCTGGGTCATCACGTTGAAAGAGGTTCGTGACACGTTCCTCTCGCTTAGCTGAGTGATGCATTAGCTGTGATACGTAACTATGATGATGATGTATACTCACAGGAATGTTCCACGATGGCTCCTGGCGTGGGGGACGCTGCAGCAAGAATGACGATAGATGTGAGTGCGCTGAAGAAAAGCAAAAGCTGCATTTTTGTGGATAAGAGGAATGACTACTTCGTTAATGCATCACGCTGAAAATTCAAGAGTACTTTTTATACATTTTTGCAGGTCCGCTCGACTTTGTCCTTTCCCACAACCTAGTCGATTATGTGCCGGTTCAGATCGGAGCCAGCGGGTCCTCTGCTTGGAGCCATCGAGAGCATCAATACTTAGAGTGATCTTCGGAGGGGTGGCACAGCCACAATGATGTATATCATGTCTAACATAGGGTCCGGGTTCAGCGGACAACACTCAAATAAAAAAACAGCCGCGATAAGTTGCGTGGCAATTTCCCAGCGACTAGTAGCAGATGGGTCCGAGTCTGCCGCAGAGGTTTGCTTCGTCATCATAATGTCGAGCAGCGTTCGGTAGCGCGCGAGGAGCCGCCACGTCAGTTATGAGAAGCTGCAGCTTATCATTTGAATGAATCGAGTGTCCAACGACGTGTTGAATTCATTTGCCAAGTGGGCACCTGGTGGAAGGATACTCAATTCACAATGCCGTCATATTATTGCCAGCGGTCAGCGATGCATGTTTAAATTTCGCCAACCTATGATGGAAGTTATGAATCATGATGACAGAAATTTGACGCGACCTTGCGGGGACGGCATGAGTGATTTTAAGATTAACTCACCTTCAAGTTAGAGCGCCATGTACATTAGCCATGCGTTATAAGAATCAGCAAGATCTGAACAAATTGTAAGCATCTTGTTCTTCGGCAAGGTCAGGTGAGTCGAGCGGACCTACTTCAAGAGAAGGTATAAGGTCCTTTCGAATTTTCAGTGTATTACATATTGACGAGGTAGTCACTCTTCAAGCTTGAACCCCAAACATGCAGCCAAAGGAGACAAGGCAAACGTTCCTTTACTTATTGCAACTTCGGTATGAATCAAATTTATCAGTTTTAATTCATTAACATAGCTAACCAGTCTACTGCAGGTGACTCGAACTCGTTCGTTGAGTCTACCTCGGCCGTCCGACGTGCTCATTCGTATCATCTTTTCTACGGTTCGTAGCGGTTGTAATAATGGCTAACGTCGTCAAACGTATCGCATCGCAACAGGTGAGCATAGTTGCTAGTTGTTTGACACGTTGCGATTTGTGCTGACCCACCTCTTGGCCTACTATTTCCGACTACAGCGATGGGAAGACGGGTGGGTTGGAGCTGCCGAAAATCTCGTCCAAGAATACTTACATAGATCGTTTTAAAGACCAGGTCTCACCTTCGGCTGCACATGTCTCGGTAGAAGACAAAGTATGCACATTTCCTTGTTCAACAGTCAACCTCAACATCGTGCTGATGACTTCGATGACATATTTCTTGGCATAGCATCTCTAGTAGTAGATGAGTCCGATGACTACCTACGGCAACCAGTAGAGAATAAATACCAAAGACCCGCTGCAGCGGTGGGTTCATAATCAAAAGACATCCGAATATGCACCGGATGGCACTTGATTACATTCCTGGTGAGTTGCACGCCGTCACTCTCGCTGACATCACAGCTTAAGTATGCGTTGCAGCTACCTCACCATCGAACAAGTGTTTTCACACGGCTGGCACCGTCCACACTTCACTCGAAACAGCTTGTCTCCATAATCATCCGTCTGTCTTGGCTGTGGCTCCACTGTGATCTGGTCAGTAGTAGCACCGAGAATCTCATTAGGTCTCTGAAGAAAAGGAAACGGCGAATGAGGGTGTCATGTGAGGGTACTAGACCCTCCACAATGCTATTTCTTGTAGTATGTACCCGCGGGTAAATGCGACAGTGCGGATAAGCTGCCATACCGGATTAGTACGGTGTCGACCTTCCGATCCGCGGGTATACCAGTGCTATACCCTAGGCATGTCTGCTTCGTATGATTTGTAGGTAGCCCCCGACCCTAGTTTTCCGATGAAACTAGCGTTGACAACCATAGGAGTTTCAGATCGTCCTGTTCGTGGTGGTGTGAACGGCACCGTGCATACCAAGGCCTCAGCAGAATAGCCACTGATGCAACCACATAATTAGTGTAGTGCTTTTACAATAGAGATGCATTGTAGAGGCGCTTATATCGTGGAATGATCGAGCCAGATTCATGGATTTGTTTGAGGCTTTGGCAGAGGTAGAACAGGCGTAACGTTGCCACACTGACACATTGTGACTATCCGAACTACTATGCTGCATATGAAGGAGGGAGTACCTTTAAGCTCACTTTCTTCAGATCTTCGTCCATCGGTTCCCAAAGTTCCGCCTTTCCCTTGGGCTCAATCACGGCACACAGCTGTTCGCTTAGGATATCCCAAGAGTAAAACTGGCCGTTACAGGAAAACAAATATTCGTCGCCCTCTACGTGTTCCAAAACATCCTTGATGTCGTTACGATTACGATGCCGGATGCATTTCCCGAGTGTGAATTTGATTGCAGAGGGATTAAACAAGTGGTCAATCCAATTCGTTGGAACATTGACTGTCACGGTCTCCTGCATTCAGCAAGTCAGACAAATTATTCGCAATCTCTACGAGGTCGCACCCCAGGGACAGAATCTTCCTATCGAGGCGAGGGAGGCCAGTAACGAAATATTGTCATAAAAGAGGTCACACACCCCAACCACAGTCGAATATGTGAGTGTCTATCAATGCGCGGGTCCCATGTCAGTTCGGGGTAAATATTGTCGTGCGATAGGTGGTACATACTGTCATTGCAACCTAGGGGCCAAAGTGCAGAAGAATGGAAACACAACGTACTCTAGATGATGCTGTAAGCACGATAGCTTACGTACGTTCATCCTCGCCGCGGCAGACTCGTGTTTCTCGTCGGTGGCCACGGCGTGTTTCCAGATGCTGAAATTTGATATGTTGCTCAAAAAGTCAGATGCACATGATCCGTATGGATTTCTGCGCTATGCAGCACAGTACCTGTGCTCCATGGGTATGCCGTGAATGTTACGTCCGTTAACACCATTCACGCCGTTGGAGCCGTCGACACCGTTGACCGGAACCATTTGGCTCTTGTCAGGTGGCGATAGGGACTCCGGATTTTGATGCGAGCAGGAGCACTGAGGCGACGTTTTGCGGTTTGGAGGGGACAAGATCAAGAGAAGGAAAATTATGAGTTACTGTAAACTATGATGCTTCGAAGGAGTCAATGATCACTGTTCACCTCAAGATGCTTGTAGTTGTAAAGACTGGAATGTGTAGAGTTTGTGGCAGTGTTGTCCACGTGACCGAAGTTTTGGCTCATCCACCTCAAGTACTAGTATCCACATCGCCCTCGACGTCCCCAAACTCACGACATAATCGCCCTTTCCAATGGTGAGTTTTTGCCTTTCGTATTTACCAGTCAGTATCCGCCACAGGATCGTCTCTCAGTCTCAAAAATCCAAGTCCAAAGGGTGGATTCACAGCCCACACTTTGGATGTAGCACTTCACAATTGCTAACGTTCCTTTGAACACACAGGCCACCTCAGAACTCGCTGCGACTTACGCCGCACTTATCCTCGCCGATGAGGGTATCGAAATCACCGTGCGTACCTTGCACACTATCTTACTTCTCGTAACTCAAGAGGATACTCGCAGGCTGACAAAATAATCGCCTTGACTGACGCCGCATCGGTCGAGCTTGAGCCAATCTGGGCATCTCTCCTCGCAAAGGCCCTGGAAGGGAAGAACGTAAAGGATCTGCTATCAAACGTCGGCGCTGGTGGAGGTGCACCGGCCGTCGGCGCACCCGTTGCTGCTGCCGCTGGTGGTGCCGCTGCCGCTGAGGCACCAAAAGAAGAGGAAAAGAAGGAGGAAGCAAAAGAGGAGTCGGACGACGACATGGTATGCGCTCAATTCGCCTTCAGATCACTACCTGGTGCTGACGCTTGTTCACAGGGCTTCGGGTTGTTCGACTAGTCTGCAGTTGTCTTTTATTATGTTATTCATCTACTACATACACAGCATGGGTTCGCTCTCTACATCCTGCGATGTATTTTTGAAACTGAGGACTTCGTGTCGTGTTTTCTGAATCGCCGAGTTTACGGTTCGAACTGAACCAATTTCGCCGGTTGTCTGTGAACCTGCGTCTTTCAGGAATAATCCAGAACGTCGAATGCAAGTCGAACGCGAACTTGAACTGGTTGAATATTCTGATTCAATATTATGGTTTATATCTAATTCCGACACTGATAATCTGATTGATTTGCCATTCGATTACAATTAGTAAGCGATCTACTCGCCTTTCACCTTCACATCAAGACGATGGCTTCAGATGAAGTTCCGTCACCTACATCGATCTTATTTGCGCGTGGCCTTCTAGCCCGCCTTGCGCTCTGGCCAGCTCTTCGAATCGCTGTGCACCAAAACTGGGGAGGTCCGCAAAGCGCACAAAAACAGCGCTGGCTAGCGGGTGTCATCACAGATGAATTCGAAGCATCACTTCCACCATTATCTACTTCATTCACAACTCTCAATTCAGCCCCCATACATCCGTCACACACGCTCCCTGAACCTGACACTGAATATATAGAAGCGATGCTGCTCCAGATCATGGATGACGAGTTTGAGGTTGCACTCGAGGATGGAAGCGCGTTTGACGTTGCTAGAGATGCCGTGCGTTTGTGGGGCGATGCGAAGGAGGGTAGGGACGGATATGTTAAGGACTTGGAGATGCAAGCAGAACGAATGAAAGGAAAAATGCCTCAATATGAAGTTGATGCAGGGAGTGGAAGTGATTGGGAGGATAGCGATGGTGACGAGGACGAGAGTGGAAGCGATGGCGAAGATTACGGGAACGATGTTGTTCCACAGCTGCTCAACCATGCAAAAGAGGTACCAGATACTGACGAGGATGGCTTTACCATTGTGAAAAGGAAGGGAGGCAAATAATATGATACCAAGTGTACCGTATCGACTCACAAACGCCTAATCACTATCTGAAGAATCGTCACCATCCTGCTGCTCCTCATCTGTCGAGCTCTCGTCCTCGCTCTCCTCAGGCGCCAGCGTTCGCTTCACAGATCCCCCACGCATCGCGGCCATCTGACCTGCCAACGTATCCTCTTCGGGATCCGAAATTTCATCCTCCGCTGTCTGCTCTTCTGCGTTGAGTGCAGATATGTCATCGATTTTGAGCTACGAGCTACATCAGTCTTTGCGCCTTCGCAAAATCCAATGGGAACCCACCGAAATGTCCCGGAATGACTCCTCGCCCACGAGCGTGTCGCTTACAAAATACACTCTCCAAGTGAACAAGCCTACGTTAGGGGGAGCCTGGAACTGTAACTTGTAGCAGCGGTAGTCACGTTCCTTCCCTGGACTCGATGCGGGGACGTCTGAGATCTTTAACGGGGGCACAACAATTCTATTCGACTTGTCATCAGCAAGGACAAGCCACCATCCTGGCTTGCGCAGCTTTGAATGTTCCAGTCAGATATGCGAGGATGGTACGAAAGGGAAAAGACAAACTCCTGGCCAATGGGGTGCGTGAGCCCACGCAGGTGCGGCGTCATCGATGTCCTCAGCGTCCTTCCGGCTGTTCAAGAATTTTTCGTCCTTCTCCTTTTCCTCCCGAAGGGCCTTGGCAGTTTTTTCAGAAGCAGGCGAGGGTGCGTCGCCTTGAAGTGGCCGGCGAATACGCAGTTTAACGAGGAGGAAAACGATGGATGATGGTGTGACCAAGCTTTCACCGATGACTGGAGTGAAATAAGTACTGAGTTGACAGTAATGGTTAAGAACCAACCCTTGAAAGACATATCCACAACATCCAACTGACTCCAGCCCTCGGCAGCCTTTCGTGCTTCTGTGATCCGGTCGTCTCCCTTGTCCTCCAGATGCGAGATAAATGAGGCAAGGTCTTTAGCTTCTGGTGCATCAGCATCGTCATGGAAGCCAGGTAATTGAGCTTGTGGTGCAACTGTTTTTCCAGGAAGAAGAGCCTGCATGACATAGGCGTGCAGACGCATCACCATCAAGCTGGGAGACAACCAACTACGCGCAGCCGAGATTCCCAGCAGCGCATTGAGCAGCATGGGGGCCTGCAATAGTAACTTGGCCTGTTCTGGACGCGCAAATGATCAAAAAACGACATCCCACCCTAAGGTCAAACCCACCTTGCTTAAGCGCCTCGTTGTTGATCTTTAACCTCAGGAAGTGAGCGTACAGCAGCACCAAGGCCCTCTGTTCAGTCCCTTCGCACTTGCCACCAGGAGCCACAAGATCCTTTACCTCCTTCCATTGGTCACCCATCTTTTCATCAATCTGTCTCTCAAGCTCGTCTAATCCCGTTGTGTTGCCTGCCCACGTGGTTTCCCAGCGGTATGCCTTGCCTAGCGCACCAACGACCTCCTTCATGCCGCTATTATCTGTGAGTGCCATGAAGAATGCTGCGGCGGTCTTTGCATTAATCCCATCTTTTGTTTTTTGGCGGTTACCAAACCACCAGCGACCCTAGGTTGTGTAAGGAACACTCCGGGTAAAGTGATAGTGCGGTACATACCACAAGCGTGGGGAGTGCGCCACCGAAGAGGATGCCATATACACCAAGGACCCAGATGTTGTTTTTGCCTTCAATGATCCACTTTGGCAAAGCAATACCCATCGAGACTTCCTGTCGGCCATCGGGATGCCCGAAAAGTTCCCAGTTGCGACGGATGGTCTCGTCCGTCAACCTCGAAACGGTATTAGTCTCGCCTGTTTGCGAACTCAATATACGACGTACGACTTGTACGCCTTGGTAATATCCACGAAACGGTTGGCAATGTCCTCTACCGTTTCATTGATGGATGCTTTGACTTTATCGGGATGGCTGAGAACGATGAGCCGTGCACAGCACACAAAATAAGAATCGCACTATACTCGTGATAGTTTCTTGAAATGTGACTTGATCTCCTTCTCAGTTGCACCCTGTATGGCGTGAGCAACCAAAAAGACTGAATACATTGAACTATACATACCGTACTTATGCCAAGGATTTCGAATGGATTATACACCTTGTTTTCTAGCTCTGCATGCGCAACTTTGTAGGAGAGGTATGCGACGGCAATCCAGCCCGCAATGATTAATAGTGCCCTTTCCAGGCATGAGTAGAATTCAGAACCATACGAGATGTCTCACTTTCGGGTGAACTTGGGACTGAGCAGCGAGCCACGCTGGCGTCTCCTCACGTCGGCTCTACGCTGCACACAGGGCGTACACTGACACCCGTTATCAAGCTCTAGGGGTTCTGTACGAGTTTTCAGTCAAAGTTGCAGGAAACAGAGGGCATACTCACTTGAGGACACGCTTGCAAGTGACGAAAGTGTCACGGGCAGTAGAATTATAACAAGGACAGAAATAATGAAGTAGGCAGCCATATTACCTGCCTCATCATAGTGATAGTTCGCCATCGCTGCGAACTAGCGACCAACACGACCTGGAAGTAAAAACAAGAGAAAGAAACGAGTTTGGATGAAAGTCAACGTGGCTCGAGGAGAACTAAAGTACATAAAGTAAATTATAATACACCCGTGAGACACTTGGCATATACCATCATGCGTCTCAAAATCTCGACTGTACATCCGTTGAGCCCGTTCAAAGCATGGTTAGCGGTCGCCGATGAGGTCTATACGATTGCACAACTCAAAAGTACGCTATGTGCACGGCTGCCTATTGGCCTGCAAGCCGATGACATTACTCTCGTGATGGACGAGTATGACCTCCTGGATGACAGCCCCATATCAATTTTACGAGATGGTGACGCTGTTTGGTGAGCAGAATATGCGCAATCTACGTCGGTGTACTTATGCACTTGGAAGCATTAAAGGAGCATCCCAACCTGGGATGTCGAGTAGCAGGATACCCTTACCTGCCACTCAGAAGCGTAAACGCCGCGCATCTACATCCTCGGAAGCTTCTTCCAGCTCGTCTTCACCCTCGTCCTCGAGTTCTGACTCATCAGACGACTCATCTAGCCCAGCCAGTTCGTCAGTCTCGGACTCTGATTCAAACACAGATGCGCCAAAACCCATGGAGAAGCGTGCAGTTGCAGTTACAAAATCAAAAACTGTGCAAGACAAGTACGAGAACTGTTCAACTCTTTTCGTCGCTCACGTAGATCCGCTAGTGTCTCATTTGTTCCCCCAGGTTACGGTAAGCCATCCACCCGCAACCGCAACCTCCGCAGACGGCGGAAACGTGTAGCGGAGCACAATCAATCCCCTGAAGAGTCTCTAGCACCTACGTCCGGTGCCAACTCCGTCGTGCCCCTTCCCATTCAGCACATGTCATTAGCAAGCATTTCCTCTGATGCTTATGCTGCTGATGTTGAGCCCGAATCCGAGCCCCAAGTGATGATGGCGTCCCTGCGGAACAAAAATAAGAAAAAGAACTTCCGCCAGTTTATGGACAAGCCCCTCCCCCCAAAGATTATATTTGCGGAGCGCGAAAACGCCTCCGTGCAAGAATCGCCGTCTGAACCTCCGAATAAACTTACACCTGCTGGCACTTCTACTCGAGAAAAGGTTTCAGTCCCTCCAGTCAAGTACGCACGGCTGATACCTCCTTCGGAACGGGATGATTTGCCGTCGAATATACTCGTAACGAGTGTAGATGTAGAGGAAGGTATGCGACCGAAGAAGAAACGAAGGTCGAAAGAGGAGCCCGTTGCGGCTCCCTACGATGACGAATCGTGCACTCCCAATTTCAGCCTCGATTACGGTTCAGCTGAAGTGTCTGTAGTAAACCCAGACGAAGCCCTTCACCTCCGTGCAGAGCAGCAGTGGGACTTGCTCTCAAAAATAACTAACGTGTCGCAAGCGAAAGTTAACAGCATCGTTGCATACAAGGTAGGCTTCTCTGATCAGTAAAGGGGTACGGGAATGCTCATCTGTGAGCATAGGCTCTCGCCATCGACCCCATAACATTTACACCCGAGATGCTAACGACAGTCGCTCGCGTGACATGTATATCTTCCACCCACATCACTGCGTGTCCTTTACAGCGCCCTGCTCAAGTTTCGTTCGCTGGACTAACGGAAGAGACAGATGCTGTAGAAGACGAGACACACGCTTGGGCAGATGTCTTGGCCTCAGACTGGCGTGTCGTGCGATGAGGCCGAAGTAAAGGTAAAATATTTGATTGCCTGCTGTCTGTACGTATGTCGACATACCAACGTTCGTGCGATAGACATGGAGCTTGCGTGACGCGTCTGCCTTCGGCATGAGTCACGGAAATATACGGAGTAATACAGCCCGGGATCAACCGCATAGTAATTTTTGCTTTTATTGGACGAAATTTCATTAGATCACACGTATCCTAATAGCCAAGTGCTAACAACTTCTTTGTTCGTCGCCATCGACGACCACCAAGCCTGAATCGTGCGACAATTAGCACGGGCTCGCAATCGCGACCATGCTGCCCAAGGTCGCTAACCACATCTTCCTACACACTTCTCGTGCAGTAGCCGCCGTCCAGAACCAGACAGGTCATACCCTCCGTAACGTACTCCAGCTTCAGTCATCTGCACCAAGCGCGCCTACAACATGGACTGGCGCTGGCAGCTCAAGTTGGGGCAGTAATGGTGCTGGCCCGGGTGGCGCAAAGTTCAATGCAGGTAGTCGGTTCTATAACGGGTATACGGTCGGTACAGTCCACTTTTATGTCTGATATGATCCTTATATTTTACAGGGAGCCGGTCGTGCTGTGACACAGGCAAATGCGTCTACATCACACGACGGAAACAATGGACAGAATGACGATTCTGATGAAATTGTTCCCAAGCGCGTCGACCCCCGCTCTTCCAAGCGCCAGATTACCCGTCGGCGCGGTCTCTCTCTTGGCGCGCTCAGCGAGCACGAGCACAGCCAGGCGGAGTCTTTGAGTGTCTTGCATACGGTCCAACAACACGTTCGCACCAAACACACGTTTGCTCCGTCCGAAGCGCGTGATGAGCTCCCCTCTGAGTCTTCACGACCTCCCCTCACACGGCGCAACTCTACAGCTACACAGAGCGCATCCGGTTCCATTGATGATTTACCCCCACCCCCGGTTGCTACAGCATCTGGCAAATCCATGTCCACCGATCCCGCTGCCCCACAGTCTGTCACAGACCCAGCCGCAGACGATGAGAGTGGCAATTCCGAAATGTATGAATCTCTTCGTCGGGCAGCGCGGTCTGGTGATGGTGCCAGTGTTATTCGCGAGGTTCACGTCCTCCGCACAACACACAAAAACCCCATTGTTGCGGAGTTCAACATGGCTCTAGCTGGTCTCCACGAAACTCGTCGTTCTGGTGAACCCCTCACACTCTTGCTCGAGACATACAATGATATGGTTCAACGTTCCCTTACTCCCAATGTTCGCACCTACATCTCTCTTATTCTCGCTCTCACCGAGCGCGATTACGAGGTCCACAAGTCTATTGGAGGTCTTGATGGTCGCGTCAAGCGCCGCAAGCTTCTCGGTCGCCAGGAGGTCGCCATGGATGAAGCAGATGAGAAGCGCATCGAGCAGCTCAAGGAGGAGGATAACTTTGGCTCTGCGATGACTATGTTTGAGGCAGCGTTGGCCATTGGCGCACGCAACAAAATCCCCCTCTCGGTCTATAACAATCTTCTCCGCTCGTGTGCATACCAAGCTAATGTGGACGCTGCCATTCGCGTCTTTGCGCAGCTGGAATCACGCACTGACTTCCTCCCTGGCCCTCAAGTTTTCTTGAATTTGCTCTCTGTATACGCCAATGCAAATGACCTGCAGGGCGCTAAGGAGGTCTTTCAGGAGTTCAGGGAAGCCGGCAAGGCAGGCCGTGTCAGAGGACTTGATTTTTCTGCTGCGCCTGAAGCTGCTGTAGCAAGCTCGGTTACGCGGGGACAACTTCTTGTCTGGAATAAGATGATCGAAGCTTACTTCCGTGGTGGCCAGCCCGCAGGCGCTCTTCGCCTCCTGGAAACCATGATGGACAGCAACGCTAACCCCGGTGAACCCTCACCGGAAGTCCCTTCGCCCTCCTCGTCTACGTTCTCGTCCATCATTGCCGGTTTCTGCTACTCGGGAGACGTCTCAAGTGCTCTGTCTTGGTTTGACCGCCTGCTACAGCAGGGTGAAGCAGCACGTCACCCACATGAGTCTTCCCTTGTACCCCCTCGTCCTGATCAACTTGCATGGATTGTGATGCTTGACTTCCTCGCTCAGGAGGGCATGATCGCAGATCTTAATCGGCTCTATGACATTCTTGTTGAGTGTGCCCCTCGTGACGGCCTCGAAGTGCGCCGTATAGACCACATCCTTATTCTCGAAGCCAATGTCAAGCTCCTATCCGATACAATCAACAAGTCCGGATCTAAGAAGAACCTGCCGGCTTTTGGGGAGGTGCTCAGGATTGTCCGACTAGCGAACAGTGTAAATGCCCCTCTGAGCAAAGAGTTGGCAGCACTTTACCTACACTCCTACATGTCGACCTCCAACCGCGGTGATATGTCGCAATTCGGGATCGGCCTCCGTGACCATGAGGCGCTCTTGTCCAGTGCCCTCGCCGTTCTTTCAGCAGAGGCCGATATGGAGCAGATCATCCCGATCAAAAACTACGCGTACAAGGGCCTCATCCCCCTTCTCAGCGCACTTTCGAAGCAAAATTTCCAGTTATCCAAAATGAAAGCCAGCCTCATCTCCAATCTTTCGGATGCGCTGTACGCTGGCCACTCGAAGGAGGAGCTGAATGAATTCTTTGGAAAAGTGTCATCCAGCTTCCGTACCGTACTCGAGAAGCCCAGCGAGTCGCGCGACGTGTCACCTAACCCTGTGATGCAGATGTACCCTCCCATCAAGGATGTCGTCGTCGATGGTACACTCAGCCGCTACGTCGATGAATGGTTCCCATCGCACCCGACCGTGACAATCCATGAAGCCTATCGCCGCCTCCAAGAGGGAATTGCTACTAGCAAATACGTTCACCCCTCTACTCTCGGGCGGCTCATCAACGGCTTTGGCCGTGTCGGTGATCTCGAGAAGGTCCACAGCCTGTACGATATTGCGCAGATCGTACTGTACTCGATCGATAACAAGCAGTGGCAGTCTCAGGCGTGGTTCCAAATTGAAGACCAGATGATCATCGCATCCGCGCATGCCGGAGATATGGAAGCTGCGTTCCAGCACAGAGATCGCATCACATCCAATGGCGGAATTCCTTCTCCTGACGCATACGGCTCGCTCATAGAGTGTGTCAAGGACACTACGGACGACACTTCGAACGCCATGTCTCTTTTCAGCGAAGCGCAGATGCTCGGCTGCACACCCAACGTTTACCTCTACAACACGATCATCTCCAAGTTGGCTAAAGCGCGCAAGGCTGATTTCGCACTCGAGCTGTTCCAGCAGATGAAGGCTACTCCCGGTGTACGCCCATCTTCGATCACGTATGGCGCTGTTATTGCCGCCTGCGCACGTGTCGGTGATGCTCAATCTGCTGAGCAGTTGTTCTTGGAGATGTCTTCCCAGCCCAACTTCAAGCCTCGCATCCCGCCGTACAACATGATGATGCAACTGTACACGCAGACCAAGCCTGATCGTGAGAGGGTGCTCCACTATTACGATCAGCTTCTTCTTGCTGGTGTCAAGCCTTCTGCTCACACGTACAAGGTAAGCTATTCATTTTTGCGTTATCTGCCATTCTTTAAGTTTGTGTTTTAGTTGCTCATCGATGCATATGGAACTATTGAGCCTGTTGACGTCGACGCTATGGAAGGAGTGTTCAAACTCCTGCGAAAGAACCGTTCTGTGGTGCTCCAGGGCAGCCATTGGGCCGCTCTTATCAACGCCTACGGTTGCGTGAAGAAGGATTTGGACAAGGCGATCAGTACATTCGACTCTATCCCAGCACCTGATGCTGTCGCCTATGAATCTCTCATCAATGTCCTCGTGACCAACAAGCAGATGGCTCTTGCACCTGGTTACATGGAGAAGCTGAAGTTATCTGGGGTACATATGACGGCGTACATCGCCAACCTCCTCATCAAGGGTTATGCTGCCATCGGCAATATTGAAGAAGCTCGACGAATATTTGAGAGCTTGGTGGATCCCCCCAGCGGTGTTGCAGCGTCGGGCAACCATGTTCCTCATGAAGGCTCCAATCAGCCTGTATTCTCATCCCCATCCCCATCCCCATCGTACCGCGAGGTGAGCATTAATGCAAAAATACATGATAAAAATTCACCCTGCCTTTTAGCCATCGACGTGGGAGGCTATGTTCCGCGCAGAGCTCGGTAATGGTTATCGCGACAAGGCGGTCGCACTGCTAGCACGACTGCAGGAAAGGTACGTCTATGTCCCCTGGTACTTATGGTCGAAACTGACTTTTGCCAAGACAATTCCCTGCCGCAGTATGCAATCGGATACGAGGAATCATGATCGATGATTCCGTCTCACCATGGGCGGCATCGCCTTGATCACACTAATATGAAGACATGTCCATTGCTTATCACGGATCCGGCAACACTGGCTAACCAGCAGAAGGCGCGATATTTTTCTAGACGCCAAGATTGGACTATAAAAGTATTTGCTCACTAATTATTCATTTATTCATTGCGACACTACCATCATGCATGACGCTTTTGTACGATATTGTCTATATACATATGTATCATATCTCCGAGACAAACCGCAATGAACCGTTTTCAAGTTACGCTGCACACAGGTTGTTCGACTGATGAACAGAAGCCGTAGTCTTACAATACATTACTATCGTTACCACGACTTCGGTCAACCACTGGTCACAATGTCACTGGCTGCCTGAAGCGAACTCCGCTCGGTATTTGGCGTTACGAGCCCAGTCTTTTCTACCAGGTATCGAAACTCCGCCACGGCAGACTCGCCGAGTGACAAACAGCTGCTCTATCACACCTGAAAAACTATCTCAATCATTTCTCCACCAATTTCGATGATTCAACTTTATAGTAGCTTAGAATATATGTACAATGATATGTGGTGAGATAGAATATTTATTGAGCCTGAATTGTGTGAGCTATTGGTGTCCGAACGACTGGTTGACCGAAGTTGTAGTAACCGATAGTACTGAGATCAGTCTTCAACTTCCAAACTCTTGAGAACACCCAATATTACACAATGTGTCTTGGACAGCCAGTCATCCTGATAACTATAAGTAACTAGGCAGCACCTACTGCAAGTTCAATGATGCTCATTGACGATCATATGACCAGTGGTTCACGTACAGCAAGTGAAGAAAGGCAAAACGCCACACATCCTTCACCTCTCCTTATCGGGCCGGTCCTCAAGGCCCACTCCATGTTGGTACTCTATAGCACCGATTGCGAGTATAAAGTCCTTTCGGGCGCTCTCGAGGTCAGGTTTCGATTCAGCGCCCTCTTCAGCGCAACCCGTCAAGGCTTTAGTGCAGTAAATGGACAAGACACCACGCGGGAAAGGGAGCTCTGCTGCAACCTCAGAATGCGGCCACCCAAACGCTAATTGCAAAGCCGTCCGCGGGCTGAAAAGCGACCTCCTCCTAGCACCCTCGATCGTGGTAATTATCGTCATCACGGGGAGTATACTAGTGCCCTGCAAAGCCTGCCTGCCCTCAATGATCCGCATCCAACTTGGATCGTTGAATTGTCCGATACACTGGCGAAGGGGTTGTACGCGATGTTTGATAGGGAGGATAGTCATGTCCAACTCGAGCACCAAAGAGTGAGCATCTTCTGGGTTTTCTTCACGAGCGACGGCCAGTTTGTGTTGCAGAACATGCTGTCCTCGCCACTTCTCGTCGTCGAACTCGGCTGCTTCGATTAATGCAATAAATGGCAGACTTGACCGAAGGTGCCTGCCCGCCTTAGCCATTCCTGTCATAACCGTCAGCAAGGTAAAACAGTCATATATGTATCATGTTCACCCACCAATTCCAGCTTTGAGGATACTACAATGTGCACGATGGACAGTGGACCATGCCATTCGCTGGCAAGATTTTGAGCAGTATTTCGTGGTCTGGCATCCAGCGCACTGTTGGAGTTTGGTGCTCGCACTGGTGCACTACGTCCGACCGAAATCAGCATAGAAAAAACTTGATAGAGAGCTCTTACCCCAGGACCTCCACAGGCTTGTTCGTACTTTGGGCGTGTACATGGCGTTAGCGTAGAGAGAATCCTCCAACGCTGCGAAAGGATCTCTTTGAAGGTCAACAGTGAACTCCACAATGTTGGATCGTGCGTGGCATGGACATAAAGGCGCTGAGAATCAATATATTGCATGGATCTCCAGGCGATACGAACGACCCTCTCATAAATTAGGGTCCCTCCCAGCTGTTCAAAAATCCTGGTATCGTAATCCAACCACCTGGACTTGTGCAAGCGATTTTCCGAAGGGAATACACAGTTCCGTAAGAGGACCTCCAGAAGACGACAGCGAAGGGCGTGACAGGCAGTATCGATGGGATTATCAGAGCATGCCAGCACGAAGGAGATGTACTGATGACCTATAGCCATAGCGGCCCGCTTTGTCGCAGTCCTTTGACAAAAGCTCTCATTGGTGGGATCAAGATCTGGCTCTGTATCCGGACGTGTTCCGATTCCGGCCAGCGTGTTGAGAACTGTGCGCATCGAGGAATGTGTGAGAAAGAGCTCGCGCATGACAGGGTCCGCCTGGCTTGTGGCGAACATGAAGATGAGCGTTTGCTTGCACGTCAACGAGAGAGTATTCAAGGGACCAAGATCAAGATCCTGCTTGATCACGTCGTAGTCTCTCTGAGCCACTCCCTTTCCAGCAAAACGTAGACACCTGAGAGCAGCTAAAACCATAGGGGTCCTTCCTCCAGCGGCTTCGATGAGCGATGTTAAAGGCGGGAGAGGAGCGCTAGGAGGCTCGTAGTACACGCACGAGGTGACTACATGGGCCATGAATGCGCGAAGCATGTTAAAGTCCTGACGCCATTGGCGAAGATACGGATCGTCAATGCGGTCTTCGCGTTTGATATCCGTTACCAGGTACCAAAGTTCCATGATGATTCGCTCGATCTCTGGCGTTGTTCGATAAAGATATGCGACAACACCGGGAAGTACGCTAGCCACGTAGATGAATCGTATTGAGGTGCTGGCAGCTTCCTGGGAGGTCACGCTGTAGATCCTGTGTAGGCGTCCGACGGGGTCATCCCGTGGGACGAGGAAATTGTGGTAGAAAAACTGAAGCCATGCAGACACCCCGCTCCAATGTGCATGAATGGCATCAGACATCTTCTGACGGAATTGAGGTGCACCACGCAACTCCCCCTGATTCTCCCCGCATAGGCAACTAATGCCCATGATGGACACTTTAGCGAGCATAATTGAATGTGCGGAATCTGAGGTAATCTCATGTGGGACGAGCCCTGGATCGAGATGAATGAAAAATAGAGGAATGAGAGTTTGAAAGTAAGGACGTAAATGATCAGAGGATTCTTTAGAAGAGATTGAGCGGTTGAGCGATTTGAGGGAAGCAAGTGACGATGATGATCCTCGCTCGATTTGTTTGACTTGAGTCTGAGGCCACAAAAAGCGCGTCAATACTGAACAACCAGACAACCGTTTGACTCACTTGCAGCCAGGTTGGCAGGGACTCCCACTGCGACATGATAGTAAAGCTGGGGATAGGATGCTGACGCAAAACCTTGAGGGTCCGGCGTACTTAAGAGGAGGCATCGAGAAGAATGATTGCCTCGAGGCTCCTGCGTGTTCCACCTTGAGACGAATGATGGGGTGTCAATTGCACTGCAGCCATGCATAAACCACCTGTCATGTGTGCATAAGTGTGCAGCAGTATTCCCCCATTACTATAAGGTGTCAGGCTGTATCGATCGACGAGGTTTGCCAGGGTTTGCCTTTAATTTGCCCTTGATCATCTGATGATGATCCTGAAGGAATCAGCCGGGGCGCATGTCGTCAACTACTTGACTTGGTGCTGTGCAATCTGGAAGTGATATGCATGTACTTAATGTCGTAACTTATGGGTTGACGAAGAGATAATCCAAATATGGGTGCTTCGAGAGGCTTACCAACGATCACGCTGTCTCCCCTCCTGGTAAATTCACGTTTGAGTTTGAGAAACGTATTCATAAATCAATCCAGACGACCGCCCTTGATGTATCTATGCCCAGGGTGAGTATCTGCATCATCGTCCAAAAGTCTCTTGATCGCCATAATGACTGCTGCCAAAAATCCAAGAATCAGCAGGACGGCCATGTATGGATGGGTAATGATGAAGCCCTCAGTGTTTGTGAGACTTGAGTTGAAGACCTTTTTGTAAGGAGGCATGAGTGATAGGGCTGAGACACTTAGTGTTAATGCATACCCGAATGGCGCGCTCCAGAATATTTTCAGAATGTTTGGAACGTATGTTATTGCCGTAAACTCCTTCGATAGCAGAGAATACACTGAGCGCATTTAGCTGAATGGGCTGCCCGGTGGCATCCTTATCCCAGTATAACAGGCGCTATGCAATTATTAAATACGGTGCATGAAAAGGACAGGAATACCGCTTCGCTTACATTATGATCAGCAACCACCACCTTCGGCTGATCCTTGACCTTCACACCATACATACTCTTCATCCAGGTTCCCCACTGGTCAGCGTCCATCCACGTGAATACTACATCTTGTCTCCCAATATAGTTCTTGCGCAGGCGCCACTTCTTTGCGATATCGTTCAACTTCGATGAGACATCATTTTGGACGTCTTTAGGGGTTGCAGCGATCACAACGAGTGGGTTGTGTGGAGCATTCATCACTTGTTGGAACACGTCGCGTGAGAGCTCGAGGGAGGTTGGGAGGCGGTTGGCAAAGAGCCAAGTGCTAAGTGTGTCAGGAGACTGTGAGTTAGATGGGTCAAATATCGTGGTGGGTTCCCTTGGGTCATTGTCTTTGAAGGCCATGATAACCCAGGACGCTGACGTTTGAATGTCATAGCGCGTGAAAAGCTCTTTTGAGGATGACACAAATATTGGGGGTGATCCAAGGAGCAATTGAGAGCCCTTAGCGACCTCACTCTATGAATATCGTCAATAGCGCAAAACAAGGCACAGAATAGGGTACACATACAACAACATGTTCATTTGATGAAGCAAGTAGGAGGACATACGCAACAGGATTTTCATCAACAACCTTGTCAAGATCATGAGCACTTATTTGTTGCATGGTCCTGTAACAGTTATCAAAAAGCGCCCCATAGCTCTGGGGGGGTATCCTCACGGAGATGCTGCCTTGTCAGCGAAAGCCACCAGTGGCTCATATGTTCTACTTCCTGTGTACTCTGTCGTTGCACCATGAGAATAGTAGAACAGCATAGGGTAGCCTGTGACCCCTTGCTTCGAGCATAGCGACTTATACTCATCACAATTGACTTCCGCAATATTGAGCTTGTGCTGCATGCGACGAGCAAGCTGTATCCATGTTGGGGCGAGTTTCTTGCAGTGTCCACACCTAAGAAACGTGAAGGTAAAATATAGTCTATTAATCGACGTACATACCACGGCGCAAAGAACTTGACGAATGCAGGCCCCCGTGCCACGAAGCTGTCGAATGTCTCGCTAGTCAAGGATATCACCTCTCCTGAAGGGTTGGATTCCACCCGTGTCGTCTGAATCACTGAAGTCTCATCTACTGGAGCGACCTCAGCTGCCATTTCCTCTTGCTCAATCGTAGTAGATGATGACAAGTAATCTGCGGTAGGTTCAGCACGTGCAAGAAGGAAGTCTACAAGGATATCGAAGTCGCGATCGCCGTTGAAGGTCTCTACAAACTGCCCGTTCCGGTAGAGGTTCATTTGAGGGTATCCGGTAACACCATTCTCGGTGCACAAGTCTTTCAAAAATTGAGAGACTGTTAGTGGCCTGGAGAACTGGGAACTCGAAGGGCGCGCTTACCTCCATTCAACGCGCAATTCACCTGTGCCAGATTCATCCCTGGATTGGTTTTCTTCTCAAATTCGTCTGCGACGCGGTTCCATGTTGGTTCAAAGTTGCGACAATGACGGCAATATGGGGAGAAATGTTCGATAAACCTGCTCTACTCAATGAACACAAAGAAGGTCTCTTCGAAAAGGACATACCAAACTCCATCTGCGATGGTTTGCTTAAAATCTTGAGGAGTCAGGACCTTTGAGTTTGAGCCTGCCGCTGGGGCGGCAGCGGCTTGAAGTACGAACCATGTCGTGAAAAGCGACAATGGCGAAGGTAATATCATGAAGGATCTCATGCCAGCATGAACTCCAGACTATTAATACTTAGTAGTAGTCGCGTACAAAGTACTGTGAAGAATATGAGTCGACGATGGTAGTTGGAAAGTTGAAACGTGTTGTGGGCGCTTATACCATCACGTTGTTTGGTTCTTGCTCACTGCCATGATCGATGGAGACATACTACTACTCTCAGTTTAATCACGCCGTCGTTCAAATCGTTTTGTTCGATAAAGTAACCAATGCCGCCGCCATCAGGTCTCGCATTGTCCAGGCTGCTAAAATTATTGGTGTCGACGGAGACACTGAGCGTGAAGCTGTCAACTTCGCCTTCATTGATGCACGGCTGGTAGGAATCTCGACCTCAGTCTTGATGCATTATTTTACTGACGACGTGTTCCAGATATCAAGCCCACTTCATCTTCAGACAGCAATTTACCAAGCCCTTTTAGCAGAGGCGCAGGGTCAACTTCGGACCAAAACGATCCACTCAGAGATACTATGGGCATTGAACCCCACCAACAATGTGCGCATAGCCATCTGCTCGATAATTGGTTGATCGCACTTTTTAACGATTATCTTCAGATCACTGAAGCCATTCGACGATATGGGGTATCGGATGCCTCCACCACGCTTATTCTTGTCCGTGTAGATGTCTCAGATATCCCTGATATACAGCGTCGCATGTCCGACATCGTCCAAGGCTCTATCGTGCCTTTTGAAGCGCTGGGCCAGATGACGGACTGGTCAACTATCCAAAAGGTGTGTCATGACAGATTAATGCGATATTGAGAATCTTATATTTCCTCTTCAGCATTATAAATTGGACTCAGAGCCAGTCCTGAAAGAGGTGCAAGGGAATAAGGATCGAGAACATTCCATCGTCGACAATATTGTTGTAAGCTCAGTAGCAATGAAGAATGTCATGGCATGAATTCGATTATTGGTGACATCCAGCAAGTCATCCGTATCGCCCACATTCTCGATGATGTCAGGGTATGACGTCGCTGTTTTGACACACCAAAGCATGATGGCTGACAGCGACTGATATGATGGCTGACAACGACTGATATGATGGCTGACAGCGACTGATATGATGGCTGACAGTGGTCGCCGATACTGGCGGTCAGGAAGACTGTCAGCCTCCAATTTCCAGTTTTCCTATATATGCGCCTCTGCTTCCCTTGAACCCCCAGTGTACTGCTTTCATCTTGCGATCATCTTATTGCTTTTACCATGGCTCCTACATCTACACTCATGTTGTTATCCGCAATGCATTCGACCACCGTCCTTTCTGAACCCTTCGTCACTCCTTCGACTACCCCGCCCGTCGGCACGACTGTCCTTACCCATGACCTTTGGAAGGGTGGCCTCGTCTTCGCGGTCGCTATCGTATCCGTGGTGGGCTATTTCTACCGTCGTCGTCGCAAAGACACTATGTCCAAGCCCAAGGCCCCCAACCTTGTGCTACCAGCCATTCTACCCCGCGATGGCTCAGTTCTTTGCTCGCCGTCCGACATGCCGTACACAGCATCTTTGAACTGCGATCATCCAATACTCCAGTCTGGAAGGAATCAACTCGTCAAGCATGCTGTCTCCACATGCAACGTTGACATAGTACGTGGTCGTCACGGCTCCGAATGAGGCTGACATTGTATGTTTCCAGATTTCCATGATCGAAACCGGCACTGCGGAGATCAATCAGGAGACTGAGGACGAACTGCATGTCGGCAAATACAGGGAGGTGGATGTTACGGAGGCAGATTGTGATCGTGGAGTTCAGGTATGTCATATGGTCTCGCACCATTATAATCAAACGCTGAATGTTTTCCCCATAGTTTCGAATCCCTGCTATCGCTATCACTGTCACGGACGACAATTTCGTCAGCCCATTGGTGCGCAACTTGACTTCTCTTCAACGCCAGTGGCTGACAGCGTTACCTTCATAGTCTTCCCAGCGTGCCTTAGGTCTGTTCGACAAGAAAGAGTATGGACCTGAACACGAGGAAGTCGATGACGATATCTCGATTTATTCCTCGGAATCGGCAGATACCAGTCTCCATGATTCCCTGCTGTCAGAGGCCGCTGAACCTGACGTAGACGTCCCCGAGATCACCTGTGAGTATCACATGACTGTCGTTGCATGCGAGCCGCCGGCTCGATCATACGACTTTAACATTCAAGTCGTCGGTACAACGCTTCGGGGTGGCGCCTTCCTTACTCTACCAGGTTCTTTGCCCTCTCCTTCGATCATTCCTGCCGGGTCACGTTCCCCTGATGCCCGCCGACACGGTCTTGTCGAAATGTCTGACTTGGCCAGCGCACTCGCAGTCCAGCTCGATTACCCTCCCCTCGACACAGTTCTTCAGGCATTCGACGTGCCTTCCGTCCCTCCCACTGCCCGTCGCCATGGCCAGGTGGATTTCGCCAGGTACGCGGACGCCCTTGACGTGGAAAGCGGCTTCCTCCTGCGATGTCAACATTCTCTTCCCGTATCAGATCTCTTCGAGGAAGAGGAGGAGGACTGTCAGGATATCAACTCTCGTCTTATGGACGATCTTTTGCAGTCTATCGATGACGAGGTCGAATTTTACAGCAGCTTCGACTGTGACGAAGAGTGCGACGACATCTTCGACGACTCTTGTTCAGCGAACAAACACGTCTCTCCGACATGGGACTACTTAGACTTCCTGGAGGACGAGACTCGTTCTTTTGCCGCCGACGAGGATGTCGACTCGGCTCTGGAGATGGATGGCTGCAACGAACAATTTTCTCCAATACCCGAGTATTCAGGATTCCTAGGCGACGATATACGCACCTTTCAGGGTTCTTCCGAGGCCTGCATCCCAGGCTCCTTTTCCAAACAGGGTGAGTACGGTCCCGACGACGAGCTCACATCAGACCTTCAGCAGCTCCCAACGGACGCGTTGGAAACATCTCTGAACCATGTCTCCGGTGGTACCTCAGAGTCTGCGATTCTCGACCTTATCCGACTTCTTGACGACCAGACTGTTCTCCACCAACAGCCTGTCTACGGTTCAATCCCAGAAGTCAACAGCGACGGATTCAACCTCCTTCGGTTCATTAATGAGGACTTGCGACTATCCGCCGATGACGAGTACCCAATTCTCGACTTCGATCGTGACGACGATTGCGACGACGACGATTGCCCCAAGTTTCCCGTGATCGCGTCTGACTCCAAGTCCTCGTTGTCGGACAGTGAAGATGGATATACCGACGACTACGGCTCGACTCCATCCCTGGCTTCCGCCTCGGATATAGACTCAGAAGATGAAGAAGTCATCATCGCTCCAATGACAGGTCACACCAACCTCTTTCTCCGTGGCTCTAACCACCGTCGCTCACCCGCTGGATGCTTCTTGGTCACTCCCGGCACCCCGACGCAGTGCGGCGACCTGGTTGATGCAAGCTCGTGTATCAATGTAACTGATGGTGAGCCACGAACGCAGAGTTTCTTCAAGTCCTTCCTCAACGCCTACGCTCCGTTCACCGACGAACATTGGTCTGGGATCCCGACCGATGTCCACCCCGCGTCTACGGGACTCTCAGATATCAGCCTTGATCTTTGATTCAGTGGCAGTGTCATGACACCGTAGAGTCTTGTATCGAGGAATCCGTCAGGGGCACATCTTGCCTATCATTGGACTTCCGCCTGTCCACTGTCGAATGCCACCTCCCAGTTCCAACCCTCACCTGATATTCTTTCCAACACTCGTTCCTTTCCCTCATCTTTCCAGCAGCAGCTTGCATCGTACCCATTTTCTATTTGCACCATATTCTCCATCTCCATCTCGATACCACAGAAAACGACAAAACCCTATAATTGTGTTTCCTCTTTTTCCTCTTCTTTGATCTTTTCCTCTATTTTCTCTCCACCTCCTCCAGACAACTTGGTATACCCTTTCATTTTTGCGCTTCTCAATTTTTTTTTTTTGCAGCACCACAAGATTAATCCTTTATTACAATTTTTGTAAGGTTTCCAAATCCCCTCTCATTACCACCTCACTCACCGTCTCTCCGATCAGTTTCAGTTTCATTTTTCAGCTTTTCATCATATTCCCCGCACACTTGCGCCATCATCCTTGTAGGGTGTCCGAATTCTTGCCCTTTCACCGCCGTGCTTACCACCTTTTCACACTCTCGTTCTTGACAGTTATTCTTGCAGTCGTCAGTTCATGTTGCAGCACTCCAACGTATCCGCATACTCCTCGCGCCCTCATCCTTGTAAGGCTTAGGTTCTCTAGTCATTGTGCCTTCTGTGGCTTACGGTTTCTTTCACAGCTCCGATCATTCCCAGTTGGCAATTTCGATTTCCAGCAGTATGACATACCCTAAACGTCATTCCTTGTCATCCTCGTGATGTACCCGATTCCTTTTATCTTTATTTGGCGAACTTACTCATTTTGCCCTAGTTGTCGAAAGCCATATTGCAGCCCTGATTTGTTTGCAGCCTCCGCAAAATTTACCAGCCCTTCCTCCCTTACAACGACGTCGGCGTGGTGTTTCTGCGATCTTGCGACAATCTCTTGCAAAATTTCAATGATTTTCGGCCATCATCGCAAGCCAGTCTTATTCCGCAGTTCAGCATCGCGCGATGTCTCAGCCCAGCCTGCTTTCCGTGGTCCTCGAACACTCGTGGCTCTTACGACCGTACCACTCCGGTTGGTGGTCATCATCCTCGTCCTCCCCCGCGTCACAGCTCGGTGTCGCATGATAGCTCATTCATCCGTGCTTCTTCGTCCCTCCCATCCTGGTGTAATGCAGCACCCGGCGATGATTTCCTGCTCCGCAGTCTTCCTCATACCTTGCGTGATCATTCTCGGGCATTCACTCACACGTTCCACGACACCTGATGACAGTGGCGACCCGGAAAAACCCGCTATGGCCTGTGCTCACCACTGCCATGCCCTTTACGGTGGCTCGTGAGATGGCATGTTCTACCACCATAGCGACTTGCAGACTGCGGACGACCGGCTCCTACGATCTTTCACACCCCGTCATAACCTTCGACAACTGGTTACGTCCTATCGAGACCTTTACGACCTTCACGACTTTCACGACTTTCTACGACTACTCATGACCTTATGAAGAATTTTATCACTTTACGACCTGTCGACTCGACCTCTATTACCTTGTACGTCTTGCAACCTGCGTGGCGAGCTACAGAGATCCGCCCCAACGCATCCTTCCTGCCGCGGCCTTTGTGTAACGAGTCGCTCAGCCGCACGACACGCGAGTGCTTTATGGTCCGCTCGACTTCATGACCATTACGAACCTTCATGACTTCCACAATCTCTCATAACTCTCAACACCGTTCACAGCCTACCTTGCCCTTCCTATCCACTATGGCCTGCTGCAAACATTGGTACGTTAACAACTACTTCCTAATTTGCTTTTGATTCACCACCCACAGTTTGGCGACTTGCACCCTTTACTTCATCTTTACTTCCATGATTTCTATTTTTTTTTTCGTTCTTGTGGTGGCACTTTTTTAGTTTCGCGAATATATCATCAGTGTTGCCAATTCATAGCGTGAATCATTGAGTTTGTTCGTTCACCGAGCTCCTGACATTACGACGGAAAATTCGTTGTGAGACCCTGACTGGTACCTTCTCTTCGCCACGGAAAAATGGAAAGATGGCGAAGTGGTCGCCCAGAATTACGGGGAATTACTGAACAAGTCACAGTCACAATGGAAAGATATTAAACTTGAATACTTTGTTCCTCCTAGCCTGCTGGTATGTGATTGTTTTTGCCCATTTTCCCGCTTAAGTACCAAACATGCCTGTGCAGCTCGTAATCACGCTCTGGATTCGCTTCATGATTGGGTCTTCGGAGTAGCAGTGGGCCTACACAGACACTGATCAGAGAAAAATCCGACAACTGGTTACGACTTATCGAGACCTCACGACTCTCGACACCGTTCACAGCTTACCGCCCTTTTATCCACTACTGGCCTGCTGTAAACATTGGTATGTACAACTGCTGCTCTTGATTCACCACCCGCCGTTTGGCGACTTGCACCTTTTACTTCAACTGTCATGATTTCTATGTTCCCCCTCTTTTACAGCGGCACTTTTGCTTTTGTAGTACTGCCAATATGATCATCCTACTGCTAAGTCATGAACGCGAATGTGTTTGTTTAGATCCTGACTTTTGGCGACTTCGACATGACCCCCTGACTTCCTAAGGTGTACTTGTCACATCGATAACCTTACCAGCCCTTTTATTGTATCCATAGGATAACGTCTTGAGTACTTCGCACTGGGATCGATTTCATGAAGATAATGCTAAAGCTCAAGGTAAAATCTGAAATACACTGGAGGCATCAAAACATCATATCTAATGTACAGACGTAACAGACCTCATGGGTTGTCCAATATGATGAACCAAACACCCGCTGAAACTCGCACCGGCTTCAAGGCCACTTAAGGCTTTGCAACTGTCATGGAAAGGCGCTGAAGCACTGAAAACAAGCTACCCTTTGGGATGATGGGACCTAACCAACTTTGCAACCATGCGGCAGCTGAGCCTACAAAATGTCATATTGATAAGCTGCTCAACGCTACAGTCATAAAAAACGTGCCTTTTATTGGTCCTTGTGGTCCGAATCCAATCATGCGAAGAACCCCACGAAGAATCCAGGACTCCTCAAGTAGCAAGCCAATCTCAGGAAACAAGGACGCCGCAATCTGAGGCAATAAGGGTGCAATTGCAATGACCAAGAGGGCATTGGCTAGGTCGGGATGCTGTTCAACAAGGTCTCCTGTATCATTCAATTTGAGATTGTCAACATTCCAAGTTAAATACTCATGACGTACCAATTAGTGCTGCTGTGGTCCGGTCCCGAACCACGGTTCGAACCTGACCGATGGTCCGGTTCGTCCATGGTTCGGTCCATGGTTCCAAGTTTCGGCCGGACCGAACCGCAATGGGGTTCGCGGTCCGCTGTCTCCCGAACCGTTCGGACATAGGTTCGGACCGTCCCGAACCGAAGTGTCCTTGCGATATTGGCGAGGCACACACATGCTCACTTCGACTTCGACTTTGACTTCTCCCCCCATGGTCACGTTGACTTCTGGGATCCTCAAGATTTGCATTGACATTGAATTCTGTTCTGATGCTCGCATCCCGCACCCCCAGCTGTCTGGAAAAGCTCAAGGTATGTCAACTGTCAAATCAAGTGCAACAAGTGCAATAAACTCAATAAACTGATTGATATATTACATTGATATATTTTTTAGGGTCCTCCAATGCATATGACTTCGGAGATTTACTGTTTGCATTTTTTGCACATAAAGGGAGCAAGCCCCACCAGGTGAGTGATATTTCCACTCAACATAATGTCTGAATCTGATGCTTGTGCTCTCAATGCTGATGGCTCCCTTAAGGATGCCAAAGATATTGTCTTTTACCATGACCCTGAAGATACGGTCCCACTTTGCGCTCCATCCTCTGCCCAGCCAACATCATCTACCACTCCCACAGGCTCAGACGCCTTCTCTGTGTTACTGAAGGCTGGGTGCAAACCAGCGCCACTTACTGCAGGCACCCGCCACTCCATTTGCACCTCTAAGCCTTCTGCTCGCCTCCGTGATGCCGACAACACTTGTTCTCACCCAGCGTCCTCAACCAGCTCAACAGCCCGCAAATGTGCATTATCTAGTGTGACTGAGCAACTAGTTACAAAAAAGGTCGCTTTGCAGCTCTCAGCCCTGTTATCTGATGATGATGATGATGACTCTCACGCGGCTGGTGCTGATACAGATAATGATACTGATCCTGGTATGATGACTCTCACGCAGCTGGTGCTGATAACGATACTGATCCTGATGCTGGCCCAGTTGAGGATGAAGATGCACCCGAAGATAACGATGCCCCGACAGCTGAAGATGAACCTGACAACGAACCTGAAGACTCAAACATCCGAGCCACTTTGTCAAAGAGTGAGCGTATTGCTGATATTTGCACCGTCTTCGCTCGCAATGACAAACATTGGATATGCAAACCTTGCAAGTACGTATTTAGCATTACATGTGTGGTTACTTGCTAATGTTTGGTAGGGATGCTGGCAAACTCGAAAGCAAGTACACCTTTCGGGGAGGAATATTGACACTCCACACACATATCTGTCGGTATGTTCACGTCTTCGTCTCTCATGTCTTTGTTATTGATATATATTAGCAATAAAAACCATTTTCAACTGTACAAAACACACTGCGAAGCTGCGGGCATCACCATGCACCCTCGAGCAGTTCCAACTGGCGAGGATCAATCCCTGTGAGTATCGTGTATCGCGTGTATCATGATTCGTGTTGTGCTGATTCGTGGATAGTTCAAGACAATCCACCCTTGACAACATCCTTGTCCCCAAAGCACCTATGTTTACCAAGGTGGGGCTTCTCGAGTACCTTGTAGAGTTTATTGTGACCGAAGACGAGGCATTGCAGCTTGTCGACAAACCAGCCTTCCGCGACTTGCTCCGTTATGTCCATCCTGCCCTCACTGAAAGTGACATCCCTCACCGCACGAAGCTGATGGAGACCATCAAAGCCCGTGCAGTAGCTGTAGTTGATGTTATTCGTGAACGTCTTGCACAGGTGGACAGTCAAGTCTCCATGACTTTTGACTCCTGGACTTCCATAATTGGTGACCCTTTCTTCTGTGTCACAGGTCATTATATCTGGAGCCCTGGTTGATAAACCTCAGCAATGGGAGTTACGCCGTGAGCAACTCAGTTTTGAACACATTGAGGGCAATCATAGTGGACAGAATGCCGCTTGCTTGATTATTGATACCATCGACACATACAATCTACGAGATAAGGTAAAGTTTAGTCTACTACTATCCTGCACTGAATCTAATCAGTGTTTTGTAGGTTGGATGGATGACCTCTGATAATGCCACCAACAATGATACCGCCATGAAAGCAGTTGGACATGAAATCGATCCTGAGGGTACCTGGTGGGCACCTGATGCATGCCGCATCAGGTGCCAGGAACATATACTGAACCTCACCGCACGCCACTTTGTTGATGCAGTCGCACCCACTCCTCAAGCTGCTCTCATGAAGAAGATTCGTGAGGCGCTTGAGAATGGCAATGATGCTGACCTCGACACCTTAACTAATGAGCTTTCTTCGATGGACGTTAACAACAAGAACGATGGCGACGACGACGACGACACCTTATTTGATACTGGTGATTCACTAGGCAAAGCTCTTGCACTCATCGAGCAGGTAATGTGCTGTTGTGATTAGACTATTCTTTTCACTGATCAACATCCTTAGATACGAAAGTCCCCTCAAGCTCGCGCGTTTTTCCGAAAGGCCTGCAAAGAAGAGAACGTACCTGAACTTGAGTTGTTGCAGTGGATCAGGACTTGCTGGGCTTCGCTATACAAGTGCCTGGACCGCATGTTACTCTTGCGTCGAGTGAGTTTTTTCGTTTCAATGTTTAACAGTAGCCTGATTTTAATTAAATAGGCTGTGAACCGTTTCACAAACCTTGCCGATGAAAGCAAGGAAGTGCTGACTCTTCGCAACAAGTCCTATGACAATTTCAAGCTCGATCAGCAGTGATTGGCGACACCTTGGGCTTGTTCATCGAGTCCTCAAGGAACCAGCAACAGCTCAACAATCGTTCTCGTCAGCAAAACATCCAACTGCATGGAAAACAATCCCTACCCTGGAGTGCCTTGCTGATCGATGGAGATCCATGGCAGATGATCCACAATATGTACCAATCGCCAATGCGATTGAAGCAGGACTCAAGAACATCAACAAGTACTTCAAGAAAACAGGTCAATCAGACATGTATTTCATTTGTCTTGGTGAGTACTATCGATTTTTACGACTCGTTCTTATCTAACATAATTTAAGTTCTTGATCTGAACTATAAGCTTGCATATGTTGAAGGTCGGTGGGATGCTCAAGATGTTGCAGATGGCAGGGCTCGCCTGGAGGCCATGGTGAGTACTTGTCTATACTGTTTTCCCCCTTTCATCTTATTTTTGTAGTTCAATGACTATTATACACCACCGAGTTGGACACCTACCAAAGAGCAATCTGTTCTGCCAATGAGAGCTGTACACAAGCACTATGGTGATGATTGGATGCGCGAGGCTATTAGGACGCATCAAACAACAGACCATCTTACTCACAATCCTCGGCAAGAGCTCAACATGTACTTGTCTTTGCCACTAGAGGAGACTGATGACATTTTTGCCTGGTAGGGGGTAAGTTATCTTTTTGACTTTTGTTTTCGCTACTAAATCTATTTATTAGCTTCACTCGCTGCAATACCCTACACTCGCACGCATCGCGCGAGACTATCTACCCATTCAAGGCAGCTCTGTTCCCTCCGAGCAGGCATTCTCAAGTGGAGGAATCACTTCTACTGTGGGACACAATGCACTCGCGACCTCCACATTCACTGCATTACAGTTGTTGAAGGGAGCATATAGGAATGGGCACCTTTCTGCAGCAGTAGAGGCTGAGGGACACGCAGCTTCTTTGGACATGTAGCTATGAGTACAAATACTTGTGTCTATGTTTTTTTTGCTAGCTGTAAAAAAAATTGGGTTCGGTTCGTGTTTGAACCGAAAAATAACTGAACCTGACCATTCTGAACCGTTCGCAAAGGTCCAGTTCGAGGTTCGGCAAGTCTAGTAGAACCGGACCTAGGTTCGGTTCTCGGTTCTTGCTCAACCCTCTATGAACCAGACCAAACTGGACCGCGGCAGCACTAGTACCAATAGTCACGGAGATGTGTTGAACAGCAAACTTGAGAGGACTGGAGTAAGCTGCCAGAAGCTCTTCCTTCCCACCGTGCATGATGGCGACCTGTAAAAAAATCTCCTCAATGTGGTCAAGGACCATGCTGATCATGACCGTACGGTTTTCGTGACCAGGAGCCTCCTCAGGCGGCAGAAACAGCTCTCTAAGTTCTTCAAATACGACACTAAAGACACCTTGAAGTTCTTCTAATATGGACACGTCGAGGGGCCTGCCACTTTGTTTGGCGGCTGCAAAGACAACTTGATGAAGCGCGGTAGCTGTGCTGGTGACATTGTCTACAGACTCCTTGAACTCCATTATCTTCTCAGATGGATAGAGCTCCATGGCATGATGTAAGAGTTCATCTGTATACTGTTGGATATTCGGACCAATCTCTACGACTTTGTCCCAGAAGGACTCTGCCGTGTTTTGCAATCCATTCCACCACGTGTGTACTGAGGCAGACAAAGAATCAAGTTTTTCTGTCACACTATCAGCAGCGCCTTCATGACTGAGTAGTGATTAAAGTGACCGTTTAATGTGTCTGCAAGCTCTGATGGCTTGTCAAACAGTGCTGTCGACCAAGGTGTGACATCAGGAAATAATTCAAAAGCAGTACATATTGTACTCACATTTTGCTGCCACTCCCCATCCTTTCCCTAGGTTAAATACAATGTTTGTGATAAGGATCAGAATGTGACACACTTTCTTCAATGACACTTTTGTCAGAGGAACAGGTATTTTCTTCAACGCTGCTGGAGGTAGCTGGTCTCACTGTTGCAGCAGCTGCCAATGTAATATATGCCAGAGTCACAGAGAGCCGCATCACAGTATAATGACTAGGACAGACGAGTGTTGTTCAGTGGTTCAAGTTGGACCTACAAGGACCTGCATGCACATCAAGTTCAACTTATGTAAGTAATGACTATGTATAACATGGCGGCCTTGAGGCTACATGCCGGCGCCCGCGTGCGTTGAATAAATTTAAATCTGAGGGTACATACATCTATGCTCCTAGATCAAAAGGTGACTGCAAAGGATGGCAGATAGCAATTGTGTGATATTGGTTACGGCATTTTAAACAAGTGAATAGTATATGAAACAACGAGCGAGGGAGATCTAACTATGGCATATTTGTTTGGGCAAAGCCCGAAAGGGGCTCTAGACCGAAACATGCCTTGGGAGAAAGCTGAGCTGAGATGGGCGGGTGGGCCATGCAGCTCAGGAAAACCAAATGGCATGCATCAGGTCGATGATGGAGGGAAGGCAGGAGATGGGTTTGAGGGGTCGACTGCAGAGAATAAAGAGGACCTGATCTACTTGAATGCTTAGTGAAGGAGAAACGCCAGGTGTGGTGGATTTATACCCGGCGGTTTTTTCCCCATACAGGTAAATCATTGCTGTCGCGCAGAACACGGTCACCTATATGGCGAGATAGCCTAGGAGTCTTTGCTCTGACAAGGACTTTGAGTGGAGTGCGAGGGGGGGGACTGGATGATCGGGGGTATAAGAGCAGAGCTCTTTTGATCCGCTGTGGTCTGGAGAGGCGGGTGACGCACAAGGGTAGTTTTATGGTTTTTGAATGAGGGGAGCCAGTGTTCAGGTTGCGCAAGCGGAATTCAACATGGTTGCTACCACAGCTCACCACTTTGCTCAGAGTGGCTGCAAAAAGAGGGAGTGGGAGAGGGGAGATCAGGATGGTGTTAATGTGATGGTAGACCACAATCTTGTCTCCAACCCCAAGAGTTGCTTTGGATCCAGGGACGATAAAACTATCAAAGGACCATGTTTCAAGGCCTGAAAGTGAGTGTGACATCCCCAAGATGAGGCAGGCAGCCGACATGGATATGAGGGCTCCAGCGGGAGGGGAGTCAATGGGGAGGTTCACATTGGCTCCTCCAGAAACAATGGTGTTATAAGAGTTGCAGGAGGACATGACCGTACTGAGGGAAGGAATGGTAAGTGTTGCTCTGTTATAAGTCATGGACATGCAATAAGTACGTAAAGTATGGATCAAGAAAACATGGCACTTTGTCGGAGGCTCTGCAAGAACCCTGAACTAAGTGAAAGTGGCTGAAGAATAACCAATAGATTGTAATGCTGATGACATTTGGAAATTTGCTCTCTGATGTCCGAGGGACAATTCTGGTGGAACTAGATAATGAGCTGCCCCTAGGGAGAGGAGGGTGGGTGATTTGATTCAGGCAGATCAGAGAATTGGAGAGAGAATATTTTGAGAGAGCAAGAGCAAAGATATGAGCGACGACGGAAAGGAAGAGAGAAGTGTGCGCCACTTTCTCAAACTGGGCATAGACCTTATTCTTACCACGTGCTCATGCCTCGTACTTAGTCAGAATCCAACCATTGGGCGATTTCAACGTAGGGCGCTGTGGGTACAACAAGTGCAGCGGAGAGAAATTGATCTACTACACAGTTGGGTCTTTGCTGCCTGCTGCCTCGCTTGGGAACAAGTGCGTTCGACCCTTAAGGGGATTGCTACTGGGGAATACTAGTCTCTGTCTAAAACGACCCTACAGGATGAAAGATCCGCAAAAGCGGATGAAGCAGATCGGATGCGAAACGTACGGATTCGTCGGATGGAGCGGATGGCACTTGTGGATCGGACAGGATGTGAATCAAAGTTGAAGGAAGTTCATTAAAGGTTGGATAAATAGTGAGTATAAGTCAAAGCGATCTTCTGGTAGGGTGCAGGAAAAGTGGGAGAAAGTTACATCCAGTAAGTATTTTTCAAAACCCTCCATGCTTATAGGGTACAGTATTTTCAAGGAACATAGATATATAGGTAGCGAGTCTAGACCGTGCCATAAGCTATCCAAAAAATACTGGAGTGTGAGAGGATATGTCTGTGTTCAGTCAGTAACAAGAAAATGCGTGTGAGTACGTACCAATGAGGTAGAATGGACGTGGACAGGACAGATGCAGCGGATGCGCGAGCTATAGGGGGAGATCCGAAGGTATCCACATGTCATCCGAAAAGCGGGTGTGTATCGGATGGAATGGATAGGTGTTGGATGGATGTCAGATGGACGCCTGATGCATCGGAAAAGTGGTGGATATGAGCCTAGCGTAGGGATACTCCCTACAGCGCGTAGTGGTTCTGGTGAAGGGTAAGTTCAGATTTGAAAATCAAGTTGTTTGCAAAGAATCTTCAACCTTTAAATGGTTTTTCGACCTGGTGTTTGAGCAAGAACTAGTAGGACAGAACAATTATCTTCATTCATCTATATATGGTCTGTCTAGATCAGACTAAGTTGACAGGCTTTCAGGCCCCACGATGATCGTCCTTGCCAAGTTGAACCCAAGTTACCCAGCCACCACCGATGTCGTGCTCATTAACACCGTCTAGCTCATCGCAATAATGGCGTAGACTGCTGAGGGTGCATTCGCAAACAGCCCATCTCCATTACTGTCTACCTCCATCTCAAGCCCTTGGCAATCCAACAACATCACAGACCCCATCCACTGCGGCCATCTCACCAAAGCTATCTCGGCGCTCTTGGAGTTCTATACCAATGTTTGTGTGCTCGTACATGGGGTCACTCAGAAGGTGTTTGCTCTGGCTGGGGAGAATGTGGACGCCATGCATGTCATTGTGGGCCTTAAGAAGCTGATTTTATCTTTGAAGTTGAGGTAATTATACCCGGCAGTCAAGACAGTTTGCAGTAGGCTGCAAAGGTGGCCGTCAAAGGCCTTGTCATGCCCATGCTGATTGGCGTCAATCCTCCAGAACGCCTTGCAAAGCAAAGGGTGATCACGAACATCACATTCCACGAGACTCCACGAGAAATCTGGTATGCACCAAGTAGATTGTCTTTTGTTTGCATTTGATGACATGGATGTAGGTTCATATCGTATCCCGAGCTAGTGCTCAAAGTTTTACATCGCGTGCACTCTAAGATACAAATCAAATTGTCAATCGTTGGTCTGTTTCCTCCTTTTGATAAACCATTATCACCCCATGTCAGATTCTACGCTTCTGTTCTAGTTCCTACACTCTCCCATCCAAATTACCGGATAGTCACAGACCACAGTATCACGAAAAGGAAGCAGTAGCGGCAGTGTAGCACCCAGCCTCATTGCGAGTATCTCACTGAAGTCTGAGACATGCATGTAGCACAACGGCAGTAGTGTTGCGGAAGTCCGGTTCAACGGGAAATTTTGCGAACGCTGAACTGGACCTTGCGTTCGGTTCAACCATTTTGCTGAACGCTGAACCGGACACCGTGAACGCGTCCACAGCGTCCGGTTCATGTCCGGTTCAGTGTTCGAACGTCGCACGCGTTGTAATTGCCAGTGTGAAGCTAAATAATGTCATCACATGATCAGGAGTACTAGAATATCAAGATGCTACTATGAAGCAGGATTAATGATCAGTAAGATCAACACAAAGGTCATCTTCAGTCCTGGGGTCGAGGAGTTCCACCTGCACCCAGGTCACACTGGTCAGCCATGTTGTGAGGAGACAAACTTGAGGAGAGTTGAGCTTACCTCAAAGTTGATTTGTTTGATTTGTTTTAACTTGCACCGAGTTTGCAGGTGCCGAAGAATTTATGTAGCTACCCTAGAAAAAAAACGACCCATTAACAAACACATTAGCGCTAAACCAAACTAACCAAAGTCTCGATAGCTTTTCAGGCGCTTGCTTCGTGACATTTTGATTAATGGTGGCCGAAAAAATCTTCACGGACCTTGGCAGTGGCATGGTCCCCACAACAGGGTGTTTCTAGAGTACCCGGGAGTGAGTATATCCGGATACCAAGCGAAAAAGTTGCGTGAATCAACAATCGTGTTTCAGTAATGGCGTTTCAGAGTGTATTGCGCATATAGATTATGGCATCTCATATCACTGGTGTGAGTGGCCTAAAAGTGCGTGACAAGATTAAACAAAGAACGGAAGTAGAGGAGATAAAGTGACGAAGTTCAAGTTTTTTAAAGTCAATACATATCAGCGTTCAAAAAGGTTCCGAAGGACGCGTTCGGACGCGTTCAATGCGTTCAAGGAACATCAATGTTTGAACCCGTCGAAAAACTATCGTTTTACGATCCCTGACATTCCCTGTTTGGTATAGTCTCAGGTGAACTGAATTGATTTCTAACACTTAAACTGCGCGAAATTTCAGCCGCTTTTGCTGATGAATGCTGAACGCTGAGCCAAACCGTGGTCCGGTTCATGAAAAGTCCGGTTCGAACCACGGTTCAGAACCGAACCTCCGCATCACTAAACGGCGGTCCGGGTCAATCCTATTGGTCCCCGGTGAGGCGCACATCGACAACTTCTGCTATTTCTCACTGACGGGTCGATATTCAAGTTGCACAGTTCCATGCATATTCTCCAAGGGTTGGGATCATCCTCATTTTCAAGTTAGCAACCGCAGGTCCGCACTGGCTCGTTTCGAGTCGTGTGGTAAAAGTCTATCCTACATTCGGCTTTATTCAAAGTCATTTACGGCGAGTTTTGTCCTGAACCGACGTTCGAACTGGATCGTGGTTCGGTAGGGTAACCAAGTTCAGTCTCCCATCAAGAACAGAATTCTCCCCAGTTTGGTTCTCCGTTAGTTCTGCTGTCCGCAACTGACACTGAGGCTCACAGCCTTACCGTGTTCCAACCCTACTCCATTCCTTACTTTAATAATGCATTTATTCCTGTTCGGTTCCCGGATCTCAAAACGAATGAGGTACATCCCCCGTGGCCGGATTCGATCTACGCCGCCGCGCTGCGGATTCCTGCATGCGGAATTGGTGGTGTCGAGCCACCGCTACACCTTGCTCTCATCGGACTTGAAGACACTCACAGTGCTCATCGTGGCTACCCGCCTGTCACTGTTCTTGCAGATGGTGTTGAGAATGAGACTGCGATAGATCATGGGTGGGGTACTGTTATTGAGCTACGGAATACATGTGTACTACCGCATGTGATCTCCTGGGCAGTCAACCGTATGACACTGACGAAGCAATTGGTTATTCACTGTACAGATTGCAAAAGATTATATTTCTCGGACAGGAGACCCTACGCGCTAGATATGCTAAATGAGAGACATTTTGTCAAACATGCTTCGTCACTTGAGATCAGATTCAGTATTGTCCCAACATTATACATGCGACTAACGCCAAATACAGGTCATCGTGATGGCCATCGGTCATAGGGGATAGCGTTCTAACCGTCTATGTGTCTTGCGCTGCCACATTTTAAACGATTATGGTTCTTGTCTACGTTATAATGTGTATATAAGGGTTTAAGTATCGGCAGTGTTTGAGGGGATGGCCTTGACTCGGATTCCCATCTGCCGACTGTGTTCTTTCCCACTATTTGATGATGCGGGCAAATTTGTCCGTCTTCACAGCTTTATGTTGGCTTCATTTTCCCTCTGTGTCCAGATCCAGCATAGCTACAAGTGCGCAGCGCTCAGCGCTCAGCCTGTGCTGTTGTCGGCACGTGCCGCTGTGGTGCACGATATATATAGGAGCCTCTGGTATCAGGTCAGTCCTTCCCCCTTTATCCTCAACTTCCAACATCCTATGGCCTATTATGATGAGGTTGGTGGTGGACTAGCAGTCCAGATTGTCATCATCATAGAGCTACAGTCAGTTTATTAATCTTCGATCCAGGATTCATATCGCCTTCCAGAGGGTATAAAGCGGATTGCATATGATGCTGATACGCAGAAGTACACTTTCCGCGACCGCTCTGGTCAGCTATACCAGAACCCCTCAGGAGAGATGTATGGCATTCTGAAGGCTGTGTCAGCGCCTGCCACTCCTCGGCGCAGTGTGACCATAACAGGCGAGCTCATGACTACCACACGAGGCACAACCACTTACATCAAGCATTGCATACCTAGAACGTAGAGATCCTGCCCTAATTCGCGCACGTTCTGTCAAACGCCCCGCAAAGACTTTCGATGATTTCCTTCCCCCCGAATACATCACCAATGCGGCGGCGGAGGACTCAAATTCTGCACCCGGCTCTCCCAGCGAAGAGATCGCCCGGGTGACCCGGAAACCTACGCTACCGAAGATGCAAAGAGTCGTGGCGGTCGTGCGTCGCCGCTCGAATCCACCTCGCATGTCGGGAGATGACGAAAAATATCACTTACTCGACGATCGCATCTCTAGTCCTACCTCCTATGTAACTCGCGAGGGGGATGAGAAAGAGTTGATTCGCTCAATTTCTAACGTGTCGTCTAATCTGTCACTGTCTGCTATTGATACACATATTAATTTTGAGTAATTCATTCGGTATGAATTGAATTAACACCGATGTTGTCGTTATATCGCATATGTAGAGCCACCGCACAATTTTTTTACTATGCAAGCAAGGTCTAATCCATCGATTTGCTACATTGACTTACGACGCATGGTATTCCGTTGTCGCAATCGCGACTTTATAGCTGAAGGTTAGAGCAGTTGGTTAGTCTAGCTTAGTCAGCAGCTTCACGATTCTACAGAAGTAAACAGCCACTTGGAAGAGTCGAAGATGGCACCAGACAGCATCGGACGTCCAATGGACATCCGCCAAAATGCCGCAACGACTGTGTAATACTCCCTCCACACCCTCATTCGTCCAACTCCATCATGCAAATTACCATGAAATACACTGGATCCTCAAGCCCAGACTCGGTATTGCGTTCCAATCTCTTAGCACGATTTTGTCCTGGTTCAGACCTCTCTGTCGTGATGCGAGGATTGAAGTCAGTCTCTCCTTTCTACGAGGCTTGTAATCATACTTAGCGTTCTAAAACGGGGCGCACTATGTACCGTCAGGCTGTGATGGCGCTCATGTCTAGGTTTGGAGGAACCTTCGAGCTTGGCCGTCCTGGTGTGCAAGGGGCATCCAGCGCACGAAGACATCGTGCTGCGTACGAAAATTAATGTGGTGCAAGAGGAACAACAAGCTCCGCCCTCAAGATACACATACCTACTCCACGCGAACTCGCTACGCTGGCAGAGAACTGTCTAAAAATCCTCCACTCCTCAAAGCACACACTTGTACGTCCAGGCATCGATGCCATCATGTTTGACGCCAGAACATTGACAGTGTGGCTCGTCCAGGTGACGCACGGATCCTCACGCGCTGTCTCTCCTGGGGGTCTTCTCTTTCTGCTGAGTGTTGTCCGAGGAAGCCCTTACGAGCCTTCTTCTAGCTCAGTGGAGATGAAAGAACATGGCATTTCCCCTTGTTCTTCTGGACGCCACGCATCAAACTCTACATTATGCAACTGCGCGAGACGGATCATGACGTCTCCTCTTCGAGAAGTTCATACGAGCAGTGGGGTTTCCTTTATAAGGCTCCGCCGAAGAGCTCGCCCAGCGTCCCGCGGCGCCTTGCGAACTCGCTGGCGCACCTCGTCCGAAGGCTCCTATACACGTCTGAGTCTAACTATGTGGTCCAGGACCGGATGACATCGGAAATTCATGGCGCGATCATACGAAACTCAGGGGTGCCCGGAGCTCAGTTGCTTGGAGATATAGCGAGCGAGCAGCGGCTGGGCCTGCCCGACCACTATGTGTGGGATGATGAAAATTAACTACTTGGGGAAGAGATAAAGAGGTGTGTCCACGAGAACGAAAATTAAATGTGTGCTTATATATGTACGAATACTTGTGGTTGTCACAAATTAGTGCTCATAATGTCCATATTCGATTTGCCGCATCCATGTCATTAATGCCCATACTCAACGTGTTTGATTTCACCGGCTGCGTCAGTCAGGGAATATGCAACATCATTTTACCTGACCAATCACACTACCGGATTTTGGGATTTCGTCGTGAGACCGCTGAGGTGACTCACAATTCGTACAGCCTTGGAGAAAGGAAAGTCAGATAAACAGGCGCTTTTTTTCCAACCGCTCTCTGTACACCGCCCTCGCGTAGTGTCATTGGTCAGGTATTTGAGATGTTAGTGCATGCTGCGCTGACCAGTGGTCCTGAATATCTATGCACTTGATTTTCGGTCCTGGACGGCCCTCATAGGGAATTGACACCTGTCCAGCCCGAGGAAATAATCACTGACGTCGCGCATCTCCCAACTGCCAATCGCTTGTTCTATTTCAAGCCAGGACTCATAACCTACCCTGGTATTCATGGTACTCTGTTCACCCGAAGTCAATATATGCCATCCATTCTGAATCCCGGCAATAGAAGGCCTTGATAGCCTGCACGACGCGCTGGCAATTGAACATCGGCGCACGCACAAGGAGTGGTACTTTCTCTTCGCCGCGGAAAAAGGAAAGAGGGCGAAGTGGTCGCCCATGGTTACAGGAAATTGCTGCACAAGACATATTCGCAATGGAAAGACATCGACTCAGATACTTTGTTCCTCCTAGCCTGCTGGTGTGTGATTGTGCTTTTGCCCATTTTATGTTACTGATTATCTACTCGACAACCAAATGGAACCATAAGCCCGCCCACCAGGCTTATGCTCGCAATCACGCTCTGGAATCGCCTCCTTGGGTTTTCGGAAAAGTAATGAGCGAAAAAGCGTAAGACATGGATACATTGAAAATTTCGGCTCTAGTGTAACATCTCACTTTATACTGTTGAATAAGTTGTAATCAGTACTCGCCGAGCCGGACGAATACCAACTTGTAGGCATCCTGAAGCAGCGAGAAATAGGATCGAAGCAGTAGGTTACTGTTGCAGTCAACGAGCTCCAAAAAATAAGGATCGTAAGTGGCGAGTCCCTTCCAAAATATAAGATCGCGGAGTAAACTCGGAGATAGTGGGCAACCCATGAGCATACCCGTATACCGTGCTGACGGGTACGGTGTGGCCACGGGTGGCAAATCTCTACATCGTACTCGTACCCGCTATACCCGTGACCGCCATACCCATGCTATACCTTATAGATGTCAAGAGTGCGCGCTGCCTTGCAGGGCGACTTATTCAAAAATGACCTGCAAACAAGTCAGAAACGAAAGCGCAGGAATGAATACAACCCACATTGACGACGGGAACCCGCACAAACTATAATAGCCACGCCTGAGGAGAGCTGGGGAGACGAAAGGCGATAGAACGAACATCTTCTCAAGGCAAGGATATTGTATATCATCACCTCTGATATCCAAGCTGTCACTACTGGGCTGTCACTCACCGTTGACGTTGGACTGTCATACGAAAATGACCGAGAATTGAACTGAGTGTAAGCGTCCAAAAATAACGGATTGAAGGAAGCTACTGTGCACCTAGACATATTTCACACAACGCGTTAGATAGTGATAGACAAATCTACATGATACAGGACGACCATCTGGTCAACTTTTTTTTCTTGTCGTACTAAGACGACCTCTGTGACACTACAACAACGATTTCTTTTATGCAGCAGCAACAGCCTCTGGTTCAACGCGCTCTCTCGAGGACTCGCGGTGCTGCTGGAGTAATCGGTCAAGCGCCTCCTTCTGGCCGACTGCGAGCTCTCCAGACTGGATACCGGAGTGGTATACACGCAACAGGGAGTCGACATCGTCCATGGATTGCGTACGGACGTCAGCAAGCTCCTTGATCTTGGCGGTTGCATCCTTGACCTATTACAATCCGTATGAGTAGACTGGATAAGTGAGGTAAAGGTAATATAGCAGACCTCATCATCGGTGAGCTTGAGCCCGAGCTGCTCAACTCTTGACTTGACAGCGTTCCAGCCAGTGAGACGGTGTCTGATCTCAAACATCAGCCTCAACTCATGACGCTAGATAAGGTACGTACCCGATCGAGACGTATCGCGTGAGACCAAAGTCTTCAGGCTTCAAAATCTCATATGTGCTGGGGTTGTTCAAGATCGCCTTAGCATGGATACCGGCCTTGTGCGTGAAAGCACAATAACCCGTGATCGGGTTCATGAATGGCACGTTGACCTCTACTGCCTCTGCAACGAGGTTTTCAATCTCGCGCAGCATGGGCAGGTTGTACTTGGCCTTGACGTATTCGGGGTTGGCAGCATACAGGCATGCTACGAGACCACCGAGAGGCGTGATGCCGACACGCTCACCGATACCAAGGACGGCTAAAAGATATTTAGCCACGTACTAGCCGGTAGAATCAGGAGACGTACAAGTATCAATGTGTGTTGCACCAGCCTCCAACGCGCAATAAGCGTTGGCGATGGCCATGCCGGTGTCATTGTGCAAGTGGATTTCAATATCGCAACCAACAACGCCACGAAGAGTACGGACGAGGTCATAAACTTGTCTGGGATTTGCGCATCCAACAGTGTCAGCGATACCCACACGGTTGACACCGATCTTGTCAACAGTCTGGTATATGGAAAGCAAGTCGACGAGGTCGGAACGGAAGGAATCTTCTGAGGAGAATCGGACTTCGATGCCCTTGGACTTGACGAAGGTGATGACTTCAATGGCAGTCTTGGTAATGTATGTCATGTCTTTTCCGTGCGAGAATTCCCGTAGGAACGAAGATGTGCCAATCACGACATCGACACCGTCAACACCTACGAATGCAAAATGAGTCAAAAAGATAAGGTCAAAACGCTATGAAACTCACCGGTCTCGACAGCGATTCGGGCATCGTCCATGTGGCATCGAATGTGGGTAAGAATCTTGGCCTTGAGTCCGAGCTTGCAGATAGCCTCACAATCAGCGCGCGACTGCTCAGATGCGGCGGGAGAGGTAAGCTCGATGTACTCGACACCGAATGCATCGAGAGCCTTCGCGATGGCGATTTTGGTCTTGGTGTCGAAGAAAGCGTTGGCGAATTGCTCACCCTCTGCATGACGAGTCAAACTAGGGGCCAAAGTGCAAAAGGGTGGGAACGGGACGTACCTCGAAGAGTGCTCTCGATGATGCTAAAATTTGAGATGTTGCTTAAAAAGTCAGATGCGCGCGGTCCATATGGATTTCTGCGCTGTGCTTCACGGGGGTGGATGTTACGTCCGTTGACACCATTGGCGCCGTTGGCACCATTCACGCCGTTGGAGCCGTTGACACCGTTGACCGGAATCATTTGGCTCTTGTCAGGCGGTGATAGGGACTCTGGATTTTGATGCGAGCAGGAGCACTGAGACGACATTTTACGATTTAGATGGGACAACGAATATGAGAGATCAAGACAAGGAGGGATAAGTAGATGGTAACGAAAAAGATGGATATTATGAACGAGTCATCGCTGAGAAAACTGTAAATTATAATATGCTTCGAAGTTCTTGGTGGAGTCAAGGACACATGACCACTTTCATGTCGGCCGATAGATACTTATTCCCGACTACTCCAACTATGATTACAGGTGTACTAACGTTATCGAGGTGGAAGATATTACCGCACGTGACGACAACGCCTCGTTCTCCTGAGTCGGAACCGCGACAAGGCAACCGCTCAAGGCTCGTTGGTTTAACTTGCAGATTGCCTACACGCTGAGATAGCTTCCTTGCAATGCATTCTATGCACCTCATCCTTCTGAATACGTTATATGAGCCTGCTCGCAAGTCGCCAGTATTCTGGAAAGCAGTACGATTTCTCCGTCGAACTCGATTTTTTCTAGTCCCTTCTCCTTCGTGCATTCCTGCAAAGCTGTCTATGTAATAATTGCAGTGTGAACCTTGTCTGTTGGCGAACAGTGCTGGACTGATGCCTCCGTCGAGTTTGATTCGGTTGGACGTTCTGCCCTTCCGCCTTCTCTCACACATCAACCGCGTGCCCACTACTCGCAATAAAGCTGGGGGCGACGTCGTCATTTTTTTTTTGCGGTATTTCAGGTGTTCATCTTCGGCACGACTTGGAGCCCTACTCCATGGGTGTACCTGGGAGAGGCTTTTTATCTTCGAGTACGTCCAGAAGTCAGTTATGCAACAAATACGATTTCTACTTTTTCACAATTAGATTTCATCGCTGATGCTTGTTGGCGAGTCTAAACTACGGTCAAGGGTTCTGGGCCGTTGCTCGGTGTTTGAACGCCTCGCCAGGATTGGCCCAATTGGCAATGATGTGTTGGCATGCTTGTCTTTGGGTGTATTCCCTTCACTTGAGAAGTGGTGAGGTTACATTCATCCCCGTTGTAAACTGCTGCCCATTTGTAGAGATGAAAGAACACGGCATTTTTCCTTATTCTTCTGGACGCCACGCATCAAACTATACATTATGCAGCCGCGCGAAACGAATCATCTCGTCTTCTCTTCTAGAAACCCGTACGAGCAGTGGGGTTTCCCATGCAAGGCTCCGCAGAAGAGTACGCCAAGCCTCCCCCGGTGCCTTGCGAACTTTCTGGCGCACCTCGTCCCAAGGTTCCGGTATATGACTGAATCTAACGGGCCAGACTCATGACATCGGAAATTTATGGCGCAATTATACGGAACTCGGGGGTGCCCGGAGCTCATTTACTTGGATATATAGCGAGCGAGCAGCAGCTGGGCTTGCCCAACCACTATGTGCGGGATGGCGAAGACTAGCCACTGCAGCGGAGGAAGAGATTGAAAAAGATGTGTCGACGAGAGCGAAAATCAGGTGTGTGCTTTATGTAGTAGTTGGTCGCAAATTGTTCAAGAGTGACTACTCAAAGTACTTCATCAATGTATTACACTGAAAATTCGAGAGGGCTTTTATACCTTCTCCTTAGGTCCGCCCGACTCACCTGACCTTGTCAAAGTTTTTTTTCAGATCCTACTGCTCCTTATAACACACAGCCAATGTGCATGGCGTTCCCAGGCAAGTCAATCTCATGTCATCCCAAGTATTCCGCCTCGAAGATTCGTGCACATATTTTATATCTGACAGTAGCGCCCCCGCAAAGTCACGGAGACTTGTCACTTAAATTTCGGCCATCATGATTCAACCTTCTATTATATGCTGATGAAACTTAAACACGCATCTGCTGACTACCAGCGACCGCTGACAATGACATGATAGCATTTTGAATTTAGTATCCCTCCCCCAGGTGTGCACGTGGCAAATGAAATCCAACACGTCGTTGAACACTAGGCTCGGGACCAGTCTGGCCACGGACGAGTCGAGGCCACCCTCTCAAAGACATACGTCAGACTGGTCACGAGTCTAGTTGGACACTCGATTCATTCAAATGATAAGCTGCAGCTTCTCATCACTGACGTGACGCGTGAACGCTGGTCGATTATGAGTGCATCATGGTGACGGAGCAAAACCTCCGCAGCAGACTCGGATTCATCTGCTACCAGTCGCTGTGCAACTGCCACGCAACTCATTGCGGCTGTTTTTTGATCTGTTTGTTGTCCGCTGGACCTGGGCCCTATGTTAGACATGACACGCATCATCGCGGCTGTGCCACCCCTCGAAGATCACTGCAAGTATCGATGCTCTCGACGGCTCCAAGCTGAGGGCCCGCTGGCCCCGATCTGAATCGGTATGTAATAGTCTCAAATGCCAAGTCGAGCGGACCTGCGAGAATGTATAAAAAGCACTCTCGAATCTTCAGTGTAGTGCACAAGTTGACGAAATAGTCACTCCTCTCATCCACAACAATGCAGCTTTTACTTCTCTCGAGTGCGTTCACATCTATCGTCAGTCTTGTTGCAGCGTCCCCAGCGCCAAGAGCCATCGTGGAACGTTCCTGTGAGTATTAATGGCCATCAGCAGCATCATATTTACTTGTCACAGCGAGATGCTAATGTATCACTCAGCCTTAAAGCGAGAGGAACTTGACACGAACCTCTTTCAACATGACGAGTCTGACTCGGGAGAGGGCAAGAAGCGCGAGGAGCTGGGAACCAACCTCGTCACTTATGGGGGGTCCGGGTACGTTGGTGGAGGGGGTGGCAGTGGCATTGGTGGGTTATATACATCTGCCATTTATTCATCTATGTATCAAACCTTTTGCACTAGAGAAGCGCGGAGAGCTTGAGACAAACCTAGTGGATTATTACCAGCGCGAAGAGCTTGAAACCAACCTTGTGGAATATTACTAGTAGCATTAAATGTGGAGGAGAGTACTATGACTCGGAGGTGTTGTTGATGCTAGTAGTGTCAAAGAGCTCATGATTGTACGCCACTCACTTGAATAAGTTTACTGTAGGAACACGCTGAGTTGACCGTATCATCCCGCGGAAGAGAATAAAAGACAAGGTGTGAGTCCTTCACGATCTTCAAATGGGTGTGGTGAACGAAATGATCGGCTGGCCTGCATCCGCCAAGTTTGTGGAGGTTGACAGATTTGAGCCTGGGCGAGGTGGACTTGCTGCACAGAATTGTGGATGACTTCGTTCTACTATCGATGACCCGGTAATGCAACCTAATACGAAAGAACGATTATCTTCGATTGGTCTGGCTAGGGGAGACTAGTGATGCGAGTCGATTTGCACTAACCAGTTGCGCAAATTTGAGTCCACAGTTGACATTGTTGATTTTCTAGCGAACGCTACACTTCATCGACGTACTTGAAATTCTATATACTTATTCTCGTGCGACCTACTGATGCACTCGATTTTTACAGGCAGCTGTTGTATAAGAGGTCGAGTCCGTTTTAAAAAAAATTGCATTACTAGGCTAATTTGCACTTCCGGGTCATCGATAGTAAGTTGCGCCGCAAGCCTGTTTTTGTTGCGAATATTAAAGCAAGATGTTCTCTCGAGTCTCAATGGCTTACCTTGCCGGGGCTCTGCACATGAAGCCCGTGCAGTTGGAACACAGGACATATGCTAGCAAAGCCATTGAAGACGTGGACATGCATGACAATGGCACGCTCACGGTCGATTTCAAATGTGTTTAAAAACAAGTGCTCGGGGGTTGATGGCAGGAAGAGTGAACAGAATACAAATACAAAGTGTGAATGACCAGCAAGAGATAGCTAAACAATCGCCGTCAGAGGATGGCTCTGGAAAGCAAGGGAAGGATATAGAAGTATACACAGCTCAGTATTTTACCGGGCTCCAGATATCTACAATTAATCGCTATCGCCAATCGTGTAGCTGATGAATATTCGATTGGCATCGTCGAGACACAAAACGTGGCAACAGTAGTGGCGGGCTGTGTCTCTCTGTCCGTATTCCCCCATGATATTTGTACCAGTTTAATCATCATCTGGAAGGTGCCCGTTCTTCTCGACGTCAATGAGGATCGTCTTCAACATCTCATGACAAATGACGGCTTTGAGGAAAAGATCACATTGGCTAGTGATCACAATTAATTGTATTGTACAACTGAGATGAAAAAGAGATGGTATTACCCGCTGTATCCTCGGGGTGGTGGAGGCTCAGTTTGTCTTTCATCTTCCCACATGCTTGCCAATCGTCTATCAATCCATATTGCGCTAGGAATACGCTCCCATGGCCATGGTATTTCAACGAACTCCGCCTCATTATTGAGCGCAGTATAGCGTGGACCAAGAGGAGGAGGGAAAATTGGACTATCCGGGTTGAATCGTCGAGGAGACACGAACCGAAGAGTTGGCTTGTAACGGTTGACGATATAGCGGGAGTATTTCTGGACAGCCCAGGTGATATCGTTATGACAATGGATATCCACAGAGGCGGCAGCAAAAGAGCGAAGGATGGAATGAGCATTTGCGAGCTCCATTTTGGTATTTACGACGAACTTCGATAATGGATGGTCCAAACGCAGCAATTCTGGGCGGTAGTCACCTACTGAGACAAATGCGTCCCGCACCGGCACATTCATCTCGGTCTGTGATCGATGATGGAGGGGACTTCCCATTTGCAAGACGATGCACCCAAAGAAGGCGAGGATGGGGATGATCATGAGGAGTTTCTCCCAAATTGAGTAAGTTTGATACATGATAACTAAGGAGCTGATCAGCCACGCAATATACTCCAAGATCGAGAGCTCTATGGCCCTCTCAAGTGTTGCCGCTATATATCTGGGTAAAACGCTTGGAGCTGCTAGCAGAAGCTGCACAGTGTTACGGCTAGTGAACAGCAGTATGAGCACAGCTGCAATAACTGGCTTCCATTCCGCTGAGGTCAAAAAATAGCAAAGCCCCGTGGCATAAGCAGCATCTAGAGGAAAATCCATGCTCAGGCTGGAATCTGGATTACTGGTGGGTGTGCTTAGCCGGGCTTGTTTGTCCCTGCTAGAAACTGAAGGTGCTGGTAAACAGGCACAAATAACTCGAGTACATACCATACGGACAATAACATCCGCAATTTTTCATCTCTGATAGTATATCGGTCAGTACACCCGCCTGTCACAAAGCAGCCCGCGGGAGAGCGGAGTTCGATTCTCCGTCAGAGAGACCTATTTTGTACTGCAATGAATTTTAGATATTTTCGATGCCAGAGAATAGTATTTGGTTGTCTTTAAGTACTATTTTCTTTTACTCCTGGTTGAGAAGCAACTGCCTAGCTATAGCTAGCTTTCTATTGGTTTATCGGCAAAGAGGAAAGCATGGAAGCAGTGTACTGGTGTGTTCTACTGACTACCGGCTGAACGCTCGCGAAGCATTACTCATCATCCCAAGCCCATGTACTTAAGTACAATTTAAACCTATCGGTCACTTCGCTCGATGAGCACAACTTGATCGTCCGCTAGTTCGGAGCTGATCACTCAGATAAATACGCTGTGGTCGAAAGGTGTTCGCTATCGTGCAAGTTTGGTGTGCAAGAAAATTCAGGTTGAGACACTTGAGACCACCATCCTGATTTTAACCTCTGCCCCATAAAACCTTGCGCAGACAATCCGAACAGGTTCTGTCTCTTCATAACAAGCAGTAGTAGATAGATAGAGAAATAAGTAACTCGGTGGTAAAACAACTTTTACAGTGCATCTTCAAACAACAATCTTCGTGGTTTGCTTATGTGTGGTGACGGTGAAAATAGAGCAGGCCTAGGAAAGATCCTGTCAGAGTATAATTGGATCGCAGGCTATAATCCACTCACATAGATGTTCCGCAATTTGCAGCTGCGTTGCCCATAATAATGCTTTCCGACACACCAGCGATACTGTCGTTCTTCCCGAAGGCCGCTGCATCAAACAAATGGTCCGTGGTCTTTTCGAAGGAAGCAAGCATCAGCACACTGTCCTTCATCTTCGCGACACCAAAGCGAGTGATACCCAGAACCTCTCCCTGTTCCAAGAAACAGTTAGCCAGGGAAGTTGGTATCGCACCACACTCGTACCTTGTAGCTCATAACATCGCCAAGCAACATGACGTGACGAGGGTCAATACTCATTCCGTGGCTCTGCATGGTATACTGGATTTCGTCGATGATGGTACGTCTTGCGGCTTCGATTCCCAATACTTTCGCTGCCTCAATGACATGGTTGGAAGTTGTGGCCTCGCCAACGATTCCTAAATCTAGGTCAGCGCATGGTGACTGATTGGAGGACAGAAAAGCCTACCCTCCGTGATCATGACCTTCTGTAGTCCGTAACCTTCTACAAGTAATTCTTTGTCTCCCTTCTTGCCTTTGGCATCGTCCTTCTCTTTGATATTAATGACGGCGCGCTGAATTGTCGGAACTCCCTGTGCAGATGATTCAAAGAATGATCACAGACAAAAACGAGTGATGAACCTTGACTACAACGTCCGGCAAAACTCGCTTCAATTCTCGCAGCTTGTAATATTTGTCCGTCCCATCAATATAGATGCGCAAGCGGTTTCTGCGAGGAATGACAGTGATGGACTTTTTACCGTAAGTGTTGGGACGATATCTAGATGATACGGACCCACTTCTTGTTTAATCTTGAGCTTTCTCGTGGCTACGATAGCCCACTTTACATCGTCCAAAGTAAGTTCAAGCTAGTGTGGCATGTGAGCACTCATTGGATCCTGTGTCAAAGCACCGACCTGGAGCTTCCGAATAGTATCCGTGTCAACAATTACACCGATGTATGTGTACTCTGGCGCCCATGCCTCTTCAAACACAGCAGCGATCTACACGAAATTCAGCACACTATCCTAGGCATGAGCTGAAAACGTCTTACATCGCCCAAATGAGTTTTTTCAAGACGGCCCTTAACTATACGTGCAGAAGGCTCGCTGTTAGGTGTGACGAGCTTGCAGCTAATAATGGGCGTGCTGATAGTCTTGGATGCGTTGATAATCTCTTTGATTCGAGGAACACCAAGCGTGACGTTCATCGAAGCAACTCCGGCAAAATGGAAGGTCTTGAGGGTCATCTGTGTCCCTGGTTCTCCAATGGACTGAGCACCGACAGCACCCGACAGTGGAACCTGAGCTGCACTTAGACCCCTGGGGGTAACTCGTATGGATTCCACTTACCTGGCTCAATCCTGGCCTTGACGTATTTTTCCCAGCACAAGGTGAGAAAACGCTGAAGCTGAGACTCAGTGACTTTTGCTTTGTTATCTACGATGGCCTTGGAGGCGGCTAAGGAATAGCGTCAGAAAGCAGAGCGCAAATATATTTTCTGTGCAAACCCGAAGCCCCCATAGATAAGTCAGTATCACGGTCCCATTCATCTGAGCGCTCCAGAGCCTCAAACATTCCCCGGCTCTTGCGCATCGTAGCGAGATGTTGAGCGATATGCTGAACCACAAATTCTCGGATAGTTTCGAGATATGCCGGGGTGCACTCGCTGGTAAACTTTGGTTTCTTGAGCTCTAGATCCACTAGTTCCACGATTTCGAAAGGGAGTAAACCGCGACCGCGACGGTTTCCTATTGCCTGAAAAAAGGTGAGACTCTTGAAAAAAATGGACAGCATGCTCGGGACACACCAAAGCATGCGTCCACGCCCGCTCAAACTCGACTGGCTGCGCGTCGCCCTCAAGACATGCAGGGTCCAAGCCATCGTCACCATATCTAAATTGCACAACGCCTCCTGTGGAGTTGCGCACTGATAGGTCATATTGAGTGGTCAGATCCTCTAGTGCCTTCATCAAACGTCGCTGCATATAACCGGTCTCAGCAGTCTTCACCGCTGTGTCGACCAAACCCTCACGACCGGAGATGGCATGGAACAAAAATTCAGTTGGTAACAGACCGCTAAAAAAGCTGTTTCTGACGAAACCCTTGGAAGGAGGTTCTTTCGACTTCTTCGGGAAATGGGGAAGAGAACGATCTTGAAAACCGTCTGGAACACGGTGACCCGCAATGATCTGCTGGCCGACACAGGCAACCATCTGAGACACGTTGATCACGGAACCTAAAAATAGCTGAGGAACATCGACGACAGAGATTCTGAAGGACAAACCTTTGGAGCCACAAGTCGCCATGATTAGAGGGGCATTATGTCGACTCAGCTCCTGCATACAGATGTCTCCGACCTTGTCCCGAACTCTTGAAAGAATTCCAGATATCATAGCTTCAAGTGTTTGTTCTTGGTCGCATCCAGGTTTATTCTCCAGCTTCCCCTTCTTTGCCTGCGTAATGAGGCCCGTACATTCAGCGTACGCAGCCTCAACCATCTGATTTTTCCTCGCCGCAAGAATAGGCCCTGGAATGACGTCGTTGATTCCAAGAGAGAACCCGAAATTGGCTGAATAGAAATTGAATAAAGAAATGTGCTTAATTAACGATGTGACGCACCCAACCAGCGAGCACACAGTTTTGCTACACGGTTCATGGCGGCGGCAGCCTCATGTGGGCCATAATCCCTCATGATTATTCCGAATATAGACTTCTTCTTCCCGCTGCCGACGATGGCTTTATCCATGACACCACACATGACTTCACTGTTGACGATGACAAGCCAAGCATCGTTCGGAGACAGATCAGGGGCTGGGTCTTTGATGGAGGGGTAATGTTCAGGTTTTAGCTTTTCCGGTTTATTGCACTTGCATTCAACGTTCACAAATACGTTAGACTGCTTGTTAGGACGCATGAGAACGTTGAAAATCTGCTTTCCTGTCCATAGTCGTATAGGCTTCCAGATCGTTGGCGGGGGTATGTCAATCTGTAAGTCGGCATCGGCAAAGTAGCAACATATTTGCGTAAACTGGCGACGGTCGAAAAAGGTATCTTTACGAGTCATCAAGTAGGAAGCCGTGATGAAATCTTGAATAGCAGCAATCACAGGTTCTCCGTTTCGAGGGGTGACTAGATTGTGCTTGACGCTCATGAGCTCGAGCGCTTCTGTTCTTGCTTCCTCTGTCTGAGGGACATCTACACCAGATATGATTAAGAGACTGTTCGATTATCAGCCAGCACGACAACTGACGAAGATTCATTTCATCGCCATCGAAATCGGCGTTGTAGGGGCCGCAAACACATTCGTTTAGACGGAAGGAGCGCCAAGGACGAACCCTGACCCTGTGACACATGATCGATAGCTGAAGGGTAGCACGTCAGTAAAGGTTTTAAGCTTCTGCAGAACCAAAGACCTTGTGCAGACTGGGTTGCCGATTGAATAGGACGATATCACCATTAATGATGTGCCTCTCAACAACATCCCCGATTCTCAGACTGTCAGCAACCGCGTTGCGGTTGCCAAATTTCAAGAACTTCTTGAAGCCACTGCTGCCTGCTGTCACGTAGTTAGCGCCAGGGTGTACATCACACCCATTGCGAACCGCTTGTGTGAGACTTTCGATATTGTGGGGAGTCACACGTTCTGGGTATGTCAATATCTTTGCGACGCGCTCTGGGACCGCTACTTCATCGATACGCAAGTTCGGGTCAGGGGAGATGACGGTTCGACCAGAGAAATCAACACGTTTCCCAGACAAATTACCACGGAATCGACCCTGTTTACCCTTCAGGCGCTGGACGAAGCCCCTCATCGGCTTTTGACCGGCTTGTGAGGGTACTCCAGGAAGCTCAGAGTTGATATACATGGCTACCGAAAGTTGAAGAAACTCCCAGTGTTCCTGAAATTGCGTTGAAAAATGTCAAGTACCGTGGATACTCATCACGTACCATGAATTGTGCAGTGGGCGCTCCTTTAGAAAGACCCTGCTTTATGAGAGCATTGGTGAAAACTATCTCCGTGAGTTTGACAGTGAGGTCATCTTCGTTGGAAGCACCATCCTGAGCAACGGATGGTCTGATGCAAACCGGTGGAACGGAAATGTACTGCCAGATATACTCTTCTGGACGACCGAACTCGGGACGTAAACCAAGTAATTCGCAGTCCTGAGGGTGGATATTAGCCCTGTGAACGTATGAAGGTATGCATAGATGAAACCTCATTTGATATTCTCTTGAAGAGATCGAGAGTTTTTAGTGGGTTCAGATCTTCATGGATCGCCTTGTTCAGGTACATCCCAAGTTCTTTCTGCGCCTCTACAGCTGGAGCAAATGTACGCTTCCATTTCTCCATCTCGTCTGCCGTCTTCTTCGCGCGGAATTTATCATGAATGATCTTCAGCACTCCTGCCTTCTTGACGGCACCGTTCGTTGCTGAGCAGTACGGGCAGTAGACGACCTTTCGTGCCATTGTATTCACCTGTTTGCATAATGCCTGCCTGTGGATATTTTCGAGGCCTGGTCGACGGAAACGTTTGAGGTACGTCCGCCGGTCGGGTTCCTCCAATAGCACACGAGCGCAGGTCTTTTATCGCGTTATAAAGCAGGGAAGGGACGAAAAATCGACTAGCTTACTTTGCATATGGCCTGGAGGATGGCAATGGTATGCTTGAAGTAGCCGATATGGAATACTGGGACCACCAATTTGATATATGCGTAGTGGCCTACGCAATCAACAGAGTTGAGGCCACATGTCTCGCAAAATGCGTTCTTCTCTGTGGTCCCCTGATATGATGATCAGTTTTTTCTGGTGTGTGGGGAGGTATGGACACTAACCAGCCGACGATCTAAAACGCCATCTTTGACAGGAAGTCGATCGGTGGGTGTATACAAATCCCGATGAGTGACCTGGAACTCAGATATCTTGACTGTATCTTGTGCATTTAGCAAGCTGAACTGTAGCTGTTTTCTGATGGGCTTTCGCGTCAATCAATATAAAGAACCTGGAGGAAGGGACTGGACATACATAACTTTTGGTGCCTCAGAAGGCACTGTCTCCTTCATGGCAGAGAATTTAGTACAAGAAACTAGCGAGAGAACTTTTGCGACGGTGCTTGTTACTCATGCGCAAAGCACGAGCAAAGTGTCTGTATATACACTTGAATTGGGTTCGACGTCACTGGCAGGCAAGTTTTAGATGTGATGCTCTATATCGGATCAATGAGTGACGTGACATGCCGGTGACTACGTGACATAACCCGTGATGGCGTGACATGTGTGATGAGACTTGCGCGTCGCGTGTCTGCGATTGAATCATATCCTGCATCCAAACCATGTCGAGAACATCATACGATAGGTTCGAGTATTTCCCAAGTTCCGCCGTTAGCATGCTCATGAATTATCTGGCAGATATCTCACTGTTTTCTCGCCCGAGGGTCGACTGTACCAAGTCGGTGCGTTAATGATTATTGGATATGTTGGTGGTGACGCGTGCTCATGTACTCCTCCTTTAGAATACGCATTCAAAGCTATCTCTGGTTCTGGCCACACAGCAGTGTCTGTCAGAGGATATGATACCTCTGTAGTCATTACCCAAAAGAAGATCCCGGTATGTTGCACTACGAAATGACTGTCATCATCATCTTTACTTCAGATCAGGACAAGCTGTTGGATGCATCGACTGTCACACACCTCTACAGCATTACACGCACTATTGGGTGTGTCATGACTGGCCTTGTCGGTGAGCAAACGTGGTGTGGAATAGGTCTTACTTGCGCTGACGTAGTTACAGCTGATGCTCGTGCCCAAGTTGTACGTGCTCAGCAAGAGGCTGTCCAGTGGAGATACAAATATGGATATGAAATAACTCCGGATGCTCTGGCACGACGACTGGCAAATATCAATCAGGTTTACACCCAACGTGCTGGCATGCGGCCTCTGGGCATCTGTGAGGCTACCTATTTTTCACCATACTCTGTAGCTAACATGGAATAAATATCCTTATAGCTATGATCCTAATTGGCATCGACCCAGAATATGGGCCACAATGTTTCAAATTGGACCCGGCAGGCTACTTTGTTGGGTTCCACGCTACCGCTGCTGGACAGAAACAGCAAGAAGCGATGAACCACCTGGAGAAGAAGTGGAAGAAGCTAGACAAGGGTAAGGGAGCTGATGATGCTGGAGCTGCTGGCAAGAAACTCAGTCGAGCTGAGGTAATCGAAGTGAGTAATGCTATATTGCAAATTGGCGTGGGCGGCTAAATGTTGTTTAGATTGCGATAGAAGCGATGTCAACTGTTCATGCGACAGACTACAAGGCTGGAGAGATAGAGATTGGGATTGTGTCGACAGCTGAGGAGGAGGACCCTAAGACTCGTGGTGAGTGGCGCGTGATGGATGAGACAGAGGTAGAAAGATATCTGCTAGCATATGCAGAAAAGGACTAGGACGCATCATTCCACTCATGACAATTGATAATTTGTTGCGGAAACAAATTGAAGCAGTGAGGGAGTTTGTAAATTGGGGTGACGTGGTAATAAGTTCTAACCCGTGTCTATCTGATGGTCGTTTATGTATTTTATCGCAGAGAAGCTCCGCCACTCTGCACGACTATGAGTACTGAATCATTTCATATGCAAAAATACTGACCAGTATGGCATCTATCTCTACTTGGTCCAAGTACCTCGAACTCGGACTCGAGAAACGTGCTGGAGCTTCCCAGAACTCCAAGACAACGGGATGGTCCTGAGATTGCGATGCTCGAGATGAGCTATGAGGAGCAGCTTTCTGCATGATATCAGAAAAGGACTTTTGCCATTCTGGAGGTGCTGCTGGATGAGGGTGAGAAGGACTTGCTGCTGTCATAACATTTGAATATTATGAATGACGAGATATAAACGAGTTACACGACATACCAGCGGACCATACACGCTTTCCAATGAAGCTGATAAGGGGCTTATGAGCTAGCACTCGAACAGACGGGTGCATGTCGGGAAGTAGTACTGGAGGAAGGCGGGCCGCTATGACTTGGGATATATACTATTTGTAATTATTTGTGATCCGAGGTAATCCGAAGAAGGCTGTGGGGTAACCGCCGATCGCCTAGTGACGCCAACGGTACTTAGTAGACGCTCAAAACACTATATACCAGTCATATGTTCTTCCTTCTTAACTGAAAAAAAAAACAGTATGTCGCTTCTTCAAGCGTATTCTTCCTTGTCATCAAGCTCGTCAAGAGCTACTGTATCACATACACTTTACTCAATCGTTGGTATGTCTGAATCTTTATTTATTGTTACTCATTTCAACCAAGTTATTTTTCAGGTGCTCCATCTATCGATCCTGCTTCCTGTAAAGCACTTATTCAACTCATCCTTGACGATCTACGGAACGTCATTATTGATGAATCCCCCAGCCGTTTAACCCGTGACAGTTCGTTCACTATATCAGGTTTATCCACTTCGTACTGATCTAATATCGCAGATGCATTGTCCGCTCTTGCTGCCGTCAAAGGCCTTGGTAAAATACCCCACGGTGCCCAAGTCCTTGCATCAGTTCCTAACCTTAAATGTCTTATGACACTCGCCCTAAATCTCGAAACAACTCCTGACGCATCAAACGAAGCTTTGAAGTGTGTTGCCAACACCTTACTCCTTAGTGAACCTGCTCGCACAAGAATATTGAGTCAAGAAATTGATGGAGGAAATATATGTGTTGACCTCCTCCAGGTCCGAGCTCCCCCATCGCGCGAGTCATCCATCTAACCCCGTTTTCTAGAAATCTACAGCACCCGAAAACACCTTTCTCTCATCCAGAATCCTCTTTCTCTGTACTGCATCGCCTCATCAGTCTGCTTCTTTCATTGAATCAATCGTTGAGACAAAACGCACTGCCAATGGAACAATAATCGATGTCATTGCCTTCAAGTTAGATGATTTAATCGTATCAATGCAAGCTGGAGTAAAGATGTCGCGCGATGCCATGACAGATCTCTTGAAGCTCACCTTCAATCTTCTCGTCCACTATCCAAAGGTCAGTTATGTCCTTTTAACCACAATAGCGAACTCTCAGTTGCATTGCAGTTGGCCCCTTCTGAGGTCCAATCTCCTGCCTTAGCCGCCTCTCCTGATGATCAAAAAGTAATGGGAGATTTCTGGAATTCGCGACTTGATGGGTAAGTGCCTTGTCGCGATATATATCCCAGTATCTCACATAGTGCTGCAGCATCCTACCTCCGCTTGTTCGTGCTTTTCAGGCCATCCCTCTTTCCTCCCCAAACCCTCTTACCTCGCCGTTGACTCACATTATACATTCGCTGATTACTATCCCTGTCGACGCATCATCCCGAACGATATGGTTCGGTACTCGTCCATCTTCACATCCGACTACCCCCCCACAGCCCAGTTCCCCCGAGCCCACCACCTCTGCTTTGGCTGGTTCGTGCAACCAGTCAACGCCCAAGGAGCCAAAGAATAGGCAACTTGAACGCGCCATATCGTGTGTCATTTCAGCCGGTCGCCGTTCGTTCTCCCGCTCTTCACGTTCCGCATCACCTCCCGCTGCTGACTGCGCCTCACGCGCTTATGAACTCCTGGACACGACCCTTGCGCATTTCCTTCCAAATGACATCGATCCCGACGATCCTGCAGTACGAGATTTATGCAAGGCCGATGGGGACACATCCCTGGATGAAGTCGTGTGCCCGCTTGTTTTACTGATTACACGATTCTGTCTTGGCGACGACGACGCCAAGACACGACTAAGACAGTGGCTAGTGCCTGAAAACTTGGATAGGACAAATCCTTTGGAAAAGAGGGCAGATCTTCTAGGCCGATGTTTGAGACTTCTTGCATCCGTCTACCACAGCAGGTTGAAGGACGCTACAGGAGAAATGTTGTACGCCATGTGTGATTCAAACGGTATGTTATATACACTTCGCGTCAGTCATATTTACGAATCGAATCTAGCCACAACCCTTGCTGGTTATTTCGGATACGGGAATGTTGCTGGTTTCTTGTTCCACAAAGGCGTCGTCAGTGCACCGCCTGTGAGCGCGGCCTCAAGTGGCCCACCGACCACTGCTTCAGGTTTACCCATCAACCCCATTACTGGCACCGTCGAGCATCCCTCAGAAACTATTGACATGACTGATGAAGAGAAGGAACGTGAGGCAGAGAAGTTGTTTGTGTTATTTGATCGGCTTGAGAAGACTGGTGCGCTGCCTCCGAGTCAGAATCCCTATCGGAAGGCGTTTCAAGAGGGGAAAATGGGTTAATAGACGAAGTTATCATGGACTTGTTCACTTATAGATACCATTCCTTGTTTTTCCTTACCCTGAATCACAGTTAATAAAGTACGATAGATCAAGTGGTTCGACGCAATCAGGCTAATGATAAAATATTGTGCACATGTATATGGTACGAGCTATATGCAAAGACTTTGGTAAATCATGATTTTTGGGGTTGTGCTGCCTAGCAGTACAGATGAAACGATGTCACAAAAATACTCAATCGAAAGTGATCTTGGACCCCTCGAACTGAGCGACGGCTCCAGTGCGTGGGCCCCCTCGCCCTCTGCCACCACCTCTTCCGCCACGGTCACCGCCTCGTCCGCGTCCTCTCCCACCACGGTCACCGCCGTAACCACCCCGCCCACGGTCAAAACCACCACGTCCACGGTCAAACCCACCACGTCCACGACCTCTGTCGAATCCTCCACGACCTCCACCCCGACCACCTCCAGCGCTGTCTCTTGGCTGTGAAAAGTCCAAGCGAAGGCCGCGGCCGTCAAGCTCGTAACCCTGCAACTGCCCATGGGCCGCCTTCGCGGCCTCGACAGCACTAAATTCGACATAGGCAAAGCCTTTTGGCCTTCCTGAGTCACGATCCGTTGGAACACGAACGTTTTTAACGTCACCGTGCTCGCCGAAGACTTCATAAAGTTGATCCTCGGTGACACCAAAGCTAAGATTCCCAACAAAGAGAGTGCTTGATGCTGGACTCTGCGTGTCGCCAAAAGATTTTGCCCGGTTTTCACGGACGGCATTTTTATCCGGTGGGGTGCTCTTGTCGATATTGACGGGTCGTCCATCAATCTCCTTGCCGTTCATTTCGAGAGCCTTTTCAACGGCATCTGCGGATGCGAAATGAACATAGCCGAAACCGCGAGACTTGCCGGTTGCGCGATCTGTTTGTACTTGAGCAGAGACAACTTCGCCGCAGGAGGCAAACTCCTGTGCCAGCCAGTCGTTGTCGACATTCCATGATAACCGACCGACGAAAATACTTTTCGTTTCCTCAGTCGATTCGCCAGTAGCTGCATCGTCATTCACGAATTTTACCTTTTTTTGGGAAATGGAGGGTTCTGCTTCTGCTTTGCGCTTGGTGCCTGCAGACCAGTCAGATTGATGAACGACCAGTGCGATCAATGACTTACCCTTGGCAGACTGAACATTTTCTACCTTCTCATCTGACGAGCTCTCGTCACCAGAGGAGGAATCACTGCTATCCACTTTACCCTTCCCATTTTTGACAGGTGGGACACTGACAGGCTTTTCATCTTCCGATGATTCACCGGAGTCCGACGGGGGTGCGGGTACAGTTTTTTTGGGTTGTTCGTCCTCCGAAGAGGAGTCCGAGGATTCATCGCTCGATTCGGCAGCCTTAGCTTTGAGTGCACCCTATGGATGTTGAATGAAGGTCGGAATAGAACGACTGAGAAGCGAATACATACGACCTTGGCCAAAATGTCCTTAGATGATGTTGGCAACTTGGCTTTTGCCGGTGAGGCGGTTGGTTTTGCAGCCTTGATCTTATCTGCCTTTTTGTCTGAAAAATATGGCGGACATTCAGATTGAGAGTGTCTAGTGCGATCAATCACTTACCCTTGGCAGGTTGAACATCTTGCATCACTACGTCCTTGTCCCCGTCCTCATCTGACGAGCTCTCATCGCTCGAGGAAGAATCGGAAGAATCCACTTTACCCTTCCCCTTTTTGCTTGCTGGGGCACTGGCAGGCTTTTTTTCTTCCGGTGATTCATCGGAGTCCGAAGTGAGCGAAGTCTTTTTTGGTTGTTCGTCCTCCGAAGAGGAGTTTGAGGAGTCATCGGATGATTCATTTTTAACGGAAGCCTTTCCGTTCTTGAGTACTTTCTATGGGGGTTGGATGAAGGTCAGAAGGGGACGACCAATATTATAAATACATACGGCTTTTGCCAAAATCTCCTTGGATGAAGCTAGTGACTTTGCCTTTGCGGGTGCGACAGCTGGCTTTGCAGCCTTAGTCTTGTCTGCTGCCTTCTTGTCTGCCTTCTTGTCTGATTTTGCCATGGCGCACAAGTGAGGGATACGGCGATTTGCAAAAGTATGAGTCCAAATTTTTGGCTCGATAAGCACGTGAGCCAATCTGATTAAGGGCAGGTTACTTCAGGACTTAGAACGCTCTTGCATCAATTTCTGCCATCGCTAATACCGCAATGGACAATCACTTTGACGTTATCGTGCTTGGTACTGGTCTGACTGAATCTATAACCGCTGCGTGAGCAGAATTGACACTTGCGCGTCTTTTTTTTTGTGCTCAGTAGGAAACCATCAGCGCTCTATCCAAGGCTGGCTTCAAAGTTGCACATATCGACCCAAACCCATATTATGGTGCAGACCAAGCATCTCTTTCACTAGACGAACTCGCGCAATGGGAGGAAAACCATTCCGCCACCAATCATGGAGAATTACCGCCTCATGCGAGACAGTATTCGGTCTCATTGGCTCCTTCAGTCATTCCATCAATCGGCCCTTTCATTTCGTCCCTAATCGCGTCCGGTGTCTCTCGATACGGATCTTTCAAGCTCCTCGGTCGCGTCGTCATCTATGACGGTGGCGTATTGAAAGATGTCCCACAGAGCAAGGACGACATCTTTCAGAACAAGGCGATGAGTCTCTTAGAGAAGAGGAGGGTGACGCGTTTCCTTATGTTTGCCGCTGGAGAATTCGAGAATAGAGAGGAGCTGCATGGCCAAGAAAATTCGCCTTTGCTCGATTTCTTGCAGAAGACATTTCTTCTCAGTGGAGCAACCGCTCGTGCCATCGCCTACGCCCTGGGATATTGTTATTTTCCTTCGGAGACGACTCTTCCTGCTCTACATCGTATCCGCACTTACCTCAAGGCATCCGGTCGCTATGGGTCGTCATCGTTTCTCATAGGCTATTACGGCGGCTCGGGCGAAATCGCGCAGGGTTTCTGCCGCGCATCTGCGGTGAGCGGAGGTGTCTATATTCTGGGACGACCCATTACAAGTATTGCGTCTGTCGAACCCGGCGAGCCAGAACACCCTGTTCTGACTTCTGATCTACCTCAGTTCGTTGTCGAGTTGGACGATTTCCCCGACCGTCTTCACTGCCGATGCCTTATATCATCGACTGCTCTTCTACCAGGACACCTTCGCACTCGAGCGGATATAATCCGTCCAACTATTCTGTCCTGCAGCTCTCTGCGTCCATTTGCGATGGCACGGTGTATTGCTATCATTGACGGACCAATTACTTTGTCATCGGACACTGAGGGTTCGGGAATGTCAGAAGCATCGGATTCTTCACTTCTTGTATTTCCGCCGGAGTCGTTGGAGGGGGGATCGGCTACTTCTGCTGTGCATGTTGTCACAGCAGGCCCAGGTACAATGTCGGCCCCTTCTGGGAAAGGTATGGTCCATTTTTTTCAGTTATGTTTAGCAGTGTCTCAATTCATTTTAGGCATCCTGTATATCTCAATGCCTCTTCCTAGCAACTCCGACCATTCAGCTGAGACCCTATTACGTCCTTATCTAACAACTGTTCTCTCATTGTTACAGTCTGAGAAGCAGCAGAAAACGTTGATTCGTTCTACTTTTTATATGCAGGAACTTGTCTCATGTACACCCGGCACCTCGGATTCGTTTGTGGGGCTCCTGGCTGTGCCTTCTTTAAGCCCGCATCCGACACAGGGTATAGATGAAGCTGCGATAGTTGCCGAGGCTACCTTCAGGAAGGCAGAAACTTGTCTGAATGGAGAGAGGAAAGAGCTTTGTAGCGAAGGATGCGAACAAATTGGATTTTGGCCTTTGTTAGCCGAGATAGAGGACAGTGAAGGTAATGACCTGCAGTGGTAAAGCACATTAACAGTGTTATGTATATATTTTCCCACATACTTGTAAGCTCGATGCATACTATCACCTGATCCGGAATGCACAATCGATGGGTAATGCACAATGCACTCCAGAGCTCACCACTCTACATATATTTCATTCGGAACAGCTGGAGAACAAGTATTAGCATATGTTCAATAAGACTGCCAAATCAAATATTTAAAATCGGCGCTGTGAAGCCTTCCCGAGATGAAACATTGTGCGAGTGTACCCAAAATGAGTGAATTTTGGACACTAAATCCAAGATCCACCCACATCCCATTGACCTATCAACATAGGAACTTCAACATGTATGAAATACACTATTCTGAATCTACCCCAGGTGTTTATATGTCAATAGAACACCACCACAGCGTGCTATTCACGATTCATGAGCAAAGCGTGACGGTCAGGCTAGATTGGGAAATCACACTCTCGGCTTGGTTGAGTCTCCGCTTTGTTTGCATTCGGCAACACTGGACTTTCATTCGCTTTGCGCGCTGTCGGACTTTGGATATCATTGTGTATTGGCCGAGGTGCCGCGCGTGACATAGTGTGACGAAATTGTGCATTTCTATTGTGTTTTCGACATCTCAACTTCCAGTGCTGCCGCTGCAACAAGCTCGCAACAAAATAAAATAAAATCTTGTTGGGCCTTATGCGCAGAGACCTAAGGTATACACTACAGTAGATCCGATACGAATATGTGTTGTTGTGTTGCTATTCAGCAATAAGTGAAAATTGTGCATTTCCCATCGAATGATAGTATGGGCTTGTGTCCAGGTGAACACTGTTGACTGGCCAGGACAAACAGTCACGTTGACCTTTGCAAGTGCCGCCAAGTATTGTTAAGTTTTGTGTGGCGGCACTCCGAATTGGATATAGGCTCTAACACACTACGGCTGGTTTGGAGTCTGAGAATCTATATATATATGTGTGCTAGTCGACCATGTACCTTAAAATTTATCTGATTTACGCAGCGTGTCAGTGTCTGAGACTGCTGCGCAAGCGCAACTACGATATGTCACTGAACATCAAGCAAAGGCAGCAGCTAGGAACTGCTCGATCTCCTTCTTGTGTTGGACCTGCCCACATGGATTAGTTCAGGTAGAGAAAAAAGGGCCAACTACTTACTTTGCTACCTGTAGCAACGGAGCCCGTTGGCTGTCTTCCGGCATAGTATGGATATTTGCCTTTGTGGTACTGCGTCTCGTTGGCAGCAGTCAGAATACGCGGACCAACATAGGTCCATGCGCCATTGTTCAATGGCTCCTCCTACATGCACATGAGTGGGAATATCAATAATCGACGCAAAAGTTTTACCTGGCACCAAAGTATATCTGCATTGGGATACTTGTCGAGATGAGGAGTGATCTGTAAATGTTAGTCTAACATTGTAGATGATCTAACAAAACTGACTCACGAGGTCGTAAGGGAAAGGTGAGATCTGCTCAATGCGGCTGATGACCACATCTTTGATGCCCTTAGCTTCACGCTCCTGAATGAGAGTCTGGTATACTTGACCTAATTCCATGTTGAGGTAACTCGGAATCAAAACAAACGGTACGACGTACCGGTGCAGAGGATATGACGCCTCACTTCCTCGGGAGGCACTAGGTCTTCAGGATGGGAATCGGGAATATAGCGTTGGAAGTGAGTATCACCGACCATTTCCGAAAGCTCCGAGCGAGCATTGGGATGGCGCAGGAGTGATTTCGAAAAGAAAAGAATGAGTGGCTTGCGGAAGTCGCGGTGAATTTGGCGACGGAGAACATGGAACTACAAGAAACTTAGTGGGATACTCACAAAACCGAAGGTCAGAGCTCACATAATTAGCGGGTGTACTGAGGCAAACTGATCAGTGGCGTTACCAGGATTGGAAGGATACACCTACGTTGGATACACAACTTGCATGTTGCAATCTTGATGCTGTCTCTCGACTTTCTCCGGTGTAGGGAAGATGTGGGGATGATCGTCGCAAAGTTGGAGGAAGCGTTCGATCCTTCCGCTCGAATGCTCAGGACCTTGACCATCATACCCGTGCGGCAAGCTCATGACAAGGCCGGTGCGCTGCAACCATTTCCGTTCGCCAGAGGCGATGAATTGATCGATGATGCACTGGGCATTATTGGCGAAGTCGCCAAACTGCGCCTCCCAAATAGTGAGAGAGCTCGGTGAAACTAGTGAGTAGCCCAATTCAAAACCGAGAGTCCCATACTCGGATAACGACGAGTTGCATACGACAAATCGAGCTTGATTGGAACCGAGATCGTTCAGAGGAATATACTGCTGTTCATTCTTCTGATCATGGATAACAGCGTGCCGCTGAGAGAATGTACCTCTCTCCACGTCCTGACCAGAGACGCGCACGGGTATCTTTTCGAGTGCGAGAGAGCCAAATGCAAGAGCCTCGGCTGTTGACCAATCAATGTTGCGACCTTCTTCAACTGTCTTGCCACGGGTGCCGAGGATACGAGCAAGGTTGCGGTGCGGGGTGAAACCAGGAGGATATGATGAAATGGCTTTTCCAATGCGCTGAAGAGTTTCTTCATCGGAACCTGTAGCACGGGTCGGCAGCGTCTCTTCTGCCAATTGTTGAGGGGAAGGGAAACCCTGCCAAGATGCGGATAACCATTCCTTGCTAGTCGGAATATAATCCTTTGCCGCCGCGGCTGCCTTCTCCAGCATCCCCCAAACCCACTTCTTATGCTCCTCAATATCCTTCTCAGTAAAGGTCCCACGGCCAACCAAGAACTTCGTGTACTGGGTAAGTGGTGTGGGTTGCCTTTCAATCGCCTGATACATCCGCGGTTGAGTGAAATGAGGCTGATCCGTCTCATTATGACCATAACGACGGTAGCAAACGATGTCGACGACAACGTCACGTTTGTACTTTGCACGATAATCAGCTGCTAGCTGGCAAACAAAGTTGACGGCTTCAACGTTGTCGCCATTTACATGGAAGATTGGCGCGTCTATGGACTTTGCAATGTCGGATGGGTAAGAAGTGGAACGAGAGAAACGAGGGTCGGTAGTGAAACCGATCTGGTTGTTCACAATAAGATGAATGGTGCCGCCAGTACCATAGTTAGGTAGGTTGTGGAAGCCCATGGTTTCGTAAACGATTCCCTGCCCAGCGAATGCGGCATCACCGTGAAGCAGCACCCCCATGGCAGTGTTGTGAGTGCCCTCATCGCCCTCCATGTTCTGTATGGCATAGGTCTTGCCCAGGACAACAGGATCCTCAGCCTCCAGATGTGATGGGTTGGCAACAAGTGACAATGAGACCTTCTTCCCAGACGGCGTTGGGCGAACATAATTGGCACCCAAATGATATTTGACGTCGCCCGCTGCGTTATCCGTACCCGAAAACTCGTTCAAAATGGCTTCAATGGGTTTGCGAATGACGTTGCCAAGAACATTAAGGCGACCACGATGAGGCATGCCAATTGTGACGTGCTTGACACCATGATCCACAGATCGGTCGATGAGCGCCTTCATGCCAGGAATCAACGCCTCGCAGCCTTCGAGACCGAAACGCTTCTCATTCGGGTATTTGCTAGCGATGAATTTCTCGAACGACTCTGACCAGATGAGACGGTCAAGAATCATGCGTTTCTCCTCCAGTGTATAGTTCCAAGGCTTTGGAATCTCGACACGCTCTCTGATCCAGTCACATTGCTCCTTGTCCGGGATGTGAACGTACTGAATGCCCACAGCACCACCTACAGAGAAAATTAGGAGTTTGCTCGAGTAAATAATTAAACATAACTGACAGTATATCCGTTTGAGAAGTGCGATAATCTCTCTCAAACTCATAGATTTGCGATCCTCTGTCGCGAAATGGGGGAGGATACCGGGACCAAGAGCAATCTGCTTGTCCAAGTCGCGCTCCGTGAACCCGTAACGACTTAACTCCAGCTCAGGAGGGTTAACATCTGCGAGATCAGCATCTAGAATGCCGAGGGGATCTAGCTCGGCGACATGATGACCACGAACTTGATAGGCCCGCACGAGGAGTTGCACCTAAATGGCGTCAGGTACTTGGTAGCACCATAGAAGACAGGTGACACACCTTTAAATGATCATCAAGCTCAGCTCCACCACCGGCATATAGTGCGGGGGCACCGTCTGCAGGGGGTGCAATTAGCCCCGGAGGTGGTTGGAAAGCCTTTGCGCTAGGAAGACCATGCTCCATGCCAGAGAAGTAGGTATTCCACGAGACGTGAACAGACTTTGGGTCTTGTTTCCAGTGCTTGTACATCTCCTCTGCGTAGTATGCATTTGTGCCGTTTGCGAACGGGTCATTTGGAGAAGGTGGTGTTGCGGGAGTAGCGAGGCTCCGGTAGACAATAGTCGGAGTGGTCGAAGTGACGCGACCAGCGCGCAAGGCGCCTGGAAAACGCCGTATTGTAGTACGGGGAAGCATTTTCAATAGAACGACGACGATGGGGGGAAGAACGTAAGTCGGTGGAACGACGTAAGTAGATGGAAAAAGTAACCTGGCCTCCCGACACCCGGAATGCGCCGATTCTGGCCGCCAGGGCACCGGAACTATTTCGGCGGCCGTCACGCGTCACGCTTCTTCACATGTCGTCACACGGTCGAGAAAGAAGCATGGTGCACACTGTAGCGAGTACACGAGCTCAGTAGACTTAATGGAAGTCACTATATTGGGTATATACCTGCAGCGAGTACACGAGCTGCGGGAACCATTAGCTAGGCATGAGTAATGTAAGTAATATGTACTGACCTCGGTAGACTTTAATGGAAGTCACTGAGGAAGTTCTGCTACAGTTGGGGACAAACAAAGTCATCAAGTTTGGTGGCCGAATTTAATAGCCTCACCAATCTAATAGGAAATGTTGAAAACAGTAGAATAGTACTCTAAATGACACTTAGAACACGATTGTACGAGCCAAATTTTCATAACAGTAAATTTGACTTTTTTGGGGGAAATTTTTGGTGCACCCCTGAAAAAAATGCTAAAAATCACAAAAAAATCGGAAATGACTCCTTTCACTAAGTTAATATTGAAGCTATGCTCAGAAAGTTATGCGAGTGGAATGGAGTGGCACCAAAAAAAATCTTTTGTACCTCTCATCCCAACTGTTATGCCCAGTGAACATCAGACATTGTCAGGGCATGTCAGGGCATGCGAGAGTATAATGCAAAGTGCCGTGTCATGCACCGTCATGTAGATAAGAGTTGATACCAAATGAATGTGTTTTTTCTTGCAAGTCCAGCACGTGCAAACACACATTCCCCTAGCATTCATTTTGCAACTGTGGCCCTTTGCATTGCAATCACATTGCACTTGCATCACACGCTCTTACAACACAATCCAAGTCTACTACAGTAAGCAGAACTCTACTATATCGTAGCTTTAAGTTATTAACCAATGATTCTTTAGTACTAGTACTACTGCTACTAGGTATATACTATCTAATTCAATGTAACGGGCACTAGATGAAGTGAGAGAGAATAGCGACAATGAAACAATAGAGAGGCCAGATACTGGCGTTGATTCGACAAGGAATAATACAAAGCCCTGAGCACATATAAGTATCTGCTATGGTGATAATGTAAGGTGAAACCATGAGCGGTAAGAGTGTCAATAAGATAACGAATCCATAATCATCCGAATGAGCTGGTCTGTGCATGACGGAGTACATTGGCGCAATGTTCAGTAGAGTAGAATGACCATGATCTAAATAGAATGACCGTGAGCTATGTATAGTGACCATGACCGTGACATCATCCCCCTTCTAGAGTGAGTGAGGATGATGCTACAGATTGAGCCTTTTGGCAGGACATGAAACATGACCCCCATGGGTCGTTGTTTGCGTTGGAGGCACATACTCAGATCTCAATCTCTGACGTATGGCAGGAGGTGATGGAGGACAAGCAGCAGTGGGAGGCACGGAGGCGAAGGCAGGTGTGGAGGGCTCAGAGGACATGGCAGGCAGAGGGACCTGAAGAGAAGAAGGAGAAGAATTGTTAGTTACAGACAGGGGAGTTTGGTAGTTTTTATTGATATCAAATAAATGGGGGCGTGGGGAGTGTGGATGATGACGATGAAAACACTTGATGAGCTCATTAAACAAAGTAGGAATGTCAGAAAGGGGAAGCCAAGAATCTTCCGACTCAGGCAGCGATTTCCATCACATGAGATATTCATAGTGATGGCCAGTTTTGTGACAGTTAAGGATTGATTTGATGTTGTTAGCAGGATCATTGGCGAGGTCAAAGGGAAGTGGCAGTGAGTGTAGATGGAATTCGGAGGGGTCAACATATGGTTTGAGAAGTGAGACATTAAAAATGGGGTGCAGACGAGATAAGTAAGAGGGAAGTCGAAGGAGGTAAGCAGAAGAGCCAATTTTGCGAATGATGGGGTATGGACCAAGTCAGCGATGGTTGAGTTTCAAGGATGGGTGTGTAGTCTTGATATTGTGACGTAGCAACCAGACCAATTGGTCTGGTTTGAACTCTGGTGTGGGTAAGGTCTTCTTGTTATAGTATTTGGCTTGGGTATGTTGTGCAAACTGTAGCTCGGCATGAAGCTCTTCATGGATCATGTTGAGTCGTGCAGCGATGTCATATCCCGTACCTCCGGACCTGGAATTCCAGATCTCCCTTACTTAAGTCTGGTTCTCTGTCCTGATATCCACCCAGCGCTCCGCCTTCATCTCCATACTCCCCACTATCTCCTTTTAGAATAACTGTTCTCTGGCTACTGGTTATGTTCTCTTCACTATGCTTACTGATCTCTTCTGTTTGTACTTCATCTCCGACTTCACTGCTTTGATCCGTTATGCACTTACTAATACTTTCCACATGCTTCATACATAGCTTCTACCTTGCTGACTGATTTACTTGCATGATACTTACAATATATAAACCCCTGTAATACTCTGGAACTCCTTAGTTTGAATATCATCTTAGTTCTGCTCATTCCTGCTTCTCCAGACTTGAGTCTAACCTCTTGTCTACCTCTGAGTCTTAGGGTTAAAACCTTAGGACTAAATCTCCGGCTCTACCTTAGGGTAGTCTACACTCTGTTCCGTTTCTACTCTGGACTTGTCCGCAGTAGCCTTACTCTGTTCTCTCCCAGCCTTCTGGAGTTCCGCTGAACTCCCCCCACATCTGACCTCCGGACTTCCCCTCTGACCCCCGGAAATTAAGGGCACATACTCGGGTAAGGGGCGCAGCGCACGAGCTGAAGCCGAAGCCCTTTGAGTTGTCTTCCCCTTGATGTCATATCCCATACCTCCAGATCCGGAATTCTGGATCTACTCCATTAAAGTCTGGTCCTCTGTCTTACTATTCCGCCCGGCGCTCCGTCTTCATCTCCGCACTCACCCCTAACCCCTTTTAGATTAGCTATTGCTCCGGTTACCGGTTATGTTCTTTCTGCTATGCTTATTGATCCGTCCATTCCTACTTCATTTCCGACTTCACTGCTTTGATCCGCTACACTTAGTAATAGACTTTCCACATGCTTCATACATAGCCCTTACCTTTGCTGACTGATTTACTTACATGTTACCTACAGTATATAAACCCCTGTAATACTCTGGAACTCCTCAGTTCGAATATCATCTTAGTTTTGCTCATTCCTGCAATCTCCGGACTTGAGTCTCATCTCTTGTCCACCTCCGAGTCTTAGGGGTTAAACCTTAGGACTACTTCTCCAGCTCTACCTTAGGGTAGTCTAACCTCTGTTCAGTTTCTACTCCGGACTTCCGTAGTAGCCTTACTCCGTCCCAGTATAAACCTCCCGGAGTTCCACTGAACTCCACCGACACTAAGTCCTCCGGAACTCCCCGGACTTCTGTCGGACTTCCCCTCTGTCCCCTGGAAATTAAAGGGCACGTACTCAGGTAAGGGGCACAGCGCACGAGCTGAAGCCGAAGCCCTTTGAGTAACCTCTCCCTTGAGCATGACCTTAACAAGCAAGATCAGCAGCAGCAGGAACAGTTGAACGTTCGGTGATCTGTGGCTCGAAGGTTGGGTGATAGGCATAGTTAGCAAAAAACGGAGTCTGATGAATAGAGGAGTTCTCGAGATTGTTGAATGCGAACTCGGCGAGGTAATCAACCCAATCATCTTGTTGATACGAACAATAGACACAGAGATAAGTCTCCAATGTCTGGTTCGTGCACTCTGTCAGACCATCAGTCTGCAGGTGGTATGCTGTTGACGTGCAAGTGTCTATTTTTAGTAATGAAGTAAGTTCAGACCAGAATTTAGATATAAAAATGGAGCTGTGGTCGGAGACAATGGAATCAGGTAAACCGTGCAAGCGAAAAATGCAATTGAGGAATAACCAGGCAAGGTCAGGAGCAGATAGGGTCTCCTGACATGGGATGAAGTGTGCGTAGCATGTGAGACGGTCGCAAACAACCCAGATTGAGTCATAGTTGTGTGATGCTGGGAGTTTGACGATGAAGTCCATGGATATGGCTTTCCATGGATGAGAAGGGATGTTGAGGGGTTGGAGTAAGCCATAGGGCTTGTGGCGAGGTGTTTTGATGCGAGCGCAGGTGTTGCAGGCTTCTACATAGCATTGGACATATGTTTGCATGCTGGGCCATGAGTAGTCCCTGGCAACAAGTCCAAATGTTCGATTACATCCTGGATGACCTGCAATGACAGCATCATGACAAGATAATAGGGTGTCAGCACATAATGGAGAGGGAACAAAAAGTTTTCCTTTGTGGAATACGAGACTGCCTTCAGATGCAAAGTCTGGATTTCCATGCATGAAGGCTTCTCTCCACTGTTAGGTACTGTGCCGGCTCAAGAGGCAGAGGGGTCGGGGCTTGGCTTCAGCTCTTGCGCTGCGCCCTTAGCCGAGTACATGCCCTGAATTTGGAGCGGGTCTGACATTGTCCGACAATAGGACAAGTGAACCGCTTAGGTCTGCTTTGAGGGTTGGGAAGTAAGAGCTACTAGCGGTGGGCCGACTAGGAGCAGAGCAGAGGAGGTGGGGAGTGATGCGGAGGGTGGATAGGAGTAGGGGGAATATTTGGTAGGAGCGGGGAAGGCGGAGGATAACGTGGAGGATGGGAAAGGGTCAGGGGGAATATTGCAAGGGGTGGAGAAAATAAGGGGAAGACTTAGAGCATGGCTCTAAGTTGGAGCGGAGGGTCGGAGGGTCGGAGGTGACAACAAGTTGAGACTTGTGTCCAGAGGAGGCAAGGTCCTACTGAGAATTCTCACAAGAGGTAACTGCGAGAAGACCAGTAATATTAAGACTGAGAAAAATATCTAAGTACATGATATGTTATATACTTCTATGTATGAGGCAGTGACCAGGATAACTATGTTGTAAAGTTATGTACCAAGGATATAATTTGTAAGTACTTACACAGGTGAAGACATAAGTCAGAGCGGATATCAATATGTACGCGTTGGATCAGTTATTGAGCGGTAATAGGAATTACCGGTGATCTGGAAGTAAGGGTCTATGTACCGAAGGGGAAAGTATATATCTA